AGAAGCGCGTCAAGATCCAACAAGTTTGCTCGCAGTCCAGAGAACAATTTCCCGTTCAGACAGGTCTTTTCTTCCACTTTGATACAAGACTAAAGAGCTAGAGTCACTCTACCAAGGCTCGTAACAACCAAAGGTCTTGTCAAGGCCTGGGGAAAGTGAATCTCGCTGGTTCGGTCCTCGGCTCTGCATAAAGATTCGAGCCCCTGACAAGATTCGAACCAGAAACCTTGCAGGTCGCGACACCTCGTTCTTTATACGTACTGTAAAGAAAACTTTACAGTAGAGCCGCCTCTAGGCTCAATCTCCACCAAGAGAATCAACACCACGTAACATTGCAATGGTAGAACCTTTTTGTTTTCGAGCAGGATCATCGCCTCATCGTGCTCGTCTGACCAAAAGAAAGACGACCCCCAGGGGTGCAAAACTGATTTCTCAGAACAATGTGACGCGTTAATACTTGGGTTTCCCTCCCCGTATTGCTGTAATCGCCGCCATGCCACATGGTTTTTGTTGTGAGCTAACTACCATTGCGCCACCCTGTGTTGAACAGACGAGCCAGAAAACCCGAGGTAGCTTTGCCGCTGGGAGGTCTCTTTTTTTTTTAGTATATAAGGGTAGAGGATTGCTTTGCAGAGAAGATGCGTTCCATGTTCGCTGCTCTCTTTCGGAATGCAGTCCAATACTGTTGCTCCTTCTTTCTGAAGTCGTTGTTTCTCTCTTCGAACGCGAGAAACCCGTTCCGTCTTTCGAGTTGATGTTGTCGTTGCTGCGATGCTTAGGCCCAATCGCTGCGTCTTTGGTTTGCAGCGTACCATCTCGCTCCACCACGCAATGGTTTGCTTGCATAACAACCCTCTAGACCATAATCTATGGATTCATAGATGGCCAGACACTCTAGCCTCTCGAGACAAGATCGTGCTTCCTCATTGTAACAGAAATTTGTGAATGTTCGTCCCGTTCTGCAATGCTTTGCGGAGTCGACCAAATCAGCCGGGCCTGCAAGCATCCCGGAGAATGGCAAGGCCATTGCAATGCAATTGTGAATCTCAACCAGTCTTTGTGTAAATATGCCTCTGAACCCCTGAAAAGACAAGGACATGTTACAATGCGACTACAGTCTCTAGCATCTTTCAGGTTTGTCCCAATCGTTCGAAAATCGATGTCCTATGTTTGGAGAGTCCATCGGTGCGCGTTGCCCGGACTTGCTGGGTTTAGGCAACTGGCCCAGCTGTCGCCTACATCGTCGCCGACTAAATGCCAAGAATGAGAAGACGAGTGCTTCGCGTCACAACCTTCCATGGGTTTCCTGGGTTAGGGGTACCGGTGACTGGCCTGAACCTTATCGCCATCGCCGCTTAGTCCTGTCCACACACCAAGAGCGTTCCGACGTCGAAGCGGCTGTCAGTCACATGTTCCAAGAATCATCTCTGCTCGACGCAACCAATCCAGATGCTGTCGCTGTCGCTCGAGGGTCTGGGCATCGCGTACTCACAACAATTTACTGCCTCAAACCCACTGACCGGCCGCAGCACGATGACTCCGAAACACATATAAGAGAAACTCGATCTATCGTGAGAGCTTCTTCCTGACATCCAAAACTTGGACCGAAAACATACTGTCTGCCAGCAACTTTCAACGCGACACGACCATCGCCATCACACACCGAGTATTACACCCGTTGCGATCAACCTCGTCTCTATCCCGCATCGAGTACTCTGCACGAACTTCGAGTTTTCTCATCGTGTTGTGTTTGTTTTCCATCGGAAACCCAGTAACCTCGTCGTGTTTCTGTTTCGGCCATCGTGGTTCGAATATACCCATCGCGACACGGATATATCAAGCCTTTTCCGAGTAACTCCATCGTACTCCGAAAGAATAACATGGCTTCCTTCATGGACCAGACTCAGATCATCGGAACCAACCAGGTCTCCGACAACATCGCCAGCACATCTGCCTCTGTCCCAAGCACTGCGGGCAGACGCACTCTGGCCGGTGGAATCAGAAAGCGCGTCGTCAAGAACAAGTCCACGGATCTCGCAACTAAGGGCAGTAGACCCTGGAGTGATGGACAGCGCCAGGAGTTGATCAACCTCCACACCATGTTTCCGGCCTGGCAAGAAGTGGCCGAACTTCTCGAGCGAAGCGAACAAGCACTCAGGTCAGGGTGGAACAAGATCAACAACGGTGATCGTGGTGACAAGTGGCTGGAAAAAGCCAAGGCCTGTATAAAGGAACGCGAGCTCAAGTTCCCCTCGGTCCCCAAAAAGTCAAGCACCAGAGATGCCACCGTCGCGACGACTGGTCACAACATGCAGGTCCAGTCTCGCCAAGAGCCTCCTCCACCGGTTACTCTGAGAGCCATGCCCAATATGAGTGGAGTCGAGCTTCTCCTTATTGCTGCCGACAGCGATCAGACAGCCAACTCCGACACAACTGGCTTCGAATTCATCCCTGCTGCTGCCACCAGCGACCAGAGAGCCATCTCCGATATGGACGGAGTCGAACTTCTCCTTGCTGCTGCCACTGCCGATCAGAGAATCAACCCCGAAATCAGCCGAATCAGACTTCCCCGTGTCGCTGCCAACAAGTATGTGAACAACGACATGGATTATGATCGATGGATTGCACTTAAAGCACCCAAGTTGAAGTCATACTCCAAGTGTACCAAAGGAGTTTTGGAGACACAGGTTGACGCAGCTCTGCTTGCAATGGAGGTAGACCAACCAGCGCGACCTGGCCCCTCTTCCGGAAACGGATCCCAAAGACAAGGCGGCCATTCCAAGACACCAAATCGAACATCAAAACGTTGTGTCCAGTGAGACTCAAGAGTCAGAATTAGTCTCTCGGACAGCTTGAACCGGCTGGAGTACATCGTGCCTTGCAATGATTTAGCTGGTTGCCAGGAGAATGCTCGAGAAAAATGAAGAGGAATTTGAGCCAAGGAAGAAAGATGACAACACACGGACATGTGCGCATGCCATATACACATGACGAAGTCGTCTTGTCAGCGGACCTTGAATGAAGCTCGGTCAGGATGATCTGGAAGTTGAGAGCTGAGGATAGAGTTGAGGGCCTGGGAGATATTTACGAGGCGGAGCGAAGGCTGACAACCAGGAGAAGACTAGAATGTTGGTAAATTTTGGTTATTGTTGGTCGGTCTGGTCTCTCTCTTTCCCGAAACGACACCGTCGACGACAACAACATCAACGATACGTGCTTAGCTCAAGCAGCAAGCAGCAAGCAGCAAACAGCAAACGAGAAAGCGACAAGATAGACAGAACTTTCCGCAGCAAATGCAAGGGCCCCACTCTGCAACAACATTTTTCGCATCGTCATCCACCACGTATTTTGTGGCCTGTAAGCCATTTTTCTTCTTTCACCTGCCAGGTGCAGCTACGCACCACCAACGGCAGAGCTGGGAGAGCCCTTCTCATGACCGAGAACAGCCTCTTTCAAGGCTGTCTGTATCAATTGTTATGACTTGTAGAGTTACAGGCGGCTGGCAAAGCTCTCTTGAAAGCTCTGCACCAATGCGATGGCCGTCAGAGCAGAGCAGAGCAAGCAATCCAGAGCTATGTCTGCGGGGTATCCACTCTGCTGGCCATCGCGAAGACATGAAGAGCTGTTTTCGATGCATATTCGTCTCTTTCGATGCATGCTCATTCCTTATGATGATGAGGGTCGTGTATTTGGTGGCATCTGGAAGGCGGAGTCGGGATACTTATGAGTGGAAGCCGCAGAATCCTTGCATGAGCATTTTTCAAATCGTGACAGCATCAAGTAGAGCATCAGCTGTCGACCTGTCTCTGATTCATGAGGCTATACCACTTGCTGCCAGCTGTCGTCTCCAAAATTTCGCCTTGTGAATCCGCAGTCTCGTGTGCTCCACGTCCATTCTCGTGACTTTTGCACGCGATAATTGGTACTGTACATAAGTACTCGTAAAACTTCATCTTCCAACGACATATTTGGCCAAGCGAGCCACTTGATGTGCAGTAGAGCGCAAGACAGGCAAATTCCTTCTCTTTGGGTTCTTGCCCTTCTCTGTATAGTATGATGATTTATAGTCCACGGGACGATACTCGAACTTCCTTCTATGGAGATGCCCACTATGAGTATTCCTTCCTCCCTCATATGCATACCATACAGCTCGTATAGAGGTTATTCGAGGCAGTTCTACAAGACCATCAGTGAGATGAATGACTAGACATATTTGCAGTGAATATTGATCAATATAGCACGTGATCTGCTTGGAGAAACTGGAAGTCAAGTACTGGCCAATCAATCTGTCCACTCAGAGTCGGAAGTCGCTTATCACCAACAGCCCGCCTTCCTCATTGAGATCTGTGACATCCCCTCATCGAACATGTTCCCTCATCACGCAGAAGCTGCCTTGGCTGACGTTCAAAATTGAAGAGCATCTTCAAATTCTCACGTGGCAAGGGCCCGCTATCTATCTTTCCTGCCGTTCCGACAGAATCCGACTTCGATGACCGGCAGTTCACTTCTGCACCTTCTTATCTTAACCACGAGATAGCCCGCGGACTCAAGACAGTGTTCACCACTCAGACAAAGCAACCATTCGCATAAGCTCTTCCGTTTGCCGAAGCAAACGCTTTGGAAGATTGTAGGACTGGCAGAGTTTCTTGTTCTTACTTGCCCGCGGACGAATAGCTGATAAGGATCTCGACCCCATCTGCCGTGACCCCAACTGATAGGGCGATAATGCAATGCACTGCATATCATATGCCCAGATAGGCATCTCAATTCGAGATATGCTTGCCGTTCGCCCCCTTCTCATATATCGATTGTACTGTAAGTGGCATTTCTAATAGGCGGTCGGGTGCTGGCCATATCTGTTCTTGGCTTGTATCTTGCAACGCGCGGAGTTCTTTGCGAGACACACGGCATAGGCAATCACTTGATATATGTAAGTATCCTGATCTGCCATTTGTTTTGCCTTTTGGCCCATCTGTTTTTCTCCACGTACCCCAGTCACCATGTTTGAACCTCACGACAAGGAAAAAGCGCTACACTCTACACCAGAAGAGATTCCAGAAGTCGAGGTTGGAGAAGTCAAAGATGTCAAGAATGCAGATGCCGCTCTTGACTTTCTGCGGCATGAGGGCGAGGGAGTAGAGATGACGGAACAGGATGAGAAGAGATTGGTCCGGAAGATTGATTGGATGATTATGCCGTTGATGTGGTGTTGCTATGTTTGCCAATACCTGGACAAGACGTTGATCAACTATGCTGCTGTCATGGGATTATATGAGGATGCGAATATCACGAAGGCGGACTTTTCGAACTTGGTAAGTGCTTCTTGTATTGCGATAGAGTGATCTCTTACTGACTGGTGTGTAGNNGCTTGGATCTTTTATGTCTCGTATCTCGCGTTTGAGTTTCCGCATGGCTATGGCATGCAGCGCTTCCCCACTGCCAAATACCTGGGCGTCATGGTCTTGCTTTGGGGTACTATCGTCACTGTCACTGCTGCTTGCCACTCCTACGCCGGTCTCATCACCACCAGAGTTCTACTCGGCTGCTTCGAGTCCGCAGTCGCACCTTCCTTGATGCTCATCACGACAATGTGGTACAAGAAGAACGAACAACCCCCTCGCGTCGGAATCTGGTATCTGGGCACTGGTACTGGCACAATTATTGGATCTCTGCTCTCGTATGCTTTCCAGCATGTTCAATCTGCCTCGCTTTACTCTTGGCAAATTCTTTTCCTGGTCGTTGGTCTGGTTACCGTCTGTATTGGCATCACTGTGGTTTTGATTCTTCCCGATAACCCAATGACCTCGCGTCTCTCGCACCAAGAAAAGATCTGGGCCATTGAGCGTCTGCGCGGCAACCAGACTGGTATCGAGAACAAGCACTTCAAGTCCAACCAAGTGCTTGAATGCTTCTGCGATCCTCAGACTTGGCTGCTTTCGCTCATCACCATCTCAAGCTCTGTTCCTAATGGAGCAGTCTCATCTTTCCAGGCTACACTTATCAAAGGCTTTGGCTACAACAGCAAGGAAACCGCTCTTCTTCAGATCCCCGCTGGAGTGTGTAGTGTGGTGTCCATCTTGATTGCCACCTACTTAGCTGGAAGGTTCGACCAGAGAGGCTTGAACATTGTCACCTTGCTCATCCCGGGCATCCTCGGAGGCGCTCTGATGGCTTTCCTGCCAGAGGACAACAAAGCAGGAAAACTGATAGGAAACTACCTTACCAACTGCATCGGAGCAAGTCTGCCACTGCTCTATTCATGGGTCGGAGCCAACTACGCCGGTCACACCAAAAGGTATGTTCTCCCCTGCTCCTTCCTCTGCCTCTTCCGCGCCTTCCTGTTTACTGACACTCGCGCAAAGGTCACCATGAACGCCATCCTCCTCATCTCCTTCTGTCTCGGCAACATCATCGGACCCCTAACCTTCCGCGCCGCCGACGCGCCCGAATACATTCCTGCAAAGATTACAATCATTGTAACTTGTGCTGCTGCTGTGGTATTAACTCTGTTACTCAGATTCTACTATCAGTGGGAGAACAAGAGGAGAGATGGGGCTGCTGAGCAAAGGGGTCAAGGACACAAGGCAGATATCGAGTTTGCAGATGTTACGGATAGAAAGAATGCCGAGTTTAGGTATAGGTTGTGAGATTTGAGTGCCTAGGATAGGAAAATAAGGGCAGGGAAGAGGAGGATGAGCTTATGTGTTTATGATTAGAGAATGAAGCTTTTGTATTGTCTCATGCTTGAGTTTAGAGAAAGTGTATTTCTCGTTGATAGATTGATTACCTGCAGATAGATATGTATTCAAGCATAAGGAAGGAAGCACATCAAGTCGCGCTCCTGCCTAAAACACAGGCCGTATTGGTCACGCAACATCGAGCAGCGAGTCGGAATCTTTCAAAAAGGCACGAATGTGGATGAATCTCACAGCTTCATCTCTCATGTCTACGCAGTAGCGATGCCGAGCCCTCACGTTTTGCCAACCCATCACCTTCCCAATCAATCTCCCATGGCTATACATCTTTTTCCCACTTCACCTACCCATCACTACCTAATTCTCACACTGTTACATCCATCAACACCTAGAATCCAGTCAATGCAACCACAATGGTCCCAACCTCTTGGTCCGGCAATCAACTGCCGTTCAACCCAGAATACAACACAAGAGAAGATAAACTTCACGATCTCAGCTGGGGGGGGGGGGGGGGTGGGAACAAAGCACGACTGTGGCTGAGTCAAGGTTTTCGGCAACAGAGTTTCGACAAGACAGAGTTTACGCAACGATCTCTTCCGCTTTTTCTTGTTTTCTCGTTTTCCTTTTTGCTGACCACCATCGTTGAGAGTAAAGTGTGGCTTTGATATCTTTGAACCAAGGGACTGAAGAAAATGGTGGAGGGAAGAGATGTGGAAGCAGGTACGGTGCGTGACAGCGCCTTCTTTGATCAAGAGCTGAGATTATCCAGTGGTGGAAAATGATGACGAGTGGTTACGTTTGCTTGACCGGACGACCACTGTTTTTCAGACGAGGAAGAAAAGAACTCCGAGTGACACAGATAAGGAAAGACGAGAGTGAAGAGAAGAAGAAACCTCGAGTAATAAAAAGAATATAAAGAAGAAAAATGGACAAATGTGCACACCCATGCTGTTGTTCTGGTGCTCGAGTTCCCCAAAAACGTCCTATCCGCTGATACAGTTTCGTTCCCAGACCGCATAGAGTTGAAGCCTCCCTGTTGCGCAGTTGAACAGGTTTCCGAAAAATTGCCAACCCTTTCCAATTCATGTCCATCGTTTTCCCCATATGATGCCCCTTGTCCCTGTATTTCATTTCCCATTGTCGGCGTAAAGTAAAGTCGTGCACCATCCTCCTCTTCTTTGCTGCGAGATGGAGAGGTCATTCTCCAAAGCAGCGGACTGGCAGTCTCAGCTCTTGGAGCCAAAGTGCTCTTTGGCGTATTGTTCGCAAGCCTGGAATGGTCGTCAGCATCATATCGCAAAAGAACGGCGTAGATGTATGTATGATAAAGAGCAAAGATAAGTTTCGAGAAAGGAGATCCCCACACTCACCTTGGCAGGTTTACCGACTTTCTGTCCAATGACCTTCCACTTGCTCTGCTCGTACTCTTTGATAGCAGCGAGTAGTGCCGCGCTNCTGTAGTGGGTGTTAGCACGTCAGGGATAATGATACAAGAGATCAGAGAGGCGGACGAAATGGCTGACCTCGTCTTCCGCAAACTCTGCGTAGTGCATATCCNNTATTGCGAGGGAGAGAAAGAGGTTAGCTAATGATGTCCAGATGTATAGTGATGGAGAGGCTGTTGATGTGATAGGAGGATATGGCAAAGAGAAGATGGGCAACTGGACACGAGCATCACATACCTTGTACCAGTGCTTCTTGACACTGCCTTCAGTCCGTGTGGGAAACGTCTTTGCAATCTCGCTCCAACTATTACCCGCATCTCTCATCACCTTCAACCTCTGCTCTTCCGCCGGGGTCCAGGGTGTATTGGTTCGTCCCTTCTTTGGTCGCGCAGGTGGGGTGTCGTGTCGAGGGATCCCCTGATCACCTGGTCCCGTGCCGCCGCTTGAAGGTCCACTCAGAACGTAGTTTTGGTCGCTGTTCTGACGGTCAGGATTGCCAAAGATGCCATGCTGGTCAAGACCATAGCCGCCAAGAGAAGATCCTGGAAGAGAATGAGGGTCGAGTTCACTGGCACGTCGCTTTCGTGGGTTTAGTGGTGATTGAGGGATCTGCTGAGGTTGTGGTGGTGGAGCGAGAGGGTTGTGCTGGAAGGGACTGTGTTGTTGATGGTGAAGAGGAGGTGGTTGATGATAGCCAAACGGCGACGCGTTTGTCGTGTATGGTGATGAGTGGTAAGGGTTTGTAGAATAGGAAGAGGGAGGTAGTAGGCCGGCTGACAGCGACAGCTGCTGTGGTGACGCCGACAAAGGTAAGCTTCCCACTTGTTGCAAGCCTCGCTTTTGTTGCTGGTTTTGCGACAGGTTACTGTGTGGTGGAAGAAAGGTATGTATGTCAGTCATCGAGGTATAGGTGCGGTCCATGACATGTATTACACGGCCGTACAGGCGCGACGCTACATGACAAGGTATCGAAAGCTTAAGCCTGGGGAAAGGGAAAATGTGGGTGAGGGACTTACGACATGTTGAACTGGTCGTGATGGTTAGGTACAAGGTCCAGGTATGTACAATTGCTGGGGTGGAGAGGATGTATTTGAGTCATGAGACGTCCGTTTGCTCGCGCAAAAGAAGAGCGCTGTAAGAAAGGGAAAAGGTGGAAAGAAAAGAGGGCTGGCTGCAGGCAGGCCCAGGACAAGGCGAAACGATCAAGTTGGGAGCGGAAGGGATATGCAAGCTTTCTTGCTGGCAGCGTGCGCGCGTCAAATAATGAAATCCACAGCCGCGAAAGGGCGATAACAATAGTGGACAATATCGTGGTCGCGAAAAGAGTATGGAAGGTAAGCAAACAGATGGTTTCAGGTCAAACTTGGCGGGTTGCGAGACGACAATACTTGAGCTGCTTGTAATGATGTATCTGTCGCGACGGCCTCATGGTGCTCGAGAAAGGGAAAAGGAAAACGGAACGGGGAAACATGAATGGTATGGTGAGCTCAGAGGGGTGGGGGGCAAAGACAGCGCCGGCAGCCGAAGCACCGCCTACAGATGCTAGCCAGGCCATGTCGGCCGCGGGGCGGCATGGAGCCTTGGTTCTCTGGCAGGACGCAGCGCTCAGCGTGCATGCTGAGCACAGTCAGCGCCCTTCAAGACTGGCCGCTGTGTCGTATGCGGCTTGCAGGATCAGAATCGTCGTGATCATCCTGGAGCTCTCCCATGTGCGGGGGCAAGCTCGACACACCCGTTTTGCGGGGAAACCGCCCACTCCGTGCCTTCAGTGCTTCGTCTGGGACCACGGTTGCTGCTCTGATTCGCTGCTGTATACGAAGTCTTTATTTTTCTCGGCCTGGCTCCAGCAGCGTGCTGCTGCATGTCACATGGGGCCCGAGAGTCTCTTTGCTGCTCGCACGCGTACGCTTGCCATCATCCGTGCTAAACATGCAAAGATCATCCTCCTCCGCACGATCGCAATGCATCGCACACCTCGCATGACGTATCCTGCTTGACGAAGCCTGTGCTGAGATGCACACGCTGCATGGCCATCCCTCCAGAGGGCTGAAGAAGATGATGATCCTGAGACAAGGTCGTGCGTGTGGTTTGAGATGGCAGCAAACGAGTGATCGTCATCCACCTATCATCGTCTCAACTCGACAATCAGAGCATCATCAGCAAACGTGAGTCTAGCTCTATCTCTCAGAAGAATCCTCCCAAGGGCGTTCTCTATCTTATGAATGAGAAAAGCCCTAATCAGGTCAAATCACAAAACAAAGGGTTAACATCACGCCTTTGACAACAGCTTGGTTGCATGAGTCACAGCTCGTGAGTCGTGAGATGGACAGACGTGGCGCTTCCTGAGGCAGACCGTAGCCATAAACGCAAACGTGCCAGTTGCCAATTGCCAGTGGGTCTAGCAGCAAATCCTTCCGCCTAAACGGTCGGCGGTCGCGGACTTCAGCTCAAACGCGATGGGTCCGATAAGGTCGGGTCACAGTTTTGTCGATAAAAGGGCCGGGCTCCGTAAGACACGATAACAAAAACTGACCATGTTGGGCTCTTGATCAAGAGTAGAGACAAAGAGCAGATTGGAAAGGGAGATTGCAAAAGCTGCTTTAGGAGAAAAAGTCTCATGTCTCGCAGATAGTACACAGGGGTGAACTTGGGTTCTCACGAGTACAACACGCCATATCTCGCAGATGTTCAGATGTCCCTCATATGCAGCGATGACAGCGCTGTGGTTAAGCGTACCGCGCCGCTGCCCGTCTGCATATCATCGAGGGAGAGGCTCATCCTTTGATGGCCCAAGCTTTGCACAGCTCGTTTGGTGGCTGCGAGAAAGATGAGAACTTGTTAGTAAGTGCCCTCCTTCCAACCAATGGGTATTAAAGCAGCAGCGACCTGTTGAACACCACGCTCGGTGGCCAGGAGATTGAACTGCGAGGCGGCATTGCGCGTGTCTGCAACCTCGAGTCGGATGCCCAGATCGCTGATCTGCTTTCGCGTCTCGGGCGACACTGGCACAATCGAAGGACCAGTACCCAAGATAAGGAGATCNTAGACGCGGCATCAGCACTGTTGGCAAGGACAGGGAAAAGGGGGTCTTGAGGACGTACCAGGCTTGGGCCACACAGCGTCGAGGATACCCCAGCTGTGCTCGGGCACTTCCCATTGACCCTTATTGTTGCGCAGAGAGCCTCCAACGCTCGAGACGCCCTTGTTGTCGTCGCCCATTGCGCCTTCGCCAATGGTGCCCTCCCTTCTCCCCTCCCTGATCCACGGCTTCCAGTTGAAGGCATCTCCGCCGACAAGCATGACTCCAGAACCAGCAATCTTGAGGCCCGAGTTGAGTGCAAAGCCATCGTGTGCGCAAGCGTCAATGGCGGTGGTAGGGGCGGGCGTGTTTCCAAGGACGTTCATGGCAGCGAAGTCGGTCTGCGTGTCTTCCTTGCTGGTCGGGCCGCGATCCTTTGTCTTTGGCGGGCCTACGGGGCCTCTCTTGGATGCCATTGCTTTCGTCGTTGGGTGCAAGTGTCTGCGTAGTCTCGGGTTTGGCTGTCGGAGCATTGTTCGGGAGGCGGGAAGCTGTTCGAGGGAGGCGCGCAGGCAGCCTGCAGCCGGTCTGAATATGCTGGCCATTTTGAGTGGATGTGTGACAGAATGTCTCTAGGCAATTCTTGTTGGTGTCTCGAGGTTCGCCTTCTTGTTTCCTTCTTGTCCGTCTGGTCACAGAAAGTATGGAGAAGCTCGGGCGCGCCTTCCATAGACGTCACCAACCCCTGCCTCGACCTGATTGGTCAATAGCCTGTCATGACCCAAACTCCACCACCACCACCCGTCATCGAGCTCCGTCTCTCAATCGTCCAAGATCCAATGTCGCAATGCGCCCGAAAGGCCCTCTCTTGCCCGTCCGTGGCTCTGTGCCGAAAGCATACACAGAAGCTGCTGCATCAGCACGAGGCGACCTTCTCCTGACCTCTGATCCAAAAGCGTTTCAGGTCAAAGTAAAGTCCTTCGACGCCTTAGCTTTCCCATCACCATTACTCGATACCAACACCACTGGAGCAAAGAAACTCGTGTCAACTGCTTCCTCGCGCTGAAACCGCTGCCGGGTGCCTGCGTGGCCTTTTCCTCTTCAAAGTTCAGCTCAACTCAAATCAATCAGACTCCTCTCTTTCTCAGCCTTGCTTACACCGGGCACATCAGATCACACTGCATTGGCGAGCTAGCGTCCTGTGGCTGCCTTTCTGGTCAGCGAACTGCTGTCACAACCGCCACTTCCCGTCTGCAGGATCAAGCGCGCTGCTTCCTTAATTTCGTGATCTTTCCTATTCGGGACATAAGCCGCGACCGTTCATTTGGTGCCGCATTTTATGGTCGTCTTTCCCTTCTCTCGGAACTTTCGTTAAACATCCTGTCGCAGCGCAGACTGCATCTCCTGATGCCAATCATGCATTCATCCTAACGGTCCTCTCATGTCATTGATTGAAGCTTGGTGTTCATATAATCTCCTCTTAGGGATATCTCTGAAGAGATCAAAGAGCTTGGTCGGCCTGTGGCTCAAGTCAATTCGGAATCCGAGGAAGAAGTGCGATGAAACATATATTGAACCAAAACATTTCAAGCTTCGATAAGTGCGCACACAAGCCCCGCCACTCTGCTATTTAGCATGACCAGATCAAGTCCGAACGGTGCAGGCTTCGAATCCATCAGTGAACAAGGATGATTAGCATTCATCTAGAGGAATCGAATTTGCAAACTGGTTGCGCGACCCACCTTCAACGACCAGATTGCCGTCGACATGGCTCTCATGAACGTACCCAGTCTCGCAAGTAGTAGGTTTCATAAAGCACTGGAAAGCCTGCACAATGCGCTTTTTGGTGAGAGAATTTCCCTGTCAACCATCCTTACAAAACAACAAACATCTCGTCACTGTTAGAAAGAGCAAAAACCCAGTTTCTGGGAAGACCGCCTCTTTCAACTCCTTGATTATAGTCACCAGATGTCGGTCATCTAGGAGGCATGAATTAAGACGTACAAGGCAGAGATGTGTTTTATTACGAATCGTGAGCGTATAAGCCGTTACACCACTCGACCGATCACAGCAACAGATCAAATCTGGGATGAATATATATGCCTAGTGAAGAGATCCGGGGTTCGAATTGGGAGGTGAGCGACTTGCTCTTTCTGCGTTGCTCTCACTTGACTACTGGTGTCTGTTGCTCGTGTGTGTCATGTCAAAGTGATCATCGTCATAAAAGCATATCTCTAGCTTCCTTAGAAGACACCAAGTGAACATGAAACACAGCGCCTCCTGTGAGGTGCTACAAAGAATCACTGGGCTAGTAAGTTTCAACAAGCATCTCTTCCGTCATATATAAGCAGCCTTTGAAAGCCGCTTCTACCCCTCAGCTCCACCACCTCTTTTGATCTTCACACATAGCGTGCAGACCAGTAAGTCGTGCATCGAGCAGAAGCATCTCAGTCTGCATCCTATGACTCGATCCAGCATCGCACACCTTTCGGCAACAGCTTCTTATATTCAAGTCCACCGTCCCTCTCACCCTCAGCCTGGCGCGCAGATTGGTAAGTTCGATACCACGCAAAAGCATCTCAGTCGGTCTTCTCTGACATGGAATAGCAGTGCAGTCCGACCTCGACGCTTTCTTCGCTTGCTTGTTCCAGAGCAGAAGCCTATACTCACGCCTCAACACACTACACAAAGACCAAAAACACATCATCACTCCTCCATCAACAGTATCTGCATCACAAGATGGCCTCTCAACTTGAGAGTCTTCCTCCAGAGCTGTTTCACATGATCTGCGAAGTCATCGACAAAACTTCCTCCAGACGCAAACGCACCATGCGCAATCTGAGCCGCACGAGCAAAAAGTGTCGTTCGCATGCCACACACTACATCTTCCGCAACCTCAACTTCCACAAATTAAATCTCCAAACATTAAATGTGGAGCTCTCTCTCTGCATACAAACGCTGAGTCATTTGCACATCCTCCATCGCGTTCGCAGTCTCGTCTTGGATGTTTCCATCGCCGATATCGAGGTCCAAAACACAAAGACTGTCAATTTGCTCAAGAGACTTTCGAATTTGGCTTCACTGCAGATTTGCACTTCTCGGGAGCTTGCTCCAGGCTTCGTTGAGCAGTTGGATGAGGTGCTGGCAGTTCGCTGTTCCATGCGTGAATTGCGGGATTGTTGGATTACCTGTCACCGGTGGAAGAACAAAAATTGGACTCGGCTTCCAAGGAGGGGATCAGTCTCTGAAATTGACAAACCAGCATAGAGAGGGATAGAGAGAGAGAGACAGAGAGCAGGAGGAGCAGCAGACGAAAGCAAACGAAACTAAATTCATGAAACCTCAGCAACAAAGGCAAGGCAAAAAGGTATCTCGTGCGAAAATAGCTAGAAGAGCAGCAAGAAAAGAAATGCAGAAAACAAAGCCATAAAACCATGATATCATATAACATCATCAGCATCCCCATCCCCATCTCCATCCTTTCGTCGCCTACTTCGGTCTGGTCTTATCACTTTCCACGCGCCCACGGCATCAAGCATCCGCATAGATAGGCGCTCCAATTCTTCCCTTGATCTCCTCTCGATGTTTTNNTTCTCTCTTGACCTGCTGCTTTCTCTCTCTCCTTCTCACCATCTTTCTCCTCAAACCGCTCAAGTCCCATCGTCGTGAATGTCTCTGGCTCAAGCGTCGTAAACTCTCCGTACTCTGCGCCGCTGTCCTCAGCAGATCTGTGCTCTTTCTCTTCCTGAGAATCGGGAATGAAACGAATAGTCTCGCAAGAAGAGAATTTTGCTTGTTTCTGCTCTGTTGATTCATAGACGTGGGCCGGTTGGTGTTGGCGATGGAAACGTGGTGACGACGCACGTTCGTACCGTGTCTATCGATGCCCAGAGAGTTGCCCAGCATGAAACCGCCCTGGCCTCTAAAGCCAGGTAGCCTCACGCTCAAACGTTTGGGTCTCCAACCCCTGCTTTGCTCGATAGATTCCAGACTTTGAACATCAGAGGTATCGCCGCCTGAAGGCAACTCGTCATCTGAATACTCCTCCTCGCTATCAGTAAAGTCGTCCCAGAAGCCTCTAGGTCGCCAGAAGGGATGCAGAGTCGTATCTCTGTCTTGTTGGCTCTTTGGTCTTTGCGACAAAGTGCTATTTCGCCTCGAAATGGAAGATGAGAGGAATGGCTGAATTAAGTTCTCGGAATACCTTCGAGCCTTTTCGACAAGAGATGGTCGGCGGAGTGGTGGTGAGGGAGGAGATGGCGTCTTACGGAGTTGAGAGGATGGAGTCGCAGGACTGATGATCACAGCGGGAAGACGAGGTGGCTGGGGTGCTGCGCGTGGGTTTCGAAGAGGAGAGTCAACTTCTACGCGACTGGAATCTTCGAGAGTAGGAGGTGTTGGTATGTCGATGATGGCGTGGAAAGTAGGACGTGAGCCTTCCACAACGGGTTCCATTTCACTGCCGGGTGTTTCCTGCGCTTTGATATCTCTGACTCCATCTGCATTCTGAGCTTCCGCTAATCGTCTCTTGGCGACATGTTGAACCATGAGTAAGGAGTTGTTCCCGTGTGGGTAGAGATTAATAGCTTGGGCCTCGTTCAGCTCCATTGCGTCTGTTCGGTCGGAGAGCTGTGAAAAAGGACTTGTACTGGAATGGAAATTGCGAACATCCCTAGAATCGGAAGATTTACGAGGCGAAGTCGGCTGGGCATATTCAGACAGTGCTTGTGTTGACAAGTTCTTCTGCTGTGAAGGTAGCAACAACCTGTGATCGATCGGCTGGACACGATCCATAGATAGCCTCGGTGAACGTTCCAGCTCGGGCGATTCGAGTTCAGCGTCAATAGAATGTCTCTTCCAACCTTGCTGTGGACCGAGGCTTATCTTCGCACTCTGGCCATGTACGCGGCTGAACAAATCCCTCGAAGCATTCGCGGAAGAACTGGTAGCGGAACGGATGGGCGCAGATACATGGCGTAATCTTGTTCGTGGCTGTTGAGCATCTTGATCAGGAGCTGCATAGTCGAGCCATATGTCGCTGTTGAGATCAACTTGCTGATCCAACGATGTACGCGGGGTTTCACTCTCGATATAATCTTGCTTCAGAGAAACGTGGTTCTTCGAGTGATGCAGCCGGTTCTTGCGAGGAATAAGCAAATGTGTCTTGTCAACCACCTCACTAGAGGCAGAAGAGCGAGATGAGCGGCGCTCAGGAATGACAATTATGGGCACCTTGCTTACGCGACCTGTCTCAGGGTTAGAGACAGATCGCGCTGCATCGATATCCCCATTGACCAAGTGCTTCCGTCCAAGCAGAGGTGATGGTCGGTGATCCATAGTATGTTGAGACTCGAAAGAGCTACGTCTTGAAGAAGCATCTTCACGCAGGGTATCGACCCTGCTGACTCGTCGTAGGGCTGGTTGTTTCTGCTGTTGACGTGGATGCGTAACAACAAAGGCTTCGATGACAGTGGATGTAGTGGATGCAGCAGATAGACGTTTCGACTTGTCGTTTCGCATGTGTTGGTGAAGATGATCGTTATCCGTTTCCGACCAATCAAGAGTCTCTCCGTGTTTGACTGTAGAAGGGCTCCCATTAGCGCCCTCAGACTGCGGCATGACTACAGATATTGATCTCTTGTGACTACTAGTCGGGATGTTCTGACTGGATGTAGTTTGTTGGTGAGAGTTACCCGCACGCTTCTTGCGGACGGTTACATTCCTCATGAAATTGCCAGCCTCGGACTCGGGAGTAGATGAAGATTCCCTGTCCAGGTCTCCTGGGAGAATGTATTCAAACAGATTGGAGGAAACGGCAGGTGCTGGAAAAGCACTATGTGTTTCTTGTGTTGGTGTCGTCTCCCCAGAACTGGATGATGAACCCCACAATTGACTGTGCCTGTCCGGAACATTCAGCGGCAGACTGCTCAGTCGTATACCCCTTGTCGCATCCAACCACTTGTGCCCGGCTTCTGATTTGAGCGGAAGGCTAGCCTGACTCGTGCTGGCACTGGCTTGACATTGTGTTTCTCTTGCTGTCATGAAGGATTCGGCGCGCGAAGATACAGAATGTGGCATGGCAGGGCGTGGCGGCGCAAGATCTTTGGTACGGGGATTTGGTGGGGTCAGGTCGGGAGTTGGAGGTCTCTGTTGATTCGGAGGTGTGTTGGTGCCTGCTTTTTCCCGTGGCAAGGCTACCAGATGAGGGTAGGCTGCGCTCGCATTGCGCGATTGTGTAGGCGGTGTAGGAGGAAGTGTCGAATTGCGGCGCATGAGGGAGATAGAAGGAGCATCTCTAGGCCGGTATCCCTCATGCATATCGGCATCCGACAAGTCCGAGTCATCGTCGCTGTCAGAGAAGTCGGCATGCCTAGGCGATTCGGCCTTTTCGGTCGTTTGTCGCGAAGGTAGTGCCTTGTAGGCTTGCAGGAAGTTGGCATCTCTGAAGGATTGCTCTAGTAGAGAGAAAGCTTTGTCAAACTGTGAGGTGGGCATGTCGAGTGGTGATTCGCAATCGAAGGGTCGTAGAAACATGAAGTCGTCGCTTTTTACGGATGTTGGTGGGCATTGGCACGCTCAGCGCATATCGTAGACGGAAAGAGAAGGTCGAGGTATAATCAGTAAGATTGAAAGGACGTGACAAGCAGAGGTTTGACAGACGTCTGCGCAGATGCAGACGTAAATGTCCAGCGACAGCGAATATAGTCGTCGGTTACACGCGCGGCCCACGTTCACTTAACACAGAGGTTGGCCAAGTTGGATAGGATTGGTTGGTGGACAGCGAATGCGAAGCGCATGCACAGCAAATCGGCTAAGCCATGCACCAGAGTCCGGGAACTTGCACACCGAACGTCACTATCGTCACGAATGAATAGGAAGGAACGACGTGCCAGCCTCAAGCCAGAAAAGAGAGACAGGAGAAGGGGCCAACAGGCAAGACAGAGAGACGCGTGAAGATTGTAAAAAGTTGGAAACCGAACCAGGGTGCAGCACTGCGACACGCTTGCGCCGGCTTTTGGGCAGAAACGTCACTCCTCCGCTCCTTCCTTTTGGCGGACCCGAAGTGATCTAATCACCACTTTCACATGATATAGACGACTTCCAATTATCATTGATTTTGAACAAGCCGCACTGTACACCAGCTCAAGGAGTATGCCTAGGTAACATCTTTTCGGTCTTTGATCCTTGCATCAGAGAGTCATATCCCATGTTTCTCGATGTCGTCGCCAAGCGGACCTGTCTTCCGTGATAGACTTCGAGTCACACGATATTTTGAACAATTGACCTATCAGAACTGCTGCCGAATCTCCATGTATGCATGTTCGCGAATTCCATCACCATCTCGTATGTCCTTTCTTCGTCTCGGTATACTTGTTGGTCTGTTGGACTAGTCATGCGCTTGCAACATGTTGGAAATGTTGGTGGTTGGTGACACCCTGGTCTGAGCTTGGATCTTGTTTCAACGAGCCACTTGCTTGCGCCTCGAATCGCATGCGTTTTAGTGTTTCTGATACTGAATATGGCTGTGCAGAGCTGTATCTAAAGATATACTGAGACCGTGATATTACAGTCTACTGACTGAATCGTTCATGTCATCTATCGGCCTCTCGTATCAATGTTCGCAATTAGGACACACTGAAAGACGACAAGTGTGTTTGAGGTCTAGACGTATATTCAATGTTGCAGTTACCTGGTATTGCTGTACTACTCATTGCATTGTTAGAGGCTTCTGATGGTTTGTATAATCACGAGTAGTGCTCGTAGTGCGTGTTGAGCTGGCCAATCGATTTGAACGAGTTTTGATTCATCGCATGCTAACATGACCTTTTTCTGCCCTCACGACCGTCCCTTAGACCCGACGACAGATGATGCCGATGGGTTCTCAGCCAGAGCAAGAAAGCGTAGACTTAGACGCCGAGCCCTTTTAAAATCTCCACATGCATTTTTGCCTTTTCTCAAGTCACAAACTCGTCTTTGATATCCGTCGAGACTTTGCGCCAGCATTCAACCGAAGAAAAGATTTTTCATTTCAAAAAGAACAGGGGGAATCGTTTAGCGGCGGGCCGAGTTCTCCTTGAGAACCTTCTTGACGATCTTCTGCTCCTCGATCAGGAAGGCGCGGACGACGCGGTCCTTGACGCAGTTGGCGCAGCGGGAACCACCGTAGGCACGCTGGACGGTCTTCTTGGGGCGCGAGATGGTAGCGTACTCGCGGGGACGGAGGGCGGGAACCTGAAGAGGAACCGGGTTAGTTTGGTGTTTGGTTGTGTACTTGTCCAAGAGATTCGTCGAGATGGGATGCGAAGGATTGTTGTCGGTGATATGTATTCAAGTCGGTGTGCCGGAGAGTGATCCAGGTAGGTATGCATGTCGCAAGGTGTGTTCGAGAATCTCTTGGACGATTGGACATCGACTTACGCCTGCAAGCTTGACACCACAGTCACCGCACTTGGGAGCGGTACCCTTCTTCTTGATGTGAAGGTAACGGAGCTCGCCACCGGGAGTCTTGATGACTCTGACCTTGTTGGACTTGGTGTTGTAGCTGGAAGCAGCTCATGTCAGCGCGTCTGTTTCCTAGCATTTGATTGTACGGCTGTGCGGTTTCGGGAAAGATAAAGCGATCGGAGGTGGGAGTTTTGCGCAGTGGTTCGGTATGGGAGCGTGTCGTGTAGAATTGTGCAAAATTGCGGTGTCGACTTACGGTTGCCTGCGGCGCTGCGAAGAGGGTCAGTATGTCAAAATTGCAAAGAGCAGCACATCTCCAGAACGTACGTAGGTGAGTCTGTTGGAGGGCATCTTGACGGTGTTGGGTGTGTCGCTGGGTGATGAATTGTCGTCGCTCGCGAGATCGTTCAATCAAGGCGCAAAAATCCAGACTGGAGTGTGTGCTCGGCTTCGCGCTTTCCAATTCCCCACGGTTTTGCCGCTCATGTGGCAGGTGCGCCAAGCCTCTGGTCGTGCTTTCCTTGGATGAATCTCCAGCTTCGTCGCGCCAAGTCAAAGGTCGCCACGACTTTTACAGACTCAAGCAGTTCGAAGCCACGGGCATCACTGCGCCATCGACTGACACGAGAGGAGCTTCTATATCGACGTGTCTCTTCTTCGTGCTACTCTGGATCCATCCATCTGAGGACGCGATCCTACAGACACCGCGGTCGGGGAAGCAGCACCAGCTGCCGTGATTAGATCACCACCCCCAGCGCTGCGACCATCCACCTCTTCGCCAACAGACACCTCATCTCATCATCGCCATGTCTGCACCACCGCCACCTCCTCCAGGCTGGGACGCTCCTCCCCGCCCCCACCTGGAGCCGCTCCTCCCGGCGCCCTCGCCCCTCCTCCGCCTGGCTACAAACCTCAAGTGGATCCTCAGATCGCCAAGTTTGCCGACAAGAAGCAAAAATGGCTGCGCATGCAAAGACAGCGCTTTGGAGAAAAGAGACGTGGAGGTTTTGTCGAGACACAGAAGGCTGATATGCCGCCGGAGCATTTGCGAAAGATCGTAAAGGACATTGGAGATGTTTCGCAGAAGAAGTTCAGTGCAGACAAGAGAAGTTATTTGGGCGCTCTCAAGTTCATGCCGCATGCTGTCTTGAAGCTCTTGGAGAACATGCCCATGCCCTGGGAGAGCGTGCGCGAGGTCAAGGTTCTGTACCACGTCAATGGATGCTTGACATTGGTCAACGAAATTCCTCGTGTCATTGAGCCAGTCTTCCATGCGCAATGGGCCTCCATGTGGGTCGCCATGAGGCGAGAGAAGAGTGACAGAAGACACTTCAAGCGTATGCGCTTCCCTCCCTTGACGATGAAGAACCGCCACTCTCATGGTCTGAGAACATCGAGGATGTCGAGCCGCTTGAGCCCATTCAGCTGGAACTGGACGAGGATGATGATGCTGCCATCTACGAGTGGTTCTACGACCCCGCCCTCTTTTGGACACTTCACACGTCAATGGACCCGGATACAAGAAGTGGAATCTGTCACTACCGCAAATGGCTGCTCTTCACCGTATGAGCACTCCCCTACTTAGCGATCTGGTCGACAAGAACTACTTCCATCTATTCGACCTACCTAGTTTCCAGACTGCCAAGGCTCTGAACGTCGCCATTCCTGGTGGTCCTCGTTTCGAGCCCCTGTACAAGGACATTGACCCGAACGACGAAGACTTTGGCGAGTTCAACGCTATCGACCGCATCATTTTCCGTGCCCCCATCAAGACCGAGTACCGTGTCGACTTCCCTTTCCTTTACAACTCTCTTCCTCGCAGCGTCAAGCTCAGCACATACTCACACCCTCAGACCGTGTACCAAAGGACAACGGATCCCAGTCTCCCCGCATTCTACTTTGATCCGGTCATTAATCCTATCTCTTCGAGAGCTGTCGCTCCTAAGAACTTGACCGTCAGTCATGAAGACGAGATCTTCGGCCCTGGAAACAACGAGGATGATGAGTTTGAGATGCCTGGCGAGATTGAGCCTTTCATGTCCGACGAAGACCTCTACAATGACGAGACTGCTGCAGCCATCCAGCTGTGGTGGGCACCTTACCCCTTCGACCGCCGCTCAGGCAAGATGGTTCGTGCTGAAGACGTCCCTCTCGTCAAGCAGTGGTACCTTGAGCACGTTCCTGGCGGTCAGCCCGTCAAGGTCCGAGTTTCTTACCAGAAGTTGCTCAAGAGTTACGTTCTTAACGAGTTGCACAAGAAGCCGCCAAAGGCTCAGAACAGGCAAAACCTGATGAGCACTCTCAAGCAGACAAAGTTCTTCCAGCAGACCACCATTGATTGGGTTGAGGCGGGTCTTCAAGTCTGCAGACAGGGCTTCAACATGCTCAACCTGTTGATTCACCGCAAGAACTTGACCTACCTGCATCTTGATTACAACTTCAACTTGAAGCCCATCAAGACTTTGACTACAAAGGAGCGTAAGAAGTCGCGCTTCGGTAACGCTTTCCATTTGATGCGTGAAATCCTCCGTTTGACCAAGCTCATTGTCGATGCTCAAGTACAGTACAGACTTGGTAACATTGATGCTTTCCAGCTTGCCGATGGTATCTTGTATGCCTTCAACCACGTTGGTCAGCTTACTGGTATGTACCGTTACAAGTACAAGCTCATGCACCAGATCCGTACTTGCAAGGATTTGAAGCATTTGATCTACTACAGATTCAACTCTGGCCCCGTCGGTAAGGGTCCTGGTTGCGGTTTCTGGGCCCCTGCATGGAGAGTTTGGCTCTTCTTCATGAGAGGTATCATTCCTCTCCTTGAGCGCTGGCTGGGCAACCTTCTCTCGAGACAGTTCGAGGGTCGTCACAGCAAGGGTGTTGCTAAGACAGTCACCAAGCAGAGAGTCGAGTCTCACTTCGATCTCGAGCTGCGTGCCTCGGTCATGGCTGACTTGATGGATATGATGCCCGAGGGTATCAAGCAGAACAAGGTCAACCTTGTCCTTTCACATCTGTCAGAGGCTTGGAGATGCTGGAAGTCCAACATTCCTTGGAAGGTTCCTGGTCTACCTGCACCTATTGAGAACATCATTCTCCGTTACGTCAAGAGCAAGGCCGACTGGTGGATTTCCGTCGCTCACTACAATCGTGAGCGTATCCGAAGAGGTGCTACCGTCGACAAGACTGTCGCCAAGAAGAACCTTGGACGCCTGACTCGTTTGTGGTTGAAGGCTGAGCAGGAACGCCAGCACAACTACATGAAGGATGGTCCTTACGTCTCTTCCGAAGAGGCTGTCGCCATCTACACCACTACTGTCCACTGGCTCGAATCAAGAAAGTTCCAGCCTATCCCCTTCCCTAGTGTTTCGTACAAGCACGACACCAAGATTCTCATTCTTGCTCTTGAGCGTTTGCGTGAAGCATACTCAGTCAAGGGTCGTCTCAACCAGAGTCAGCGTGAGGAGTTGGCCCTTATCGAACAGGCCTACGACTCTCCAGGAACCACTCTCGCACGTATCAAGCGTTTCCTGCTTACTCAGCGTGCCTTCAAGGAGGTCGGCATTGATATGAACGACAACTATTCGACCATTAATCCAGTCTATGATATTGAACCCATTGAGAAGATCACAGATGCTTATCTCGACCAGTACCTCTGGTACCAGGCAGATCAGAGACATCTCTTCCCTGCTTGGATCAAGCCTTCAGACTCTGAGGTACCCCCTCTTCTTACCTACAAATGGGCCCAAGGCATCAACAATCTGGACAAGGTCTGGGAGACTGCTGATGGAGAGTGCAACGTCATGATCGAGACTCAGCTGTCCAAGGTGTACGAAAAGATCGATCTCACCCTGCTCAACCGTCTTCTTCGTTTGATCATGGACCACAACTTGGCAGATTACATCTCGTCCAAGAACAACGTCCAGCTGAACTATAAGGACATGAACCATACCAACAGCTATGGTATGATTCGTGGTCTCCAGTTCTCAGCTTTCGTCTTCCAATACTACGGTCTGGTCATCGATCTATTGCTGCTCGGTCTCCAACGCGCCAGTGAAATAGCCGGACCCCCAGCCATGCCTAATGACTTTCTTCAATTCCGAGACCGTGCTGCTGAAACTAGACATCCCATTCGTCTGTACACAAGATATGTTGACAGAATTTGGGTCTTCTTCCGTTTCAGCGCAGACGAGTCTCGCGACCTGATTCAACGCTTCTTGACCGAACAGCCAGACCCGAACTTCGAAAACGTCATTGGTTACAAGAACAAGAAGTGCTGGCCTCGCGATTCTCGCATGAGGCTGATGCGTCACGACGTCAACCTGGGTAGAGCCGTCTTCTGGGACATGAAGAACCGTCTGCCTAGATCGGTAACCACTATCGAGTGGGACGACACCTTTGCCTCTGTCTACAGCAGAGACAACCCTAACCTTCTGTTCTCCATGTGCGGTTTCGAGGTCCGCATTCTGCCCAAGATGCGCAACCAGAACGAAGAGTTCCCCACTAAGGACAGTGTCTGGTCTCTTGTCGACAACTCTACCAAGGAGAGAACAGCCCACGCTTTCTTGCAGGTCACCGAAGAGGACATTGCCAAGTTCAACAACCGTATTCGTCAAATCTTGATGTCTTCTGGATCTACTACATTCACGAAGATTGCCAACAAGTGGAACACTGCGTTGATTGCGCTCTTCACGTACTACCGTGAGGCTGCTGTCAGCACTGTCAACTTGCTGGATACCATCGTCAAGTGCGAAACCAAGATTCAGACTCGCGTCAAGATCGGTCTTAGTAAGTTTTTCATATCCATCTCTATTCTAAAAACATACTAACTCTCCCAACGACAGCAAGATGCCTTCCAGGTTCCCACCTGCCGTGTTCTACACACCCAAAGAGCTCGGTGGTTTGGGTATGATTTCGGGTAGTCACATTCTGATTCCTGCCAGCGACAAGCGTTGGTCAAAGCAGACCGACACTGGCGTCACCCACTACCGTGCCGGTATGTCTCACGACGAGGAGACTTTGATCCCCAACATCTTCAGATACATCATTCCTTGGGAAGCCGAGTTCGTCGACTCGCAGCGTGTCTGGACCGAGTATTCACAAAAGCGTCTTGAGGCCCAACAGCAGAATCGCCGTCTTACTCTTGAGGATCTCGAGGACAGCTGGGACCGTGGTCTTCCTCGTATTAACACACTTTTCCAAAAGGACAGAAGCACACTCAGTTTCGACAAGGGTTTCAGAGCTCGTACTGAGTTCAAGATCTACCAGCAAATGAAGAGCAATCCCTTCTGGTGGACATCTCAGCGTCACGATGGTAAGCTGTGGAACCTCAACGCATACAGAACCGATGTCATCCAGGCTCTTGGTGGTGTCGAGACCATTCTCGAGCACACATTGTTCAAGGCAACTGCCTTCCCCTCATGGGAAGGTCTCTTCTGGGAACGTGCAAGCGGCTTCGAGGTAATATATAACTCTTGCCTCCCAACTTTGTGAGCTATGCTAACCATATTTTTGCTATAGGAGAGCATGAAGTTCAAGAAGTTGACCAACGCCCAAAGATCGGGTCTGAACCAAATTCCCAATCGTCGCTTCACCTTGTGGTGGTCACCGACAGTAAGTAACACCCCTATCTGTCCCAAGCCTCCTTCTCTCCCACAGCCTGATTCGCGTTTCAATGCGCTATCAAAATGCACAAACTCTTTCCATTCAGGCGTGTATCCATTGAGAGCCTCGGAAAAGAGCGCTCTCTGTGGATGCACTCTGTTGAGACAAAGAACTGTGCATTTTGATAGCCGCTTTTCGTGGACCCAGTGCTTTGGGAGATACCCACCCCTGAGTATTGTCGTGAACCTTGCTGACTGATTGTGTCTACAGATCAATCGTGCCAACGTTTACGTTGGTTTCCAGGTCCAGCTTGATTTGACCGGTATTTTCTTGCACGGCAAGATTCCTACCCTCAAGATCTCGCTGATTCAGATCTTCCGTGCCCATTTGTGGCAGAAGATTCAGTAAGAGCTCACCCGAAACCTTTTTTATCTATTTCGACATCAGCTAACTTTCCTATAGCGAGTCTGTTGTCATGGATTTGTGTCAAGTCTTCGACCAGGAGCTTGAAGCTCTCGGCATCGAGACTGTTCAGAAGGAGACTATCCATCCCAGAAAGAGTTACAAGATGAACTCTTCTTGCGCCGATATTCTTCTGTTCGCCAGTCACAAGTGGAGTGTCAGCACCCCCAGCTTGTTGTACGACACCAAGGACAACATGGGTCAGACCACTACCAACAAGTTCTGGGTTGATGTCCAGCTTCGTTACGGTGATTACGACTCTCACGACATCGAGCGTTATGTTCGTGCCAAGTACCTCGACTACACCTCGGACAGCATGAGTATCTACCCATCTGCTACTGGCTTGATGATAGGTATTGATCTTGCTTACAACCTGTACTCTGCCTATGGACAGTACTTCCCTGGTCTTAAGCAGCTTGTTCAGCAGGCTATGGCCAAGGTCATGAAGGCTAACCCTGCTCTTTACGTTCTTCGTGAGCGCATTCGCAAGGGTCTGCAGCTGTACGCTTCTGAGAGCAACCAGGAGTTCCTCAACTCCCAGAACTACTCTGAGTTGTTCAGCAATCAGATTCAGCTCTTCATCGATGATACCAACGTTTACCGTGTCACCATTCACAAGACTTTTGAAGGTAACTTGACTACAAAGCCAATCAACGGTGCCATCTTCATTTTCAACCCCAGAACTGGTCAGCTGTTCTTGAAGATTATCCACACCAGTGTTTGGGCAGGACAAAAGCGTCTTGGTCAATTGGCGAAGTGGAAGACGGCAGAAGAAGTGGCAGCGCTCATTCGTTCGTTGCCCGTCGAGGAACAGCCCAAGCAGCTGATCGTTACCAGAAAGGGTCTTCTTGATCCTCTCGAGGTTCACTTGCTTGATTTCCCCAACATCTCCATTCGTGCTTCTGAGCTGCAACTGCCTTTCCAGGCCGCAATGAAGGTCGAGAAGCTCGGAGACATGATCTTGCGTGCCACTGAGCCTCAGATGGTGCTCTTTAACCTGTACGATGAATGGCTCAAGTCCATTTCGTCTTACACTGCCTTCTCGCGTCTCATCTTGATTCTGCGTGCCTTACACGTTAACCAGGACAAGACCAAGTTGTTGCTCCGTCCTGACAAGACTGTCATCACTCAAGAGCATCACATCTGGCCCACGTTATCTGACGATGACTGGATCAAGGTTGAAACGCAATTACGTGATCTGATCTTGAACGATTACGGAAAGAAGAACAATGTCAACGTCTCTTCTCTGACTCAGAGCGAAGTCAGAGATATCATTCTGGGTATGGAAATCAGTGCACCCAGTATGCAGAGACAACAGGCTGCCGAAATTGAGAAACAGCAAGAGGAGCAGGCCCAGCTCACTGCTGTTACCACCAAGACTCAAAATGTGAACGGTGAGGACATTGTCGTCACTACCACGTCTCAATTCGAGCAACAGACCTTCGCCTCAAAGACTGAGTGGAGAACACGTGCAATTGCCACGTCCAACCTTCGCACTCGCGCCAACAACATCTACATCTCGTCCGAGGATATCCGTGATGACGAGGAGCACTTCACCTACATCATGCCAAAGAACATCCTCAAGCGCTTCATCACTATCGCCGATCTTCGTGTTCAGGTTGCTGGTTACCTGTACGGTACATCGCCACCAGACAACAAGCAGATCAAGGAAGTCAAGGCTATCGTTATGGTGCCTCAAGTTGGCAACACTCGCGACATTCAGCTTCCTCGCAACCTGCCCGAGAATGATATTCTCAACTCTCTTGAGCCTCTTGGATGGATTCACACAAGCGCTGGCAACGAGACAAGCTACATGACGGCACAGGATGTTACCCAGCACGCCCGTTTGATGAATCAGCACGAATCTTGGGACAAGAAGACTGTCACAATGACAGTCTCCTTCACTCCTGGTTCGGTCTCGCTGTCTGCATGGTCTCTCACTCCCTCTGGCTACACTTGGGGAGCCGAGAATAAGGACATGTCATCCGACCAGCCATCTGGCTTCAACCCAGGCGCCGGCTTTGGTGAGAAGTCCCAACTCCTGCTCTCTGACCGGATCAGAGGAATGTTCTTCGTTCCCGACGATGAGAGATGGAATTGGTCATTCATGGGCTCAGGTTTCGGTGACAAGGAGAAGGGTCGCATCTACGTGGATGTTGGTGTGCCCAAGAGATTCTACGATGACGTGCACAGACCTGTTCATTTCCAGAACTTTGCCGAGTTGGAAGATGTCTGGGTCGACAGGTCTGATAACTTGGCTTAGAAGGGTTGATGGAATTGGTAGGGGCGTTTACGGATGAAACAAGCATGGCGTTATTGTACTTCAATTGTAAATGAGTTTATATCATCAGTCACGAAAGACGAATAGCAAAATTGTATTTCTAGCATGCACAAAAGACTTCTCACCAGGCAGCTACTGGTTCCATCGTTCCTTCCGTATTAGTTGGTTGATCGATCGTTCCTTCCTCGCATGCTTGAGCGCGCCTTCCCTCTGATCTTGATCGCTCCTGCTTTGTGTGCTCGATTGCTCCTTCCTTTCGCGCTCCATCGTTCCTTCCTCTAACGCTCAATCGATGTTCTCTCGTGGGCTCGATCGCTTTTTTCTCCCTCGTTACAGTTAACCACTCTGTTCTCTTATAGTCGATGACTTTCCTCTTCGCTCCTTTCTCTTGCGTTTCGTGGCTCCTTTCCGTCACATTCGGTCGCTACTCGCTCTCTGGCATGCACGGTGAAACTATCGAGTCGATTCGGAGGCTCCAAGATGGAATGATGTAGTGATAATTCGTACTTGACATTATACACTTCTGTCCTTCTACTGTCCGCTCCCCTGTTTCTCATTCATCTAATGAAACTCTGCCTGCACGACACCATACCCAACCCCACCCACCCTCAACTCAAACACCAGATCGGCAGACTGTATCCTCATGACCAACTCAAAGTCCAAGTTCAAAAACTCTGCTCCTTTGCTGGTTTTGAGTCTGGTAAACAATTCTTGAGGTACGGCCCCGAGATCGGTGCGTAATGTGCATACAGTAGATAAAGTTTTTGTGCGCGAAGGGGGTGCAGAGTCGGCGCCACAGGCTATTAGTTCGTCGGTGACTATCAGGGATTGTGAGGGGAGGAAGTTGCGGGTATAGTGGAAGGATATGGGTGTGTCGGGGGATATGGCGGTATTNCTGTAAAGAACAAGGTTAGCTTTTTGTGTATCTTGCTTTTTTTGTTCTTTTTTGAATGAGCGAGGGGGTTTGCTGACCTTGGAGATGTGCCATTGCATGCGGTCTGACACCATCCAGCGCTCCCACAATGGAGACCAGTAGCGATCTGCGATGTCATGTTGCGTCTCATCGAATACCGTAGCGTACGAGGTGCCGTAGTGTAGTCTGCTGCGACGAGAAGACACCATGCTGTCGTCCAACCCCCTGATTACTGCACCTCTGACCACTGCAGTCCATGCATATAGCGGTTGAATGACTTCGACGGGAGGATAGTCCTGTGGTCGCTGTACTTCGTCTTTTTCCGAGTATGCAGGCGGCGAAGCAGTGTTGAAGTACACTTTCAACCGATTGTACAAGTGATTACTTTGGCCGAAACCACCGACCAATATAATTCCAGACACAATATCGCCTTTTTCACGGATTGTGTTGACCTGCCCATCCAACAACTTCAACACTTCATCAATAACTGGGTCGAAAATCTCTTTTACTTGCAATGAACTCATGACCATGAATCCTGAGTCTATACCTGCTTCCTCATTATCAGGAAGGCCGGGGAAAGGTACGTTGACTTCTGTGGCTTCGTCTTCGTTATAGTTGCGCTTGACAAATTCTTCAAAGTACTTGAGGCCCATCATCCAGGTTTTTGGCTTCTTGTTGCGCATGTGGCTGTAAGTGTCTTCGCCTAGTCGTTGCTTGACGTGTTCTTCAAAGCGATAGTTGAGGAATGCCGAGCCGCAGAGGCCGCCTGTGCCTACGGCGCTCTCTTCGACTCTGAGGGGAGAGAGTTGGGTGATTTTGCTAGATGTAAAAGTTAGCTTGATTATCAACGTCCTTCTCAGGTAGGCACGAACTATNGCAATCAGGTCTACAGTGCCACCTCCAGCATCGCAGATGACAAAGTTGTCCCCGACCTTGAGATTATGCGGCTGCACCGTCTTGAGTGCATGCAGCATAGCAGCTTCGGGCTCACTGATCAACCTCAATTCATGCTTCTTGCCCATGCCTGCCTTTTCCGCTGCCTGCAGCGTCGCATTCTTNGCAGAATCGCTCCACACAGCGGGCACGGTAAGCACAAACTCCACCTTTGTCATTGCCATGAAGCTCTCTCCATATCTTCTGTTCAGCGTCTCCATGGTATGCGTATACATTTGGCCCAAGTAATCGCTCACAGCATCCATGACCGTGCGATCGCATTGCCTCAAATGTGCAGCCGTATCCAACGGACTCACAAAATGCGGCAACTTTTGGTTTCTGTCCAGGAACAGCTTTATGCAGCGTAACCGCGGTTCTTCAGGTCTGAATTGGAAGCCCCACTTTATGCGCTGGACAGTAGATTTTGCGCCACCGCCTTGTTCGGGGGTGATTGTGGTATTCGGAACGGAGGGGAGGGAGGTGGTCTCGTAGGCGATTTCGGTGGGGACTTTGTCGGAGGTTATGCCGTTGCCTCCTGGCCANTCTTTGTTGCGGTCAGTTCTTGCTCCTTCTTGTCTATGAGTGGTTGATCTTCCTCACGTCTTGATGATCTCAATGTCGTCGGGGTTCGCACTGTAGGCTGCTGCCACNACTGTGAAGCTGTTAGCCGTGGAGCCTGCCGTGGAGAGATGCACCACCTACCCAGAATATGTAGTGCCAAAGTCGACTCCGACAATGATTCTGTCAGAGGTGACTTGGATGTGTCCATTGCTATCGCCATTGACGGCCGGCGTCGGGGCTGCGAAGCTAACGTTGGGTCCAGCCATTGTACAGAGATGCTTCCACGGTTGTCGTGGAGAAGAAGGAACGAGCGTCGCCGACGCAGCGTCAGTCACAGACTAGGTATACCCAAGAGATACCGGGAGAAGAGCACAGAAAGACAAAAAGCTCAATTGGTCAAGCCGGGCAAGCAGCTGAGATCAGCAATGGGGACGGCAGACAAGATTTGGAAAAGAGAGTTGGTATTATGACAAGCACTGACGGACAAGGAAACAAGCTCGCATCAACCTTAACTCTCAAAGTGGAAGACCACGAGGGAAAGAGCAAAGGGCGAGAACAGCAATGCAGCCAGCCCAATGTCAGCAGCAGTCAAAGAGCGGTACCAATATGACAGCAGCGGAGCCCTGCCTCCGACTCGGCAGCTGAAGAGAGAGACACGCCCGCATAGTCTGGAAACACGCACTGCTCAGCCGCAGACGCTCTTACCTCTAGCAGCGGCAGTCAGAAAAGCATGCGTTTCCCCCCCTTGTCCGAGTCCGAAACCATTTGCTCTTGTCACAAAAGTGGTGTAACGCGAAAGAGAGAGCTGGCTCAGACAATCTTCCCGGCCGGGCATTGCCCCACATGCCCGCCAGTCACCCTGCCTTGTCTCGGACATTTTACGTGCAGATCTTGTCCTCTTCCGGTTGTCTGGAGAGCCGCAGCTTCGGGTTCGTGCCTGTCGATAGCATCACCATCCTTGGCTGTAAGCCTCTTCTGATAGATCACCAAGTAGAACGACCCTTTGACGGGCTCGTCTGTGCTAAGAGCTCCTCTAGTAGGCAAGCGAGTGTCCAGACTCTCCATGTCAGACAGAGCCAGCCGCACGTGAGGAGATAATTTAGCAGACCATAAAGCTTCAAGTTTCAGCTCTGCGACCTGAACTCCTTGCGCCTGAAACTTGCCTCACCATCCTCTCCTTACCGTGGTCCAGTATTTGCAAGATAGTAATCTTTGCATCAGCATTTCTCTGTCAGGAGTGCAGACCCGGCGGCAGTAGCGGAGCAAGGTAGCATTGTAAGGCTAACAACTACTCGGAAAACAGGCTCCAAGTAATTGTAAGCTTTCCCCCCTTGTGTAATATCCACTCCATTTTTATTGCCTTTTGAACCTTTTTGTCTCGGAGTGTATATGAATGTACCTTGCTCCTCGCTGTCTCTAGATTTTGCGGGTTGTCGACCATTAGTCCAACAGAGATACTCGTCTCCAAATATTGACAAGATGGCAAGACCGGAAACGACANAAAAGCGAGTTTCCAATCTCGTTGGCAGATTTGAACAATTGGCTCGGGCGTGTCCGATTCAGGAATACAGTTGTCCAGGTCTGAAATCACCGACTCTGACACGGCCGGCTTCTCATCATGGCGACAAGGCATGGCTGCAGAATGACCGAAGATGTCAGTCCATGTCCTCCATGCCAATCTCCTCAACCCCCTCGACCAGACTGCAGCGCGAACTCGATCGCAATGCGGAATTACGACAAGAAATCGAACAATTGCGCAGTCGCTGCAACGAAGACGAAGAAATACTCACAACGTTGTCTAAGCGTCTGGAAGAAGGCACCGAGTTGCAAGCGTCTCTACGCATCCAAACCTCTGGCTTGCAATCAAAAGTCGACAGGTTAGCAGACAGACTCCGACAAAGAGACGAAGTCCAAAAAGCAGAGTACGAGCGAAGAATCGTGGCTGTTGTCAACGAACGCGAAATCTTAGCCTCGAGATTACAAAAGGCCGAAGCAAGTGTCGAAAGAGCTCGAGCTTTGGAAGAAACCGCAAGAAACGCAGACGAGGAACTAAGGGCCACAGATGAAAGAGCTCAAACAGCAGATAAACAAGTAGCAGCACTACGGAAACAGTTGCTCGAGCTCAAGACAGATGTTGCTGCTCGCTCAGGAAAGCAAGAGGATATTAGTGATCAAGAAATCCTTGACATGATGAACAAACTCAATCACCTTGTTCAAAGCTGGTGTGTCAGTAGTTTCCGAAAGGTCAAGATTGGTATGTGTTCTGGGACCACCCCTCTCGACTTGATGCTAACATGTTACANNGACCCAGGGAGGATGAGTCACAGATTCGAAAAAATAGCAGCTCTACAGAAAGCAAAGTCGCTACGGAAGCTTTATGCTACCTTTGACACGAGCATGAAAATCTTCACTTTCCAAGCCACAGTGTTGCATCTGCTTATGCCAATCTTCGATGCACATTTCTTTGGACTACCCGAAGAATTGATGGGCTTGGACTCAGCCGCTTGGGAAATGGAATGTATGTTTCTGTGATTGATGTGTTACTTACTTTTATTTACTGATAGTCGTCCAGCTTTGACAGCAGCCTTCAACACATGGCGAGCAATGACATATGCCTTTTTGCAGCAGGATAACGAGTTGAAGGAGCGCTATCGAGTTTCACAAGCCAAAGCACAGGTACAGATAGTGGAGCAAATCTGCAAAACCATGTCAGCATTAACAGGATCGGCCATCTTGGAGGAGCAGAAACGCACCTTGAGCGCACTGGTGGAGCACGCTGTCTCATTAGCCCGAATACTGGGGAGCCAGCGCGCTACGTATCGGTGTTTTCTGCCGCAACCTATTGACCAAGACGCCCTTGAGTTCGAGGGTACCGCGATGGAAAACCTGATGGACGAACAGGAGAACGATGGCGTTGCAAAGGATGTCAGATGTGTGGTATCCCCAGCACTGATTAAGCAGGGAGGAGAAAGAGGTGAACATGTGAGATATCCCTATTGTTTCGCCGGGACATGGTTGACTGACGCTGAGCAGATGGAAGTGGAAAATGTCCTCGTGAAAGCCAAAGTGCTTTGTGTTGAAGACGACTCCGATGGCGATGAACCGATGGATTGAAGACCAAGTCCGTATCATAATGTGTTCTCTCTCTGGCGTAAGGCGAACAATCTAGGATTGTAGGCAACAGGCATGGACTGCGAGGGTATATGGCGTTTGGTGACTTTGTTTGCATGTGCCGTGGCAGCAGCGTCCAAGGTTTTCTCGACTTCGTGCACGAGCGTGTCAGCGCTAGTAGCGGCGGCTATGATGGCACGTAGGCGGATGAAGATGGCATCAAGGAAGGTGTCCAGGAGAAGATACATGTTGTGCTCTGGTTCCTGACGATGAAGTTGGATGAAAGGCATGTAGACAAATTCATCGTAGAGGGTAGCCATGCGACGAAAGATCTTGGCTTCATCATGAGTAGGCTTGTGTAGGCCNGCTAGGATGTGTCAGCTTGCTGTATCTGTGACAGGTAGATGTACTGCGTACTCAATGATGTCGATCCATCTAGTGACTTCCTCTAGAGCAACCTCGCCTGGCATGTGATGAGCAGACAGCTGATCTGTGGCCGAACTCGCGGCATCGAGTCTCTGCTCGAGCTTCTCCAGGATCAAATCCAGGAAGTCGCAAATGTCCTGCGAAATGGTTTCCACATCGCGCGCAACATCTCCGCGTAGGATGTGTGAAGACGGAAACAATTGATGAGATGTGTGGACGATCATTCTGACCATGGCCAACAGCATGTCTTTCAAGGACTGCTCAAGTTTGGATGTGCGAATCAGTTGCATCAACCCATGAGGCAGTAGATTGACTTTGGATGAGAAAATGGATGAAGACGGCGTGTGGACAAGCGCATTGCGACGAGGTGCACGAATAGTCGAGTCATGTTGTGATGAGTCGTCCAAGTAGTAAGAGGGGATCCATTGAATGGTTGTGTCTAGTGCGTCTGCATGGATGAAAGGCTCGCTGCTGATGGTTGAGAGAGATCCTGTGGTACTGCCATGACTGCGCGCTGAAGGAGTCTTGATCGAAGAAGGACCCGAACTGTGCTGAGATGATGAATTGGTCGCAGTGCGTGAGTGCAACGATGATATTGAGCGCGGCATCTCACCTGTCTTTGCATAGGAGTTTGCTGCTGTGGAAGAAGAAGAAGGCGATGGACTTTAGACAAAGGACTGAATTCGAAGCGTGCGCTTCCTGTTGCGGCATACGACAAAGAAGCAGGAGCGACCACCACCTCCGACAAGTCACAAAAGCAATGGACAATGATTTTTCTGCACAAGTGTATGAATGGAATAGAGTGTAGATTCTACAAACCGAGGAAGAGATGTGTCAATCTCGTCGAAGCCATCCCGCCATGGTGTTTCGTTGCCGACGGCGAATTGGCTACCTTTTAAACAAGTTGACAGTGCCCACAAGTCACCACCCAAGTGAACAAGACGTTCGGTTTGGGTAGTAGATTAACCTGAAAAGCGTTCAATCTCCGCAAGTAGACTCGATCACCACGCCACTGAATCGTTTTCACCAAGAGGTGAAATCGGAGGCATGACAACTTTAAAGAAGTGCGGGTTCTCAATAACAATCATCATCAAATCACTCGTCGTCTTCATCATCGTTTACGCCAGGGACGTCCATTACACGTTCTGAGGCAGCGGCGAGGGCACGTCGACTCCAGGCTCGGACACCTTTCCAGACAGCCTGATAGCAAGGTTAGTCCAGGTTGTTGGTGACAATGTGAAAAAGACATACCCAGGCGAAGGTCAAGATGCCGACTGCTACAGCGATCCAGCTGATCTGAGCCATCCTATCTCGACCCGTGGTGCGACCTCCAACTGAGGTTCGCATATTGTACATTTGCCACGGACTCAAAGTAAGCAGAAACTTGGCAAATCCAACCAAGCCCAGAGATGCAAAGCCCTTGATGAAGTGCTCGGTCCATGTGACAGATTCGTCTGCAGGTAACAATGGTTGTGAGCCATGAGCGATTGTGTCGTAAGGGTCGAGATAGAGGTTGATGATGGGATCAGCCACGTAACCTAGAGCAAATGAGGAGACCATGAAAATGGCCAAAGTAAGCAAAATTTGGGCGGCTNNTTTCGATGTCAGTAGGTTGGTACAGGACCAGAGTTTTAGGATCAGCTTACCAGTACTACTGATCCAATGTGCCCAATTCATTCGTTCTAAGCGATACTTGTACCTACATGTTGGGCATTGCCAGTAGTTACGTTTTGCAGAAGGATTCTGAAGGCGCCAGGCTTGTAAACACTGCTCGTGGACGTATTTCTGGCTGCCCTTGCACAGACACGGACGAAGCAGACGACCACCATCCTCGCTCTCATACGTGACGTTCGGGGCGGAGCGCATAAAGGCTGGCAATGAATCTGACGGCGGGTGATATGTGGGCAGGACAGACTCCAAGCAGATGCGACATGTGCGTGGGTTGTAATGACGTTCGCGGTGTTGCTGACCGTTGGAACCTGCCGAGGATGAGGGAGGTGGTTGAGGCGGCGGCGGGTGTTCCTCTTGGTTCTCGTACTGATGTTCCTCTTGGAGACGAGTCTCGCTCGGGAAAGGTTGTGGCTTCTGCTCCTCTTTGACGTGGTCATTCGCCCAGGCACCGGGCAAGTCCTCGGGCCAAGTCCAGGATGCCGGATCGATTGACGACGACGAAGCCATGTTAAGAATGGGATGCTCAAGTGCCAGTGGTGTTGGATGTGCAGTGCAAGGCAGGAGCGGCAGTGGTCATGATCAAATGGAAGGATTGAAGAGGCCAGCTGGTGTTTCTGCCTTGTCGCGACTTGTCCGAGGGAAAAGCTGCTTGCATGTCCAAAGACGGAAGAAGAGGAAAGAACGACAAAGCCTTGGCAAGTCCGCTGGAATGGCCCGAGCTTCCCTGCTCGGTAGCGCGTCACTTGCAAGTGATGGCGACAGCAGCAGCAGCAGCAGCAGCAGCTTCATACAATCCATCAGCCATAGAATCATCTGTTTCTGTTTCTCCTGTCGTTGCAGCTTCATCTGTCCTTCTGCAATCTCCACCGCTCGTCCCTCCATCTTCGCCTCACCCTCGCACACACCATGGCGGATCGCTACTCGTTCTCGCTCACCACCTTCTCCCCCAGGTAACCAGACTCTATACCCTTTGCGCAACTCGTATGCTGACTCTGATGTAGCGGAAAGCTGGTACAGATTGGTACGCCGACCTAACCTTCAAGACCCAAGACCGTCGCTCATTCCCTTCCAGAATATGCCCTCAACGCCGTCAACCAAGGTGTCACCGCCCTAGGCATCAAAGGTCCGCACACATATACCCTCATCAACCACTCAAATAGTAACCTCGTCTCCCAGNCCACCAACGGTATCGTTCTCGCAACCGAAAAGAAGTCATCCTCGCCCCTCATCGATGCCGCCTCTGGAAGCAAAATCTCCCTCATCACCCCAAACATTGGTACTGTCTACGCCGGCATGGGTCCCGACTACCGCATTCTCGTCGACAAGGCTCGCAAGGTCTCGCACACAAACTACAAGCGCGTCTACAACGAATACCCTCCCACTCGCATTCTGGTCCAGGATGTCGCCCGTGTCATGCAAGAGGCTACCCAGTCAGGTGGCGTGCGGCCGTATGGTGTCAGTTTGTTGGTCGCCGGATGGGATGACGGTATCGAGCCTGAGACCGAGGCTGCCGACGCTGGTGATGATGCGGAAAAGAAGGCTATCAAGGGCAAGACTGGTGGTATCCTCAAAGGCGGTCCTTCGCTGTACCAGGTCGATCCTAGCGGTTCCTACTTCCCCTGGAAGGCTACTGCCATCGGAAAGAGCGCCACTTCGGCAAAGACTTTCTTGGAGAAGCGCTACACAGACGGTCTCGAGCTTGAAGATGCCATCCACATTGCTCTCCTCACACTCAAGGAGACTATCGAGGGCGAGATGAACGGTGACACCATCGAGATTGGTATTGTTGGTGCACCTGCCGATCACCTTCTAGGTGTTGAGGGTGTCGAGGGTGCTCAAGGTCCTCGTTTCAGAAAGCTCAGTTCTCAAGAGATTGAGGATTACCTGACGAGTTTGTAGCGGAGCATTCACAGGCATGGCGTTAATGATCATCTTTTACACATGACGAGGCACGGCTCTGTACACTAACATCTGGCTGCGGGTATGCCGGCCAAAATGACATTTACTTTCTGTCAATTCTTTGTTTCGTGCACGTTCATTGGGTGACTCTTCGCTATACCAACTATTGGCCCTACGAACCAGATGCTACCTAACAAAACAAACTCTGGCCGCGATGAGAGGAGTGAGCGATAACTATAAATCTGGAGTATGGTTATAATCATGGTTTCGTTGACATTGCGTACCAAGTATTCAGCTAATTAAGCTACAATAGATCCAAATATTCGTTCATCCAAAAATTCGTTACAGTCTCACCTCATCACATCCTTACTGCAAATCCAAGACGACTCTTCCTTGAATCTTACCCTGGTCCATCTCCTCAAAGATACTGGTCAACTCATCCATCTTTGCTGTTCGGAAGTGCGTCTTGATGATGCCTCTAGCAGCCAAATCCAAAGTCTCGATGGCCTCTTTTCTGTTTCCGACTGCAGAGCCCACAATCTTTTGCTCCTTGGCCACCAGCACTTGCGGGAAAGCAGTTGCAATAGGCTGCAAGTCACCCTCAGGCAACCCCACACAAACCAGCGTGCCGCCAAACTTGAGCAACTGCATACCACTGGCATAAGCACCGTTTGCTGCTGTCAACACCAACACAGCTTGCGCACCTAGTCCGCCGGTCAGGGCTTGCACGTCGGCGGCCACGTCTTTGGAGGTGGTGTGGTCGATAAAGTGCTCGGCGCCGCTGGAGAGGACGAGGTCTTTNTTGCTGCCGTGGTCGATGCCGATGATGCGCATACCCATGCCGCGGGAGCCCATCTGGGTGGCGATGTGACCGAGACCACCGCCGGCGCCGAGGAGGACGACAAAGTCGCCGGACTGAGCGGTGGATTTGCGGAAGGCCGAGTAGACTGTTACACCTGCGCAGAGNCCTTGCAGGTGTGTCAGTGGGTGTACTCAAGGAGGAAGATGGAAGAAGAGAGCAACTTACATAGGAGCGGCAGCAGCAGAGTCCAGTTCATCAGGGATGGGTGTAACGTAATCCGCAGGTCCCAAAACGTATTGCTGATACGTGCCAGGCGTGTAATACCCACTAACCTTCTGATTGAAACACACACCGTCATGCCCACTCAAACAGGCAGGACAACCGCCACAAATCCCACTGATCCACTTGACACCCACCCTCTGGCCAACCTTGACTGCAGCATTTTCTGTGCCAGGGCCCATGGCAACAATCTTGCCGACACCTTCGTGGCCACCAACCTGCCCGGCTTGGGTTGGGTGAGGAAGGGCTTTCCAGCTGTTGGTCATGATGCCCATGTCCGAGTGGCAGACACCGCTGTGTGTGAGGTTTATGAGTACTTCGCCGGGGCCGGGCGTGGGTGTGTCGAGTTCGACGACTTTTGTGCTGATTTTGCCGGGCTCGTCGTAGATGACGGCCTTGTACTTNTTGGGGATCTCGGGGAGGACATTGTTGCTGAAGTTGCTGTAGTGTTCTTGGGTAGATTGATGTATGGACAAGGGAGTAAGTGCTCAAGAACTTGTGGTTGTCTGATCTGAGGATATGTGCAAGAGAAGCAAGAAGATGTTACAAGACAACTTTTTGAGCGAACTACTGCAGGTAGATAAGCATGGCTGGATGGATCAACCACCCCTGTCTCTTTTGGGGAGACGACAGCCTTCTCCTCATCTTGATTCCTTCGCCGAGGCAAGTTGAATGGCAAGGATGCGAACTGTTGTTCGCCGAGTGCTGTGTGTTTGACCTTGGTGGTGGGGCACTTTGCGGGGTAGATGGTTATTAGGGAGGGGTATGTGGAGATATGGGCAGGTCACTGAGGTCAGACGATATGATTATGCTTTTCGTTCATGTGAGACGCGGCAGAGGAAGAGGACGGATGCTTCTGCGGACTCGACAAGGCTTGGTTCGCGTAAACTGCCGGGTACGGAGGAAGAAACATTGCTGCTACTCGACGTCGTGCCCATGAAGCTGTCCCGACTCCCAAATCAAAGAGAAACGGGGTGAGATGACCAACTTACATCGATGTTCCAAAGATAAGTACCTACCAGTATGGGTGGAAAACCTATGCTGAGCCGATTGAAGCTCGATATATGCCAGATCAGACAAACTCGTAGCTAAGCAGGCTCGAATCACAGATACTGACACCAGCACTTGTGATATACGTCGTCTGCCGGTACACACTACTATCTGGCAACCCCTACACAGTACTCGGAGTAGTTCATATTGCCAACAAGGATATCCATTGTCACGCGAGCCTCTCCAGAATACGCGATGCGGCTTCAAGCCAGTCAACCCCACTGGAAGGACACGTCAGGTTTGCTCTGTTTGCAGGCTCTTCTCGTCTCGTATAAAACTTGCCACCCCCGGCGCGTCAGTCGCTCTTTCTTCTTCCATGAAAGTTTAAACACCTTGCGCAATTTGATCTAATCGTCCTATACACCGTGGGCGATCGGATTGAACGCCGAGGGAGAGCAAACTCCGTTATTAAGAAGCGGCGCCCCCATTTCATTGGGCCTTGTCTCCCGTTATACGGAAAAATCATTACATTATCGTCCAATTGCTTGTCCTTCAGTTCGTCGCGATGAACTGACTGCAAGGAACAGTCCACGTGACGATGATCTGGACTTCGCCAGACGACGTCTAGAGACCCTGGACCCTTCTTCCACCACTCTCACCGTACATACCTACCTACCTACGTATCTATCGCAAGGCACAAAGTCATTGCCACCATGGAGATCGTCGCGTCGTCGTCTTCGGACATGCCCGCCAAGAAGCCATTTCCATTTTTCGAACTTCCCTCAGAGTTGCGCATTAAGATATACCAATATGTGCTGTTCATTGAGCATGGAAACGGCGTCGTGGATCTGGACTATTATAACGACAGAAGGATCGCTCCGCGTTTGACATGTTTCCGGGCTTGTCGGCGCATGCACGAAGAAGCCTATCCTATCTTCTATGGCTCGCCACAGCAGCCCTTTAGACTGTTCCCGACTGGTGGACACATGTACAGAACCAAGAAGCCACTGCTCGAACTTTTCACGCCGACATATCGCGCTGTAATAAACACAGTCGAGCTGCGTCTAGGGCCAGGATGGGAGAGGGTCAGTTCAACGCGAGCTGTATCACAGCAAAGAGGATGCTAATGATCGTTTGTTTCAGNNGTCCCTAAATGCTGGCACACCGGCCCTTCTTTAGGCCTCACCGATTGTGCCTCACTGCGCAACCTCAAAGTCTTCGTACAGATAGACCCAACCGATCCGACTTTCAAGGGTCATCATGGAAAAGGCAATGACCAATATACATACATGAATCTCTCCGCCAGATGGTTACGGGACATTCTCGACCAAGTTCCTAGCATTCGCAACGTCGAGATTGATGCATGGGAAGGAGTGGATATTGTCTCACCAATGCTCAATGCGCTGGCCTCCGTGGTCTTGACCGCCGACAAGAGACTGACCTGGGGTCCGGGCCGGTTGAAGAAGCTCGAGAAGGACAAGGAACACAAGTTGCGCTGGGGCGTATCATGCGGCATGGAGTCCATGGATCAATTGGAAGACCTCATGACGGCCATGGTCATAGGTGGTCAATGAACTAGCAGTTACTGATTGAAAGCATACGATCAAGGGAGCGACAGGCGTACGGTGTTGAGCATCTGCTTTCCGGATTGTCTTACATATTCTTCTACAACAGCGACAGCATGCAGCGAGCATCGAGCATCGAGTTTCAATACGATCGATTGGTCCACTCAATTGCGCCTCCCCAATCATCACAAGGTGACAGACTGTGTTTCTCCAAGGGCTCTCCGGCACCGGCAACACCTCCATCCGTGAAACCTCTCTATATTGCGCTGACGAGTCAAGGTCCGCCATGTTTCTTTGTTGCTGGAGCAAACACGGCTTACAAAGCGGTTGGGCCTTTTTCGCGAGTCGTGAGAAACGGCCAGCGGTGAACGTCATGTAGAGATCCGTGCGTTGGTCCGCCACCTCGCTCGAAGGACGCCTCCATTCCTCAGGTTGTTCGTTGCAAGTCAGTCATGCAATCGCATGGTTAGAGAGGCCTCGAACTTTCTCAATACTCGGTGAGGATGTGCCGAAGTTCCAACAACAACGGCAAAAGCGTGCCTGGTAGGCGGCTAAGGCCACCACGCAGAAAGAACGACATGATGTAAGGCCGGAGTTAAGCTATGAAACAGCAAACAACATCCGGCCGAAGTTCGAAGATGGCATTTGGAAGGGCATGGAGCCAGACAAATTTCTAATCGCTCTTGCCTGTTAATATATAGCAAACCTTCTTCTGTTGCTTGCTGTTCTTCTTTCCTTTGCTTCCTCTTTTCCCATCACATTTCCCTCTTTACCACCCACAACACCACACATCAATCACCATGTCTACTGAGCAGATTCCCGAGAAGTTCTCTGGCTGGTTGGGCCACGAGCCTGAGGCCGCCAAGGGTAAGATGGTCTGGGGCGAGTTCGAGCCCAAGGTACGTCTTTCAATCCATTGATGTGACAACTTCCACTAACATACAATGACAGNNACCTTTGAGGAGACCGACGTCGACATCAAGATCTCCCACTGCGGTATCTGCGGTTCCGACATTCACATGCTCAGCTCCGGCTGGGGCCCTACTCCCTACCCCTGCTGTGTCGGCCACGAGATTGTCGGCAAGGCTGTCCGTGTTGGCAAGGAGGTCAAGAACATCAAGGTCGGCGACCGTGTCGGTGTCGGTGCCCAGGCTCAGTCCTGCCTCGAGTGTGAGGACTGCAAGAACGGCAACATGACCTACTGCAAGAAGGCCGTCAACACCTACGGCTCCGTCTACCCCAACGGCAAGGACAAGTCGTACGGTGGTTACTCCAACTACAACCGCACCCACGGTGCCTTTGTCGTCAAGATCCCCGAGAAGATCGAGTCGGCCGATGCTGCTCCCATGCTCTGCGGTGGTGTCACTGTCTACTCTCCCCTTGTCCGCAACGGCTGTGGCCCCGGCAAGACTGTCGGTATCGTCGGTGTTGGTGGTCTCGGCCACTTCGGTGTCCTCTTCGCCAAGGCCCTCGGTGCTGACCGCGTCGTTGGTATCTCCCGCAAGAACGACAAGCGCGACGACGTCCTCAAGCTTGGTGCCGACAAGTACATCGCCACTGGTGAGGACAAGGACTGGGCCTCTGAGAACGCCCGTACCCTCGACTTGATCATCTGCACCGTTTCCAGCGAGAAGATGCCCATGTCCGAGTACCTCTCCCTCCTCAAGGTTGGTGGTACCTTCATCCAGGTCGGTGCTCCCGACGGTGGCAACCTCCCTCCCATCAACGCCTTCACCCTCATCGGTAACGGTATCAAGGTTGGTGGCTCCCTCATCGGTACCCCCCAGGAGATCGAGGAGATGCTCCAGCTCGCTGCCGACAAGGGCATCAAGCCTTGGATCGAGGTCCGTCCGATGAAGGAGGCCAACCAGGCCATCATCGACTTCGAGAAGGGCATGCCCCGCTACAGATTCGTCCTTGAGAACTAAGTGTTCTGACAATGACGTCTTGTTTTGCTTGGAACATAGAAAGGGCATCATGAAAAAGTCCTGATTAACGAATACCCCATATACTGTAGACTTATAGACCGTAGCACACTACGAATTGCATTTGCTCTTGAACAAACAATATTAAACTGCTTCCCATCTTTGTGCCAATGTCTTGATATGGTTGTTCAGAGGGAATGTAGTTGAAGACGTCCCTCCAGATACTAGGTGCCTTCATCTATCGAGCTCTCGCTCACAGCTGACGTGCCTTCTTGTTCTCCTTTCTGCAAGTACACTAAGGTCGGGCGGGCATATTTCGTACTGATGAGAAGGAAGCAGAAGAGAAGAAAGGGATATCAGAGGAAGGAGATGTGTTTCGCTCCAATAGCGATACGGATTTAACGTGTGGTTTTCTGCTTGCCCCAATCCAGTCAAAGCTTTCAATATCGGCTTTGAGCTACACCGCAAAAGCAATAGTGATCTTCACTGAGAACAGTACGCTCGTTGGTGACTCTTCGGGAAGGTGATAGAAGATGCGATGAACGTATGCACAACTTGCATGATCCATCGAACAAAGCCAATTGCAAAAATCCTATGTGAAGGACAGGGTTACTCCATCAGCGTTTTCGGATTTAAGATAGTGACGATAAGACTACCCCCGACGACGCCACCGATCGCGTCTGCCTGGATTGTAGAAACATTCTTTTCTCACACACGGAAGCAACTCCTGTGTAGCAACACTCTCTTTCACTCGGTGGTAGCAGGCTGCTCCAATCTTCTGGTCCATCACGCTTTCGCCCCTCGCGTTCTACTTCCAATACTCTTTGTCATCCTTTGTGTCAATTGAATCTCACTGCGCCTCTCACGCCACTCGTCTCTCACCCACCACTCAACACCATGTCGGGAAGACGCAATGGCAATCGCATCCGCGGCNCCGTCAGTATCATCGGACCCTTTAGTTCTCTCTTCTGGCAACTAACCATGTCCACCAGACAATCTGCCTTGACCGACTTCCTCTCTTCACACAACATCTCAGCACAACAAATCCGCGATGACTACGAACGCCGCGTTCGCGAGGCTGCCCAGCAAGAAAACGCCGGTGAAGGCACTTCCAATGCACCACAACTACCCAGCGATCCAGACGCCGAAGCCGCCGCCGCCCTAGCTGCAGAAGAAGCCGCAGACGCAGCCGCCGAAAAGTCCAGAAAGAGAAAGAGAAGGGAAGAAGCTGCCATCGAGAAGATCAAGAAAGCAAAGGGAGCAAAGGGAGCAAAGGGTGGAAAGAAAAAGAAGAAGCCCACAAACAGCGACGACGAGGACGATGACGACTTCGACATTGGTAATGCCATGTACGTCAAGGCTCCTCCCATGCCTGGTCAATTCGAAAACTGCGAGATCTGCAGCAAACGCTTTACTGTTACGCCGTACAGCAAGAGCGGCCCTGATGGAGGCCTGGTCTGCACTCCGTGCGGCAAGGAGCTTGCAAAAGATGGAGACGCTGCGGCAGGCAAGAAGGCAAGAAAGCCGCCCGCTGGAAGAAAGAGACGCCAGGTGGAGAGTGAGCGTCTGAACGGTATCGCTGTTGGCGGTGCAAAGTCATTGCAGCAGCTCTGCATCGAGAAGGTTGCGCAATATCACGAGGATGTCGACGAGTTGGGAGAGTTGCCCGAGCCGGTCATGCTGCGATTGGCTGAGATCTTTGCGAAGAAGCGTGTCCTCAACCCAAAGACACTCAAGCTCTTTGTGCGACCCGACTCGGATGCCGTCTGCATTCACGATGCCGCATACCTGGAGGTCGAGGACTACCAGGGTATCTGCGCTGTGGCGCCTGGACTCAAAAAGCTCGTCATTCGCAATGCTTGTCAGCTCAAGGACGAGGTCATCGAGTACATGATGGAGAAGTGCGATTCGATCAACTACATCCAATTCTATGCCGCCAACCTGGTGTCAGACGACATGTGGCGCAAGCTCTTCCAGCGATATGGCAAGCAACTCAGAGCAGTCAAGCTATCATGGTTGGATGCCTCATTCGACGATGACACTGTCCGCGAACTCGTTCAAAACTGCCCGGATCTCATCCGCCTCAAGCTAAAGCTCTGCCGCAAGCTCACTGAAGAGTCCATCATCGCTCTTGCTGACTTGACAAACCTTGAGCGCTTGTCGTTGCAGACTGGTGTTCAACCATCACCCGAGACGGTCATCAACCTTGTCAAGTCTGTCGGCCCCAAGTTGCGCACTCTCTCTTTTGAGGACTTCCTTGATCTCGATGATGCGGTCCTTGCTCAGATCAAAGAGTCTTGTGATCAGCTCGAGAAATTTCGTCTGCAGATGAACGATGTGGCAAGCGATGCTGCCTATGCCAATCTCTTCACCAACTGGAAGAATCCGCCTCTCACCTTTGCCGACTTCAGCGGAACTCGCGATGTCGACAACAACAACCCCAAAGGCCCTGAAGAAGCCATTGGCCTCGCCTCTGCTGGCTTCAAGGCCCTGATGGCACACTCTGGTTCGGCTTTGCGCACCCTCGACATCGCCTCTTGCCGACACATCAGTTTGGAGGCTTTCCTCGACGTCTTCGGCAGTGGCACCAAGTACCCCAATCTTGAGACCATCAACTTCAGCTTCTGCAGTGCTGCTGATACATCTGTGGTTGCTGGAGTCTTCCAGAGCTGTCCTGCCATCAAGAAGGTCATTGCCTTTGGCTGCTTCGACGTCACCGATGTCGTTGTCCCCAGAGGTATTGCTCTGATTGGTGTACCTAAGGCTCAAGACGCCATCGAGCAGATTGGTACTGGCATCGATGTTGCTGAAGCTCTGGGCCGCATGATCGATGTTGGTGCTTAGGATTCCCCTGCCTGACTTCAGGTATCTGTCCCATGCCTTTACTGCTGTTTTCTTTCTCTCTTTTGTCCAGCATTGTTAGCATTAGCATGGAGTTTTCTGTGGCGTTTCTGATTTTTGTCCCCATTGCAATGGAGGGTTGCTGCACGGACAGCTCAGGTGGCTTTTCATGACGAAAGATCGTACATGATTATTAACAAGACAATGCCCTTTTTCTTGATAAAAGTCATACCGTATTTTCGCCCCTAGATATGGGCTGCATTTAGCAATCGTCGAGCATTTTGAGCTTGTTTCATATGTCTATATCTCTAGCCGTGACAGCCGTGATGGACATTCGACTGTACTGATTGCAGACTGCGCTTTCCTCCTAGAATCTCCGAGATAGCCGGGCTGGTGTTTGGAGGCGACGACTGGACTACACAAATCATCTCGAAGGCTGGAGAAACCACACCGCGACCTGCACGATATCTGCTTCTCCTCCTATTGCAAACACTTGAAGATCTGCTCCGCGAATGGGGTTGCTCTTTGACAGATGCTTGGTATGAAAGAACATGTTCGAAAAAACATCCGCCGCGACGTCACAAAAAGCTTGTTCCTGCCGATCAGGGTCAACACAAACTTCCTTTCCCACCTTGTGGCTCAACTGTCTCTTGATGGATATTGATCGATTCGCCTTTCATGACTCTCATTCATGGTTGCAAGAAAGTCTCCACGCTTGAAGGACTAATGATGGCAATTCCAGGAGAGAGTTCGTACTGTAGAGTCGCCGGTATTCCCACATTGACGAAGCTAGGAGGATCGAATTGCCCTAACGTCTGGTGTTGACTTCCCCATCTGCTATTTATGTTCGGATCGGGCGGATCCGTTATATACGCGTCCTACCGAACAGATTAGGAGGGGGCCCAACCTGTCGGCGGCGAGGTTCGTCATTGCACGCCCTGTGTATAGTATGCTTGATTTCTGAGAATTCTCCTTCTATCGTTTCTTTGCTTGTTATGCTTTTTGGATACATGCATTCTTTGACTGCACTAACGGGAAGGAATATTCTTCTCTTTGCCATAGCCGGTCTTGTAGAGTGAGTCGATGAGGATTGGATACAGTCCAGAGAGCAGTCATGGATCGGTCATCTACTGATCGCGGCCGTCGTTTGCGTTCTGCTGTGAGTTTCTTCTGTTCTCATTGTCGCGCCAATCGCTGATATTTAACAGNNTCATCAATCCAACAAGAGAACTTCGACGTAGCATCCCAGAATGCAGAAAACAGTAATGATGACGCTCCAGTCAACCCATCCGTCAACCGAGCCCGAACTTGGAATATAGCAGACCCGTCACCCAATTCTGGTATACGTCGCCGAGGCACAGCAATGAGTGCTCGTCCGCGGAACAGATCTCTGGTCCGAAGAGCAACTGGAACTAGTCTTGGAAACGAGGAGCCGTCCAGTCTTGCTGGGCCGCAGGATGTTGTCGCTGTCGCTCATCAACATGTTCCTTACGTGGATCCGGGATATGCTCAACTCAACCCGGCGTATACACAGCCCATGCATGCTAAACCGGTGTGGTCGTTGGCGAAACCTTTGCCCAGGGTTGTGAGACCTGGTATGGTTCCTACAGCCAGCGAAATCGACAATATTAACCAGCAAGCGGGAGACACTGAGATCACCGAGGGTGATGTGGAACAAGGACCAGAGCCCACACTTCGCCTCGGCCGCGTATCTTCCAAACTCCAAGCCGTACGAGCAGAAAGGGAACGACGATTCTTGGAAGGCAGGTCTGGATCCAAAAAGGTTACGCGAAGCAGAGCAGATTCTCAATCATCGATGCACTCACAGAACAACCAACAGCTTCGTCCTGTGAACAGCGCTCAACAAGGCAGCACCGTTGATGTCCTACCCGATGTTGCTGAAGAACACGAACCCATGGACCACGAACAATTCCCAGAGTACAACGAAACCTTTGACGTCACCCCATCTTACCGCCCAACCTACGAATTCGACGACAGCTTTTCTGCAAAAACAGCCTTGGATACTGTTCCCTCCGACGACGATCTCACTCTCACAAACAACAATCTCGAAGATGAAGTCTACAATGCACACACGCATTGGAGTGTTATCCGCCACCGCTTTCGTCAAGAGCTGGCAGAATTTCTTGCTGTGATTGTGCAATTGACTCTAGGTTTTTGCGCCGACTTGTCTGTTACTTTGGGCGGAGCATCAGCAAACAATGCCATCTTTGGCTCTCTGGCGTGGGGGTTTGCGACCATGACTGCGATCTATATTGCCGGTGGTCCTTCTGGTGCTCATCTCAATCCAGTGATAACCATCGTACTCTACATCTTCCGCGGTTTCCCTAAACGCCAAATGGGAGGATATATCCTTGCCCAATTTCTGGGTGCTTTCGTTACTGGATTTATCGCCTATGGCATTTTTTCGTCGCAGATTCATGCGTATATTGCTTCTCCTGCTGCAGGGACCACGCAACAGGAAGCCATGCAAGATATTCTGAATGCGTTTCTCACCGGTCTTCGCAACGATAATGTCACCCTCGCTGCTGGCTATTTTACCGAATTCGTGGCTACGGCTTTCCTGGCTCTCGTTGTGCTCGCCCTAGGCGACGACACAAACACACCACCTGGCGCAGGAATGACAGCCCTCATCCTCGGATTTGTGATTTGTGTCTTGTTGCAAGCATTTGGCAGTACCACCGGCGCAGCTCTAAACTCCACCCGCGATTTGGGTCCCCGGCTCGCCCTCTACGCTCTCGGGTTCAGTGGAGATTTGCTCTGGAAAGGCAATTGGTGGCTCTGGGGCCCGTGGTTGGCGTGTATACCCGGTGGCATTGTGGGAGCGATGATGTATGATATTTGTATCTTTACCGGTGGAGAGAGCCCGGTCAATTATCCGAGGAAGAGGGTTTGGAGGGCTGGACACAAGGCGAAGAAGAAGTGGGCCAAAAGACTCAGACCTTGGAGGAAGGGTAAAGAGAAGAAGAGTGCAGAGCAAGAGCAGGAAGTGGAGCAGAAGCCATAGAACTTGGGTGTTTTGCCCTATAGACAACTAGACACACAAATATAGAAGAATAGATACATGACTAGGAATGACGTTCGTCGTAGCTTCGTTAATTCGTCTAGAAGATTGGACGAGCAACCATGAGAAAACTGCAGGATAATCATACAACCCAACATTGCCCCTGCTCCACGGAAACCACATTCGGATAAATGCCCTTGCCAGATGCGGACGCAATGCTGCTTCAAAATATCTAGTGGGCCACAACCCTTGGGAGACTTTTCCATCCTCCCACAATGCACAGACAATCATCCGATGGAAATCCACATGCTGCGACAACCAGAATACGCCCATTATCGCCAATCAACAAAGACAGTTTCATGCCACGCATCCCCTGCGCGAAGCCCTGGGTGCGACGCTTGCTAAGATTGAGCTCTTCTCGTCGTGTATCTCGATGGTCGTATAAAGTCGCCTGACAGAGGGGGAAACACCGATATCTCAAGTTCAGGAACCCAAATTGTACCACAAGATAGAATTCTAGTGGATAGTGGTCTCAAGCGTTTCGATTGTGTTTGCAAAAACAGTTGCGATGTGCTTTCCCCCAGATGACTGTTTCAAGTCGAAGTAAATTGTACATTCGAATGCTTCTAAGAGCACTCCTTGGAGTTCCCCATACATATGGCAGCGAGATTGTGGCAGGGTACTCCAGGAAGAGCCGGGCTTCTTGATCTCTCCGAGACTATCGGGTGGACAAGTGAGCTGGGGTAGGCACCTCCAGAGTATTGCTCCGATCCCGAGTTATTATTGCTGGAGTAGCATATGTGAGAGGCGAGATAGGTTCCTGACTGTCGATCGATCTTGCTCCCATTGAGTCGGACCGTGACCGCCGCTGTGTATGATCGTCTGAAGAGGGAATAGCAATCCGCGTATCTGAAGCACGACTAGCGGATCGTGATAAACGTCCTGATGTGTATCGTCGCTCAGTATTCGTCAGGTCCCCGTCTCGAAATTCTTGACCAGGAATTGTGGGATAGTTGTGGTAGTCACGCCTTGAAGACGGATTATCGAAACGACCCTTTCCAGGGGTGCCCATGTAATCGCCGACCTTGTGCAAGAAATCGGAAACTTTACGTCGGCCTCCCCTATCTGCTGGTCTGTCTGTCAGATTGGTTCCGGCTGTGTTGACATGCGTCAAAGCGTTGGACTTTATCCTGCTGTGATTAGAGTCATGAGTATCTGGACGAACGCTCTCAGGACGAGATGAATTAGAGATGGAGTTTTCGTCTGTGCCATCGTGAGGCTGGCCAGTGACTGACTCAGTCTCGGATCCAGCAGACGTCGATGTCACATATACGACGAGGGATCCCATCATGGCGAGTCCTGTTCCAACGATCGGCGCCCATTGACCTNNGAACTGAGAGTTAGTCAAGAGTTTGAATACCGACGAAGCAAGACGAAGTAAGACGAAGTTCTTACCAATAGATGCGATCGGCTCCGTCTGATATCTCACCTGTTCGCTGAACAAGTTTATTTCGCCAAGAATGAGAATCACCACTACCGCGACACCAAACAACGGAGCTTCGATGACGTTCAACAAGCGTTTGATGAGACTGTTGATGTCCTTCACCTTCTTCTCTTCCGGATCCTTCTCCGTCTCTCTTCCATGGCGTGATTTCCAATTGATCTCGAGGATCTTGTTCCACATGGATATGAGCGTTAGAATAGCTGGTATACAACATGCGGCGCAGAGCAGTGTCACAGTACCGAAAGTTAGTCGAGTTGGTGCAGGTATCACATAGATGTTGTTTGCTGCATCTCTGCGCATTGGAGATTCTGGACCCGAGTCTACAGTGCAGACCAAGCCACAGTTGGTCACCCCGTAGTTGAAGTTCGCGAGAGATACAAGACTTCCAGTGTTTGACTTGCAGACCTGTGTCTTGGTGCGGAAGAACTCGACAGCCAGGCTCAGTAGACCNTTCACAAATTAGCGTTCTAGCTTTATACTAAAGACGGAATGGGCCTCCTTACCAGAAAGAATGAGAATGGTCCAGAGGAAGATGATGTTTCGACCAGGATCCAGGAAATATGTCCGTGAATTTTTGACAGTCGCTGGTGCTGCTAGGATGCCCAAAGAGCATAACTGGAAAGCTCCATAGATGTCCATATCCACGGCTCCNTGAGTACGACTTTAGCTAAATGAGTCATGTTAGTCAGGAAGTGTATCGAGCTTACCATTAACATGTAGAGCTGCGAGTGTGATGCCATGAAGAGCAGCGACCGCCGGAAAGAGTAGAACGGCAGCCAGACAAGCATTCTTTATCCAATCTGCCTTCTTTCCGAAGACACAGAGAACGACAAGGACATAATAANNCTTTGTTGATCAGTAATGTACTTTGGTAGAATTACCCTGATGAACTCACAGCACTCTTGAACCCGGACCATATTGTCCGCTTACTGGCCAAGCACATACAACGTGCAGCCCAGGACTTGAGCCGTCTGTCGTTGTCACATTGCGTGAGAGGAGTTCTCCAATCGGGAACAGTGGTGAGATGGGCGGCATGGCCAAGAAGGGAGTCGTCCGCCGAGGGAGGGCCGACACGTGTGGTTGAACGTCGGCTAATTGCTCCGCTTCCAGAAGACTGTAACAGACTGTCGAACTCTGATGCTGTTCATCAAGGACCTGAGAGATGGAGAAAATTGTGTTTGTTGTAACGACGTCTGATTTCCATCTTCAAATGAGGCGCTGCGCCTTCGGGGCGTGGGCGATTCCTTCGGGTACATAGGCACTTTATGGCTGCCTTTTTTCTTGGGCTGGGAAGGAACGTGGTGCTGGAAAGCGAGGCTGAGACGCGGGGTCAAGGTCGATCCTCACCGGTTCTCTCCTGTGAGCGACGGCCACTGACGGCCAAGGTTAAAGTGTCATTGATTGAAGCGACCTTCAAGAAAGAAGGATTGAGTTGTCTTAGACCAGTTTCCTATTAAGCATACGAGGTGTGCGTTGCGCATGCCGCCACACCGACACTCCGCCCCTTTCGTCAGCAAAAAGACAGTCCTTAGTATATCTCATTGACGTCGCACTGATTATGTTGTCGCGACGACGTGAGTAGGGCAAGAGAACCACCAACCATACAGACAGAAAAGCCCGTCGCGCTAAACACCAACTAGCCGACTGAAAATGGCAGAAGACCTCGACACCAGTAGAATCAAGGAATGGCGGTCCATTGTCACGTTGATTGTTTTTCTGTTGACCAGTAAGTCGCAGCCTTGACACGATTCACCATCGGTCCGTCCTGACTTGGACGCAGATATCGTGGTCCTTTTCCCATTCAAGATTCCTATATATATACCGCGGTCAATCTACAACGCTGTCTTGAATGCGCTCAGCGCATGCCGAATAATACCACCTAGGCGACATGGAAATTTGCAAAACAAAGATGGCGACAGAGCCTCAAGATTTGTGCGCATGAATTTCTCAATGAGTTTTTCGACCGCACCATTGATTGCAGACCTCTTTTTGCTGGCAATCTCAGCTATTGGCCGTCAGGAAGTACATGATGGCACTGTCGGGGCTAACAATATCAGTCCTATCGACATCATGGTGTTCTTCGTCACTCTAGCTTACATCGCAATCTCCATCGATGCATCCGGACTCATCAGATTTCTGGCTTTCAAAGTACTGCAAAAAGGCGGCAAAGTGGGCCATTTACTCTTCTTCTACCTATACGCATTCTTCTTCAGTCTCGGAGCTTTCGTCGGAAATGACCCCATCATCTTGTCTGGTACTGCTTTCCTGGCGTATATGACGCGTGTCTCCAGCAACATCGATCACCCGAGGGCATGGATGTACTCCCAATTTGCGATCGCAAACATTGCTTCTGCTATCCTAGTGTCATCGAATCCGACAAATCTGGTACTTGCTGGAGCCTTCCAAATCAAGTTCATCGTTTACACTGCCAACATGATCGTACCCGTCGTGGTCACTGCGATTGTTTTGTTCCCATTCTTGCTCTACGTTGTTTTTGCAAGTCCGCAACTCATTCCACTCTCGATCGAGATGGAAACTTTGTCAGACGATGCAAAGAACAAGAAGCCAGTAAATCCCAATATCCCTCAAGCTAAAGGAAAAAACCCGGATGACGATGAAGAAGAGTCTCTCGAAAACAAAGAGCGCGCACTTGCAGAGATCATGAATCCATTTTTGGACAAAGGAGGCGCAACATTCGGATCTGTTGTTATGGCAGTCGCACTCGTCACACTCCTTGGAATTAACGCGGCCAGCTCAATTATCGGCGAACATCCCGTCTTTTGGATCACTTTGCCAGCGGCCTTCATCATGTTCTGCTGGGATGTCTCATATGGATGGAAACACCGCAACGAAACTCGCAAAATTGCTAAGGACCGTCAGAAGGAATTCCGAGAGGCGCAAGAAGAGCGAGTTGGTAGTGAACGACAGACCAACGGGATGTTTCAGACGCCAGGAGCTTCGAGCTCATTCGTCCATGTTGTACCCCCTACTCCAGAGGTTGCAGGTTCTGAGAAGAGCATTCGATCAGTCACAGACACGAGCCCTAAGACCGACTCAGCGATACTTCCTGCAGAGCGAGACTCGACAGGCGACGGATTGACAAACAAGGATGCATCAAGATTCGAATCCACTCTGTTGTCGCTCGCGCCACCGGAGACGGATTACTCACATACCAGGAAGCTTGATTCGGCACTTGATAAAGCCATCGATGAAGAAAGGATACAATCTATTGAGGATGACNAAAAAGATCGATCCCTTGTAACGTTTGTTACGAGGAACTACAGATGGCTTCAAGAGACTTTCCCTACTGTCATGGCAGTCCTGGCCCATCTTCCCCTCAAGCTTGTCCCCTTCGCGCTTTCCATGTTCGTCCTCATCCAAGGACTTGTTACGAAGGGTTGGGTACCTGTGTTCGCTTACGGATGGGACCACTGGGTTACCAAAACTGGTACCGTTGGCGCAATAGGCGGAATGGGTTTCCTCGGAGTCGTTCTTTGCAACGTGAGCCTTCTCTAAGAAAACGCCATTTTTGAAGAATTTACTAACTCATCCAATGTAGNNTTTGCAGGAACAAACATCGGCACAACCATCCTGCTGTCTCGAGTAATCCAAGCTTGGCAGCAGATTCACATAAACAACGGAATCCCCATCACCGACCGCACGTTCTGGGCAACTGTATATGCTATGGCTCTCGGCGTCAACTATGGAGCCTTTAGTACGGCGTTCAGTGCATCGTTGGCCGGTCTGCTTTGGCGAGATATCCTTGAGCGCAAGCATATCCATGTCAGACGACTTGATTTTGCGCGCGAGAATATACCAATCATTGCAACGTCGATGGTGGTGGGCTGTGCGGTCTTGATTGGTGAGATTTACATCATCAGGGATAACTCGCCCTACAAGATGGGATAGAGATGTATGTACGAAATCTCAGCTGTGGAGCTCTCAAAGTGTACATAGAGCCGAAGTATTATGTTTATATTGTAAAGCAATGATGCAATAACGAGCTCGAAGTGTGGTGAACTCTCTGAGCACAACTTGCGATATCTGTGTTCTGCCTTGGAGGGTGAACAAGATGAAGATATCGCTGTCGAAGAGTCTGCTTTTTGATTGAGTCTGCGTCGCAATCGTGTTCGGTCCCAGCACTTTGTGTAATCTCAAAGAACGAGGACTTTCCTGTTCCTATCAGACTGATCTAGGACTAATCGTGGCTGCCTGGATTCATGAGCTGAAAAGCAAATGGGTTCTAAAATTCGATTGTGGTCAGCTCATTCATGAGTGACCAACTTGAGCAATTGCAGCCGGGCTGAGCTGATCCGGAGATTGCCCGTCGCTTGACCTTTCCACGTTCGTTCTTGCCCATTGCTTCCTCACTTCCACATCTTTCCTGAACAGCTTCGTCATGGACACGAAGACGTACGCTACACGTCTATGTTGACTAGCGATACTAGTAGAGCGTGTTCGATCTAGCTAAACTCGTGCCCGATAGAGCTTCACCGAGATTGATCGATCTTGTTACGGTGAACGAGCGGAAATGCCGCCTGCGAACCAACGTGACATGACTGGCCACACCAAGTGTTATAGGAGAATCAGAACGCGGAGACAACCCGCGCAATTCTTTTCGATATACATATCCATGGCTTTGGCGGCTATGCCCGAAGCTGAAGGTAAGACCAGAAGGCCCCACCGCTCCACTACTGTGTTGTGGCTTCTGGTTCAACTTGTCAAGCAAGTCTGAGCCCTCATCAGCTCAACCAGATGGTCTTCGAGGCAGCAACCGAGACAGATATACAAAACTGGTATGAAATCTCGTTCAAGACAACCAACACATTGTTTCGAAGTTGTCGTCCATCGTCACTATACCGCTTCAACAATTCGCTCTCACTTCGACATCTACTACGGCCTATATCACAAGATCCTACCGCATAACTGAGATGCGTCGATCTATCTCAGCGCTTGCAATCCTTACTACTTTGATCAAGGCACAATTAGCAGCTTCTGTCAATGTCCCAACCACCGCCGTTCCAGTTTCCTTGGAAGTTTTCGTCCTTCCGGTCGTGTATGTGACGTTGGAAAATGCTCCTGCTGCCACCGCCGTCATCCTCGCAGGAACTGCGACTGCATCTCCAGATCCCTTGGCAACACACATCTTCGGTTCAGCAGAGGCCCTGGCCATTGCACTTTCCTCCAAGACTACATTGGCTTCTTCCACAGCCGTAAAAGTAGCGGAACGCGCCGCCACGTGTGTACCACAGCCATCTGGTATCTCTCATACTTCTGTCCCAGACAATGCGGCTGGATTCGTCAGCGATACATATTACCACGATGAAGCCGTATCAGCAAACACTCCATCAGGCTGGATACGAGCATTTACCGGCCTCAATGCATCAAACTCTGCCGAGAGATGCCTGGGTTTCACCCTTCTACCATCCTACGATGTCCAAGCTTGTGCCAGCAAGTGCGCTACTCTTCCTTCTTGCGACTCAATCAACATGTATCTCGAACGAGACCCAAGCACTTCCATCGACAATTCGACATGCACGAATCCCCCCGGCGTTACCGACGTCAAATGCGTGTTTTGGAAAGGCGTGGTCGACACGTCAAATGCAAACAACTTTGGTCAACGGCGATCTGAGTTCCAAGTTGTCGTCGCTGGGAGCTCGGGATATATGAAGGAGGCGTTTGCCGCTGCTCTTCCTGTGGTAGAACCTTCGACATCTACTGTGACTGTGCTCCCGACTGCTACGCATGCTGTGGACGTACAAGACAGTGGACCTGTCTCGGCTTCGACGAAAAGCACAGGGTCCTTTACGGTGCTCTTGACATCGATCATCTCAGCTCTTCTGCTCCATGCTTAGTGTCAGAATACTCAGAGCATAGAATGGCACGATAACATACAAAAATAGATTTTCGTCCATCAAAGGCTTGGTCTCAGTGATACTATACTGCATAACGGCACTATTGTCAGCAAGAATGTTCTCTTTCCGTCTTACTGGAACTTGTATAGACAACAGTTTGCTCTTTCTCCATTGAGATCTCTATTGCGGGTCGCTCTTTCCCTTGTCATCTACACGTATCAGAGAGATGAGCAAAGCAACGTGAGGAAGGGACGATCTAATCGAGCTCCTAGAGGAAGGAGCGGTTCTATTACTGACACCACTTTATCTCAATCCGTATCGAAGCTCCATTCGTCACTTCCATACTGATCTCAACTCCACCATTCCTCTAATTTATGTTCATACAACATCGCCCCTTCCATCTCCGTCTCGCTTTATTCGCTTTTTCTTGGTATATTTTGCAGGCATCGCACCTTTCTAGTAAGTCTTGCGTGGGGCGCTCCTTCTTCTTTTGTAACAGCTGCTTCGTTCCTTCCATTTCTAATTCAACTTCATCGTTCTTTCCTCGAATGTCTTGCCCCAAGTCTTCACATCCGATTCCCCTTTGTCGAGTTTGGTATTTTTCCAGACGATGCGCGACCATTAGACAATCGACATGCTACAAGCAACTATGTCGACAAATATTTGAAGACTAAGCATGAGGCACAAGTAAGCAAAGATCGAGTCAAAGGAAACTGATGTAAAAACAAAACAATTTGATTTTGTTGCATATCCAGACATTAAAACTCATGTTCCATACCACATACCATCCTTGACAGAAATAAAAGAAACCCTCAGATGACAAAAGATTAACACATAAAGTGTTTGAAGAAGAGAAATAGAAGTGAGAAACCCCCACCAAGTAGAAGAAGAGAAGATCGTTCTTCGAGAGACATTAGGAGTTAAGATTATCAAGTTCAAATTTAGAACAAGAAGATGGAGAAGACGGCTGCGGCAATGGCAACGACACCGCCCTGGACGCTGACGATGGAACCAGCACCAGTGAATGCCAAAGGCTTGGAGACAGTGGCAGTGGCGTAGGCAGAGGTGGTCATGCCGGAGGAGGCAGGGGTCATGTTGGAAGGGCAGTTCACACCGTTGCACTGAGCAGGAGCGGACTGCTGAGGAATGACGGTGTTGATGGTGACCTTGTAAGTGGTGGTTGCGGCACCGTTGTTTCCGGCAGGGCAGTGGACGCCGTCACATCCCTGAGTGATGGTGGCGGTGGTCTGCTGGGGAGCGGGAGGAGCGGTGGAAACAACGACGTATTGTGTGTAGGTGGCAGTGGGGCCAGCGCTGACAACCTGCTGGACGTAGACAATGGACTTGCTGGCGTTGTCGCCGGTCATGGCAGGAGGAGCACCGCCAGAGCTCTGGGTGAGGTGAGTGGTGTAGTACTCGGTGATGGTTGTGGGCTGAGCAGGGACCATCTGGGTTCCGCTGACAGTAATCTGGAAAGATGGTCAGTAGGTTTCCGGATCAATGTTGTATGAAGGTAATCTTACAGTCTGGCCAGCAGGGCATGAGTAGACAGTGCTGGTAACAACATCCATCTCAGTGACAGCACCGTAGATGGCGGTAACGTAGTTGGCGTTGGTAGGGTAAGGGCACTGGTAGACAGTCTCGGAAACTGGGACAACAGTCGTGACAACGGCAGCGTTCTGGCCGGCTCTAAGAGGGCAGTCGGTCTGTGGAGAAGGGTCAGTAAGGAGGTTAGGGTAAGAACACGTCCAAGAGCTAAGACTTACGACAGTAGGTGCGCAGGAAGAGATGGTGACGACGGTAGTCTGGAAAACGGTAGCAGTGGAAAGAGCACCACCATTGGCGCCTGCGGGAACGCTGGTGACGGCGCAGGTAGGGCAGACGACAGCGGTGCGGGTGACAGTAGCAGTCTGAACGGTTGAACCGCCCTCAGTGAAGATGGTGCTAGTCTGGACAAGAGTCTCTGTGACGGTGGTAGTTCCAGAACCAGCACCGTTGTTCTCAAGACGAAGAGCAGCGTCCAGGCCCTGGGCAACGACGAGCTGGAAGGTGCTGTAGTAGGCGCAAGTGTTGGTGGTGTAGTCAAATGTGGTAGCAACGCAGGCAGTCTCGGTGGAGCAGATATCAACGCAGTTGCTGATGCTGGTGGGGAGGCCAGTGTCTTGACGCTTTCTGGGAGCCTCAATGGTCAAGGCATCACCAATGACACCGTGGTTACATTCGACAACAAAGTCAACATCGAGGGGAGTGTTGACGACCATTCCGTTGTACTTGGGGCAGATGAGTCCCTCAAGGCCAGTAGGAGTAGCAATTGCAGAAGAGCTGGTGCTGGAAGCGGTGGAGTTGGAGCTAGCAGAGCTGGAGCTGGTGCTGTTCTGGCCAGCGCGCGACTCGACAGTGGCAAAGGTGACTCCAGGATCATCGGCGCGGCTGCCGGCGTCAATGCTGCTGTAGTAGGTGCAAGTGTCATCGTTGGAGTCAAAGGCAGTGCCCTTGCAGGTGGTGTTCTTCGAGCAAGCCGAGAGACAGTCATCCAGGGTCATGCCTGCTCTCTTGGCGAAGTCAAGCTCAATATCGAAGGTGGCACCACTGTAGGTGATGTTGATCTCGATCTTGAACAACACGCCGTTGAAGGTGATGATCGAAGGGGTGGCGGTGTTGGTTGCGGAGGGGGCAGCCGAGCTTCCCGAACCAGATGCGCGAGTCGCTGAGCGAGAAGCAGATCCAGTAGCAGATCCAGTAGCAGATCCAGAGACCGAGACGCTGCGAGACTGAGACAGCGAGGCGGTAGCGCTCTGAGACGAGTTGCCGTACGGGAGAGTGCTCGAGAATCCGGCAGAGTGGCTCGATGCAGTTTGGCTCATTGAGACACTGGAGCTGGAGTTGTTACTACCGCCATTGCCTGAAGTATCGACGGGAACACCGCCGCGAGTGAGGACCTTTGCAAAGTCGGTACCGGGAGCATCCTGAGGCTGGTCGGAGATGCCAGAGAAGTATGAGCACTCGGAGCTGCTCTCGGTGTACGAGGTTCCAACACAGTCGGTGCTGGCAGCACAGTTGTTGATACACTCGTTCAAGTCAGAACCACGAGCTCTCTTGCCGAGTCCCCTCTTCTTGAGAGTGATTTGGCGACCAGAGTAGGTGACGTCGGTCTGGACGTCAAACTTGACTGGGCCAGTGGGACCTTGAGCAACAGGCTGGGCGCCGTCGGTGTCTAGGAAGGAGGTCAGTCGTCTATCATAGCAGCCAATGATGCCAAGTCTTACAAGTGGGAGCTGCCGAAGAGGAGGAGGTCTTGGTCACACCATCAGACGAGGTTACAGTGCCAGAGCCCTCAGCGCCGCTGGAGGTCACAGAGCCGGAGCCAGAGCCGGAGCCGGAGCCGGAGCCGGAGCCAGAGGCAGAGGCAGAGGCAGAAACAGAGCCAGAGGCAGAAGCAGAGGCAGAGCCCTCAGATCCAGTGACCACGGGAGTGGTAGAGAACATGGTGCTGGATGTTGTGAGGTCGACAGGACCGCTGCTCGAAGACATGGTGCTGTTTGCTGATATGCTCGACGAGTTCGAGTATGGTGCAGAGGAGGCAGCTGCAGCTGTGCCCATAAGGGCAGCGGCCATGGTAACGAATGTGTTTCTCATCGTGTTGATGGGTTAGTAGGATGTCTAAAAGAGTGACTGAGTTGGAGTGGATGATTTGGACAATGGGAGTTCGAGGACTGGATATTTATGTGAAAGTTCTTGCCATCTCGATCTTTTCGTTGTCTGGACCGGAAGTATATTGAGAGCTGAGAGTTGCAGTGGCGCGGATTTCTGACGCGGAGCAGACGATGAGTATACCGTTCTCATTTCCCACCACGGGGTCGAAAGAAGCTGAAGGTCTGGGGGCGGATTAAGCTACGCAAACGCTGGACCTGGCGAGCGCCATGAAGGCACCTGCCCGTTATTTTCTTACTTGTATTCGCGCAGAGATGGTCATCGCATTTTCTTTGCCTGTTGAGTCTATCGCTGTTTCCCAATATGTAGTATTTTTCGTGCTCTTGACCCTCCCACTTTTCTGCATCTCTGGCATCAAGGACCTACACTCGACCCTCATTCAGCCAATTTAATGCATCGTGGCGGTTTTTTGTATCTCTAAACCCCTCACAAGAGAGTTCACGGACCCGTTTTGATCTGTTGTTGTTATTGTTTCCATGAACCTGTGAACCCAAACGTTGCGGTTGCTATATCAGGGACCAGCTGTTTTGCTTGACGGCTGTGCGTCGCGGAGAGGTTGACGTTGGGGGTCATGGTATGGGGGAAATTAGAAATGGGCGTCTTAGGATGGAGGCACACCGTTGACACCTTGATAAAGGAGTCGAGGAGAGGAGGGCCACAGAGCGGTGATTGCTTTGTAACGGTAGACGGACAAGACCGTGATGTCATCTAGCCCTCGTATGGAACGACAAGGTCGTGCGAAGAGGCAATATTGAAGGGCTTCGTGGGCATGTGTGTACCTGTATAGTACCTTGACAATTGTCGCCAGCAGGACTCCCAACAAGCGGCATTGTCCTGCGTGTGCAGAGGGAAGGAAGTGCTGTCATTGAGGAGGGCCACCGGGCGTTGGCAAGGAGTTCGGAGTGCGGCCCGTTGCGCCGTTTCGCCGATCCTTCTTTTGGACCTTTCTCCTGCCTTGTGCATCACCAACAATCTCGGGAGGGAGAGGCCATTGACGGCAGATCAGACTCCGAGCCTGTAGACCATACTAGATCACACACATGTGTCTCCTCAACGCAGTGTTGTGTGGGAGTTCGGCACGCATCGCGACTACAAGCCAAGTGTCATCTTGGCACGCATGGACAAACACCTTGCTACATCCAACGGCAAGCTGAGGATCGATAATTAGAACAATATTGAAGTAGGAGGATATAGTGCGTGAAAGGACGAGAAGAACCCGAAAACACTCGCATGTACATCCAAATTGTTCAATTCTCCAACGCTTCGTTATGATACTTACGCATTCTCAGCTCCCTTCTCAGCTTTCGTCTTCTTCCAAATCTCCACCTCACCGCCGCCATGAACAACTCCAACTCGCATAGTGGATAACAGGTTGTGTGCGGCATTCGAGTGTTGGTAAACACCACCATTGAAGACCGCAGTAGCATCCTTGCCGACAGCCGACAGAATCAGTGCTTTGCCGCCAGGATGCTCCNNCCTAATGAACGGAGCGACATCGTGTATCACGCCTCCGATAGCCACGAGAGCCTGCCCGTTGCTTCTTGCCTGGGCGACGAATTCTTCCCAGCTGAAAACAGGAAGCTGTGAGATGGGAATGCCCCAATCCAATTTCGTCCGCTTCTGATCCACCTTCTTCTGGAGCTGTTGAAGACGACCCTTTTCGATCTCGTTCTGTCGGAATTGCTTGAGATCGTAAGCCAATCCGAGTCTTTTCCATGTCCAGATCATCCATTTCGTAGGGTCATACTGCCACCATTCGATAGCGTTGCGATAGTCTGACGGAAATTCGTGGTGGAAGTTGTGGTAGCCCTCGCCGAGAGTGACAAGAGCAGTGATTACGTGGTCGCGAGGTGAGTTCCGATCGTCAAATGGCTGTTCGCCCAGCCAGTGAGCTAGCGAATTCACACAGAAAGTTGCCTGTTGGATAAATCCTGTGCGTAGGATGCCAGCATACACAAATCCACCGAACCAATCACCCCATCCCAGGCCGCAAACAAGCGTCGGGACAATAAGGGCCATGGTCAGAACCGACTTGATATAGTGTTTGTGCTGCCACACAACAACCGGGTCTTCGTTCAGATCACTGATATCCGATCGACCAATTCTCTTTGGATTCTGTTTGATGACCATCCAACCCATGTGACTGTACCAGAATCCCTTCTCCACAGAGTAGGGGTCTTTCGATGTGTCGGTATAGCGATGATGGGCTCGATGACCTCGCGACCACCATCTGATACTCCCCTGAGCAGCACCGGCTCCAGCGGCGGCCAGATATATTTTGAGCGGAAGGGTTGCCTTGTAGCATGAATGCGCCCAAAGACGGTGATATCCNTTTTTGATCGTCAGTACACGGTGGGGGCTACAACATCTTAAGACACTTGACATACCGGCTGTGATGCCCGAGCCACACATGACATAGTAAACAACAGCAAAAATTCCTGTGGAGAGGCGCAACGGAGTTTGAGTGGCTGCCACGAGGCCTGTGATAGGTACTATGATGATGAAGTAGATGCTCAGCCAATCCAGATGCTGGTACCAGTTACTCCACGTTATCGGCAGCTCAGTGATATGAGGCTTCTTCATGTCGTGAGCTCTGGATCTTAGTGGTTGGTAGTCCGTAGTGCCGTCAGAGGGAGTAGTAGCCCTCTGTTGGGGGTCCCATGTCTCAGACGCCATGGTGTGTAGATGGGGGCGTGGAATGGATTCGAACCAAGTTTGGCTAGAAAACAAGAGAATTAGATCTCTTGAAGAGAGGAGGGCATCTTTATAACCACTCCGCTTGACGCACAAGAGTCTACTCGTATGTTGACGCCCAGAAGCAAGAATGACAACTAGGGGTCCATGCAGGCCGGGTGTGGAGATACATCTGGTGATTGATCACCAATTTGACGAGGCATTGCGACCTCGTTGAGAAGCGCGTTGACTCCAGAGATTCGGTGAGTCCAGGCAGACAAGTTCTCATCCCATTTATTGGAGTAGCGCCATCTGTGCATATCGATGGCACGGGTCAAGTCGAGGTGCAGAGTGTAGTTTAGGAAGAGCTTGCGAAGGACAAGCTGCCGTGAAGAGGGGATTTCTTGGCATGGGATGAGACATCTTGACTTGCTTGCAGGTCGCAAGAATTACCACTTACGGTGAATGTATGGACAAGCCTCGAGATAGAAGGCATTCAACTGATCGTGTCTCTTGATGAGCAAATGTCAACGTGATCAGTCTTGTGGTTCAAGGGCTCTAGTCAATCGGATGCTGGGTGCCCGTCTTCCAGAGCTGTAGACGATTTAGCCGATGTTTAGCCACCAATGTTGACAAGCATACCCTGTCTGGATAACAATCTTTTTGAAACTTCCTTGCGTTCTCAAGAACTTGCTTAAGTCCTAGTTCTAGCTGTTCATAAGCCAATAGTTAATACGCTCTATCGATAATACAACTCATATAGGAAGAACTACGTGCTGCCGACTCTCCTGTACGAGGACATGCTTTGGTCTTCACGTCGAGTGATAAACTGTGTTGAGCGTTGTGTTCGTTGGCCAACTGTGCCACATATACCTCTCGGTCGAGCTCTGTATATTAACAGATATGGTCAAAGTCTAACGTGTCTTGACAGATATCGAGAACTCGCAACATCAGGAATCAGGACCTCTGGTGGTCAGCACATGTTGTTTCGGCGGGCGGCTTTTGAAAGACCGAGGACGGGGTCCGAGCAGTCGGGCGGGGTTTTGGACAAACAACCAACCTTCGTCGGTCTCACTTGACAATTGGACAATGTTGCACGCAATGTCGGCGTCGCAGGATCCGTGGCGTAAGAAGGAACAGCACAGTGGACGGGACCATGTGAGATGTGCGTCCGACTCGCGTGCTATATCTGTAGGTCCTACCCGCCAGGAAGTCGCTCTTGTTCAACATCAGCTGCGACTTCCTTAATACAGAGACACCTGCCTTCCTGCCTTGTCTTCAACTCCTGACCAATTCATCGATATACTCTTCGGTCAACCCATCAGCTTTCCCATCCGCGTCACAATGGCAGCCCCTCGAAGACTACTCGCTTCGATCTCTCCTGCAACTCTCGGATTTGCAGCAGCTGCGGGAGCTAGTGTGGTTGCTTTCAACATGTCCAAGCCTTCTACAAGCCCAGCAGAACCACAAAAGAGTCTCGGACAGAAGCCTGTCTTTCCGGCCATGGGCTTTGTGAGTTTGACACTCGAAGAAGCTCGCATGGTAAACCACGACACCAGAGAACTGAAGTTCAAGCTGTCTGGGGACGGAGCTACCAGTGGATTGAGCCCCGTCTGTGAGTAACTCCCCTGGCGGAGAGTGGATGTGTATGAATTGACATGATGCAGCANNTCGCTTCTCAGGCGTCACACGGCTGACGGCGCTTGGTTGCCGACTCTGCGGCCCTACACACCCATAAGCACTCCAGATAGCCCTCACATCACCCTCCTCGTAAAGCAGTATCCAAACGGTCGTGCCTCGACACATCTTCACAATTTGGTTCCCGGCCAGACGCTCAACGTCAAGTCCATTCCAGAGTTCCCCTACAAACCCAACCAGCACAAGCATCTCGTCCTTGTCGCCGGCGGCGCAGGCATCACACCCATGTTCCAAGCTCTGCGCAGCGTCCTGGACAACCCTGAGGACCAGACCCGTGTGAGCTTGGTATACGCCAACAAGACCGAAGCAGACATCCTGGTGAAGAAAGAGCTGGATGCCTTGGCTAGTCAACACCCTCAGCGATTCACAACAACCTATGTGGTCAACGACACTAGAACAACAGACAAAACCTTGGAGAGGGGCTATGTAACAAAGGACATCTTGAGCAAGGCGCTCCCTGCACAGCTTGAGGGTAATGATGTCAAAGTCTTGGTTTGTGGTCCTCCAGCTATGTTGGATGCCATCGCCGGCCCCAAAGGCGCAAGGGGCTGGACTCAGGGAAAGCTAGGAGGTATGCTCAAAGATTTGGGCTTGACCGAGAAGCAAGTGCACAAATTCTGAAATCGAATATCGTATACTGAGCGCACCATGAATCGATGAACGGCACGTGAACTCCTCGACCGCAACCAAAAGATGATGCTTGCTTGTAGAAGAGCCTCAAACACCATGAGTGCTAAGTGCATGTAAATCGCGCTCCTGGAACGACTACATCCGACACCGTTGTGGAGATACGTCCGTATAAGCAGGAAGCAGATAGATCTGCGTGGAAGAGCCGAAGACGTTCAGGTATTATTTGACATGCAAGCAGGCTTGCAGCAGCAGAACTTTCGAATTGGCAGTCAAAGCGCGACTTTTGACATGGCGGGCCAAACAATATGGCCTCTTGGCCCAGAAACGCTCAGGAACGCTCCTCGGCTCTTGTGTCTAGAGTGGGCAACCGCCCTTTGGCACCTGAACGGATTACCAAGTTCGGAGCTCATCTCTTGTTCGTACGAGATCGGACCGGATTTATGGGTTCCTTCCCCGTGTTTGATCTGCCTACTACCAACTGTTTGGTTTTTGGACGGTCAGAGCGTCTGTTCGAGATCGCCGTTACAACTCTAAACAGACTCATCTTGACAGTGGTGGAAACCTTTGCAAGCCCACATATGACATGTTCTCGAGACTGTTCTATATGCAATGGCGATTTACGGACCACAAAAGCCCGATTTGTTGATGAGCCGTGCGAGTTGCTGCCATCACCATTGATAGAACAATCTCTTGCTCTCAATCAGAATTAGAGTTGACTGCCGTGCCTGGCTGTTGAACTTATCGCACGTTTTACCAGATTCGCTTCCGAACCTCAAGGGCTGATAAAGCATCATGCTAAGGCCGGTAGTTTCGTAATGGAGGAAAACACAAAGAACATGGATACAAGAGCCATGCGAGTGCCTCACTCGACCTTTGTGGCTAGACAGCATTCAACACAATGCTTACCCACTTTTTCCGCCTGGTGACCCAGATCAACAATGCTGAAACCACTCTCGAGGACGCAGCGGCCTTGCTCTCAAGCCTCATGACTGACGATGAGCACCTTGCTCTCCTCCAAGGCAACAAGTCTCTTACACAATACCTTTCGGACAACAAAGCTTCACCGTATCCAGCTTCGGTGATATCAAGGGTTGGTATCCCTGGGTTTCATATCGTGGACGGCGCGAAACAATCTTTCTTTACCGAGTTCCCCAGTCCGCTGGGTCGAGCGGCATCCTTCAACTGTCAGCTCGAAGAGCTCATTGTAAGTGTATTACTTATAGTCCAATACTTTCTGGATTGACACACCTCATAGGGAGAAGCGATCGGCACAGAAGTGCGAGCTCATGGCGGAAACGTCTACAGCGGTATATGCCTCAATGTCACACGCCGATCAGATTGGGGACGAGCACACGAATCGTACGGAGAAGATCCCTTCGTCATCAGCCGCATGGGCAGTGCAGCAGCAAAGGGCGTACGAAAACACGCCATGGTAGCCATCCGCCATTTCGCAATGAACTCAATGGAGATACTACGAGAAGACGGCAGAATAACATGCGACGAAAAGACCATGAACGAACTTTTCTTGCAGCATTTCAAGGATGTGCTCTATGAAAGTCGAGCGGAACTTGTTGTGTCTGCAGGAAATCGCGTCAATGGTGTGGCGTGTACTGAAAACCCATCCTTGTTGAATGGCATTCTGAGACACCGCTGGCATCTGAACGACCTGATCGTGGCTAGCGATTGCACATGGCCAGTAAAAAATGGACCGGCGTCGATCAAAGCAGGACTGGATATCGAAATGCCGTTCAAAACAGATGGACGAACTGCAGCAATCGAGTCTGCTCTCGAGCACAACACATTGGACTGGTCGAACATAGAAGTTATGATTGATCGGATATTGAAAGCTCAATTACGCTATCATTGCCACACAATCCAGATGCCGACGCCGGACCCAGAGAAGATAAGATGCCAGCGTCACATTGGCTTGGCTAGACGATCTGTTGCCGAGTCCATGGTGCTTCTCAAGAACGACAACGACTTCCTGCCATTCGGAAAAACTTCACAGATCAGATTAACTGTCTTGGGCCAGCTGGCGGATAGAGTCAGCTCTGCATATCAGTTTGACGCAACATCTCATGCTGCAGGTCCTCCGGGAACCAGTCCGTTGGAAGAACTTCGGAAGCGACATAATGTTGTTGTCGATTACATGGACGGGAACGAGACCGGTCCAGCGACAAAGTCTGCCATGACTTCTGACGCCGTCCTGATTTTCATACGACCTTCCAGCAAATCTGACTGTGAACATAAGCGAATTCGCTTCCTTGACCGCTTCAGGTCTGGCAAGCAAAATTGCAATAGTCCGATAACACGTTTCCGAGACCGCAGCCATCTCACTCTTCATGCTCCAGATCTCGAATTAGCCAAAGCAGTCTTGTCAGTCGCCTCCAACAAAACGGTGGTGGTGATTGAGGCAGGCACCAGTGTCACAATACCCACTTTCATTCGGCAGAAAGCGACCGCCATCCTCTTCTCCAGTTATGGATGTCGACAATATGGCAAGGGCTTACGAGACGTTCTGTTTGGCGAGCAAGAGCCTTCCGGCAGATTACCATTCGTTCTGCCCGACACTGAGAACCAACTATTGGAGAAGGAAAGAAACGCATCATCACACGAGATCAGATATGACGATAAATGGGGCTATAGGAAACTACGACATGAACAGCAGAAACCTGCCTATCCATTTGGATTTGGGCTCGGCTATTCCACTTTTACGCTCAACTCACTCTGGTGCTCACATCCAATTGTCAAGTCTACTTTTGACATGACAGTCAATACAACGAATACTGGCAGCCGTGCTTCGGCGGTCGTAATCCAAATCTATGCTTCGAAACGAGCACGAAGGGATAGCGCCACACCGACTGTCGTTCCCAGAAGCCTTATTGGATTCGTAAAAGAAGTCGTTCATCCTGGAGAAAGCAGCGAGATTGGCATCACTTGTCGATTGAGTCCTTTGGCCGAGTTCAATTCGAGTACCAGTAAGATGGTTGTTGCCGAGGGTGGGTATGATCTTTTGGTGTGTCAGTATGAAGGCGATTCAAAGGCGTTGTCGTCTTCGTTTCAAATCTTGAATGAAGTATATTGTTGAGGTATGCTAGCAGTAGTCTAGCGTTTTGGTCTTTTGCAGATAGATACCCATATATTGTTATTGAACTAGAGTCTCCGACAATTTGCACGTACATTCGAGTCGCTTGTTCTCAGAAACCTTGAACGTGATACCGAGACTCTGATGGATGACCGACTGACGGACTGCCTTCTAGTCACTGATCTACCAAGTATATTATAGAACGAAATTAGTCTTGAAACACGTACGGCCACAGTCAGCTGAAAACTGGGCATCCCGTCCGCTCTGCCATACATAAGCAGTTGAACGGCAGATTAGTACTACGGTGGGTGACCACGTGGGAATCCCTGCTGCTGTACGTTTTGCAACCATTTTGCGTCCTCTCCTACCATCCTTTTTCTTCCGTCCTCACACTCCTCTCATCTTTTCTCCATCTCTATAGCATTCGGTCTCTTATGATATTCGGTCAAGCGGCGTGCTTGCAGGAGGACGAGTCGAGATCAAGCCTCGAAAGCGGGGATCCAGAACTCTGTTTTGCGCTCCAGCCTCGTCCCTGCACCTTGATGTCTAGAGTAGCCGCAACTCACATGCGGGGTATGCGTACAGTAAAGCTGAGCTCCAGCATCAAAGACATATAAAAGGTTTCCCCTTGGGCTGGATGAGTCTAAGTTCGCAACTGTTGGATCCTATACGAAACGATTGTTCTATAACGGTCGAAGCTCTGCTGTTGTTTTTAAAGAATGCTTCCCTCACTCTCGGCCATTGCACTTTCTTTGCTTTCTCTGTCTTCGTATAGTTACGCGACTTCTACTTGCAATATGTCTGGCAACTTGACGAGTACCAATGGCATAGGCAGTACACCTGTACAAGTGAGTTGCTTGTTCAACTTTCATCAATTGTAGTCATTAACACGCATGANNCAGCGCCATTACATCTCCTCCGACCAAGCCTCCGCCATCGTAGCCGCAGCAGCAAAGTCCGCAGCCACAATCGTACCCCAAAACATTGCCGTCGTAGATCCTTCTGGCTTACTAGTCGCTTTCCTGCGCATGGACAATGCATACCCCGGCAGCATCGACATCAGCATCAAGAAAGCGCGCACTTCAGTGCTGTTCAACGGCATCCCTTCTGCTGCCCTCTACAATCAAAGTCAGCCCGGTGCTGCCTTGTATGGCATTGAAGAGACCAATGGAGGACTGGTGATTTTCGGGGGTGGGTTGCCGTTGGTCAAGGATAATTATCTGATTGGAGCTATCGGAGTGAGTGGAGGCACTGTTGCGCAGGATGAAGAGGTTGCACAGGCTGGTGTGAGTTGGTTGATGAACTCGTGAGTATACGTATTCATTTGTTCTTTTTCTCTGTACTCAGGATAGGTTTCTGTAGCGTGACCAGATCCAAGAGCTGCAGTAGGCCGCTTGCGATAGCTAGTATGACAACAACAAGATCAACAATATGTATTGCCCACCAAATGTGCTGTTTACCAAGTGCACAAGTGGCATACTCGAACTTCCATTTGCTTTCAACAATGTCGAACCATGCAGAGAGAAGACCGGCGTTTCCACCATAGTCACCCATCATGCTTCGAACGGTGACCTCCCGGATGCCGTTCGCGGTCGTGTTGAGCATAGAGAATCTGGTCGAGTTCCACTGGCCCTCATCGGCCTCGACCCGATCATGCCATGTATCACAACCCTCGTGGTCATGACCGTTGAGCACAATGCCTGCACGCTTGGTTCCGAATAGACCATCCAATATCTTATCACTTGACTGCTGTGTGAGATGGTTCTGTTCGCGAATGCCACCACCATGATGGGGTGCAAAGTAGCTGAAGAATGGAGGATCAACACAGACACCGGCTGGCTTGTACATAGGTACATGTGTGAGCAGGATGACAGCATCCTGAGAGCTTCGCGTCTTTGTGTCGTCAATGACACTGTCCAGATAATCATGTGTTGCGCGATGGAGGTCTTGGTTCCAAGCAGGGTTGTCCAGGTTCATTGAATTGAGATTTACAAGGTGCAGTTCCGTAGTCAGGTTCGGCGTAAGGTCTGAGAAGGGGATCCTGACGCGCCAGTTGACTTGACCAAAGGCACGTTCGAAGCGAGTGATGCGGTGGTGGTCAATATCACCGGCATATCCAATGTCATGGTTGCCAGCCACGTTGAGCAGTGCAGGAGCCTTGCTGGCGTTCATGTTGTCCACAAAATCCCACTCGGGACCATCTCCAAGCTCTTCTCCGTGGGTATCGTGTCTCCATGCATGGGCACCAACAAAGACTCTATTCCAGAATCTGTCGGCTCGTCGATCGAACTCGTCGTTGGTGATCCATTGGCTGCCGAGTAAATCACCCAGTACAGAGACGTGGGTCGGCTGGGTCCACCATCTGGTCGTGCGATAGATATGTGCGAGGTAGTAGTCGTTACCCAGGAGATCCAGCCTCTTTCGTTGCGTCTGTATCAGGCGTGGGATGTCTCTTGTGACAATGTCCTTGACTGTGCGTTTCAAAGTGCGTGCTGCGGCATCGAGTGGCTCAATCCACAAACGGTGACGCAGGCCTATGAGCCCAGGGAAGAGTGGCGCATTAGGGTCGGGTAGAGAGGTATCTCCTTCCAGTTGAGGGTCGCCCAGAGCGAGGAGTCGGAAGGGTGCTACGCCATTGTGTTTGGGACATGGGAAGCGACAGTCTTGAGCGACGGGGTAGAGATAGAGCCAGAGTGTCGACAGGACGGCAGGGACGATCAAGGCGAGGAAGGCGCTACGCACCACGCCCGAGAGCCGCATTGAGACTGCATTGTTGATGTTGATGGACGTGAAACGAGTCGTGCCTTCCCAAGAAATTGCTCGGACTTTGCGCTTGCCAATTTCCGTCAGTCGGCTTCGTCCACATCTCAACTCTCGACCACTCTTTCCTCAAGACCACATCAAACATTGTTGTGCGACTTGGAACAATGGACGGATGAATCTTCTCACGACGCTTCCAGGCAAATACATGAGCCTATGGTAGAGCACCCGTTGAACATGCCCTTGTGAGAAGCTCATGCAGCCGCTGCTTCACCCACGTGCATGCCGCGAGTGGCTCTCGTTCAGAAACTCTCCATTGACCGTCGATCTTCACTCCCCTCAACCACAAGATACATAAACACCCACCTAACTAACGTGAAATGTTTCCAACATTCCACCATGTCTGCCACTACTCTAGTCACTTCAGCATGCCTCTTGTACACTCTGTCCTCTTTGCCCTTGCTGCTTCTACCGTATCTACTCGTGCGATCCCCATCCTGCAACCCACAGACGCCCTCCGATTAGACCATGAAGGCTCCTTCCAGCTCAGCATCTTTAGCGACCTGCACTTTGGAGAAGCAGAAGACACGCTATGGGGTCCTGAACAAGATGTCAAGAGTGTCAAAGTCATGGACTCTGTGCTCGACAGTGAGAAAACCACTGGCTTAGTCGTCTTGAACGGCGATCTCATTACCGGCGAGAACACTTTCCTCCAAAACTCCACAAAATACTTGGATCCGATCGTAGCTCCGCTGGTCAAGCGCGGGATTAGCTGGGCTAGCACTTACGGCAACCACGATAGCGACTTTAACCTTTCACGCGAAGGCATTCTTGAAGAGGAATCAAAATACCCGCTTAGTCGCACAAAGAAGATGGTCGCTGCATCTGACGCCGGTGTATCAAACTACTACTTGCCCGTCTACGGCAACGACTCTGCTGTGCCAGAGTTCTTACTCTGGTTCTTCGACTCCCGCGGGGGCAACTACTTCCAGCAGGAATCAGCAGCCGGAAAACCAGTACCTCAGCCCAACTGGGTCTCTCAAAGCGTTGTTGACTGGTTTACTGAAACTCGATCCGGCCTCGAGAAGAAGTATGGACGTATTGTTCCCAGTGTAGCATTCGTCCACATCCCCGTCAATGCCATGGCGGCTTTCCAAGCTTCAGGTGTGAATGCAAATCACGAACCTGGCATCAACGACGACAACCCATTGGCTCAACAAGGCTCAGCTTCAGGTCAAGGCGAAGTCAGCGGCACAGTGTTCAGCTATAACGGCCAAGACATACCTTTCATGCAAGCTCTTCTCGATACCAAGGGGCTCAAAGCAGTCTTCTCAGGTCACGACCATGGCGATGACTGGTGCTTCCGATGGGACTCGAAGCTAAAGGGTATGAATCTGACTGGCAACGGTTTGAATCTCTGCTTCGGCAGGCATAGCGGATATGGAGGTTATGGATCATGGACAAGAGGAAGCCGTCAAGTTGTACTCAAGAAGGGCCAAGAGGATGTTGAGACGTGGGTGAGGTTGGAAGATGGAAGCGTCAGTGGCAGAGTCACTCTCAACGGAACATATGGGCAAGACTCATATCCTGCTGTGCGGTCATAGGTCATGGAGACAATGATGCTTCTTTCTTCTCGAACACGATTCGCTTCACACAAAAATGTACAGTTGTAAGGGGCTTGTATGTATCGGAGTCCCTGGCAACATGGTCAACAAACATTAAAGCAGCCATAGCTCACTGGTCCTCGTTCCGTTAGTCGTTAGAGTAATGTTACTTCTAACGTATAGTGGCGCCTTCACGGTGTCACGTTGAACTTTGAAAGAGATGGCTAGTAAAATAGATAGTAGACAGTGAAATAATTGAGAACTGTTACAAAATTTGCCAACCTTTCCTACTTTGCAGGAACAGGGAAAGCCTCTACACTACTGAGCGTAGGCACAACAGTATGCATCAGCCCTGTCTTAGCATCAAAGGTAACCTTATCAATCGTCACTTCTCTGTGCGTGCCATCACCGCCCGGGATAGCGAAACGGTGGTAAGCCATGTACCACTTGTCTGTCCCAGGCACATTGATGATCGAATCATGTCCAGTAGCCAAGATTCCTTGACTGACATCTTTCTGCAACACGATACCATGATAAGTATACTTTCCAGTAAGGGAAGTAGAAGTTGCATAGCCGACACGATAATTCTCAGAGCCTGTGTCGTCGAGGGAGTAGGTGATGTGATAGAGACCCTTGCGGTAGTTGATGAAGAGACCTTCGCGGAAGTCCACCAGACCGGTGATGTTTTGTGCTGTGGACCAGTTTATCGAAGTCATGTTGTCATTCAACTCAGCAAGGAGTGGGCTACCGTTGCCCCACAGTAGGTAGTATTTGCCGCTCACAGGATCTAAGAAGGCATCAGAGTCAATAGCTTGACCTGTGGTGAGACGCTCGTTGTTGAGTATCATGGCAGTGGGTTGTGCGGTGAAGGGGCCAGTAGGCGAGTCTGCGATAGCGACGCCAATGGTCTTTCTGTCGTAGGTGGGATTCTGACCGCTAAAGTAGAAGTAGTATTTGCCATGTCTTTCAATGATGGTCGGAGCCCAAGCGTTGCCAGTTGCCCATGGAACATTGCCGTGGGTGCCGTTGAGGGTGAGGAATGGCTTCTCGCTGCGAGTCCAGTTTACTAGGTTTGGTGAGCTCCACGCATAGAATGCCTGGCCACCCCAACCAGGGAAACCATCAGTGGTCGCGTAGATGTAGTAAGTCTTGTTGAACACAGCAATGTTGGGATCAGCAAAGTAGCCCTTGAGTACTGGTGAGCCTCCAGATGCACGACTAGCGATCGATGAAGTTTTGGCAGTGTCTGCTGCCGTTAGGCTGGCAAGCTCAGCGGCAGTGATGGGAAGGACAGTTCCATGTCTGGGGCTTGGGGGAAGCTTGTATGATGCTGGGACCGTCCAGTTGGGGCTTGCGATATTCTTGGTTTGAAGTGGAATGTAACCACGACCACCATATTCGTCGACAAACAAGTAGAAGTTATCTCCATTAACATCGCCAGGGTTCGACTTGAACGCGGTTGGGCCTTCAACGCCCTGAGTGCCGGCCTTNTTACCAATGCAACTATCGACCAGAGACCAAGAGTCTGCAGTTGCTCTGAGTGAAGTCGACTTCTCTTCGATGATGTCGGTGCAGCCAGTCTCACCAGCGCCTTCGTCCTTTGTAAAACGATAATAGGTGTCACCCTCCTTTATGACAGTGGAGTCGATGCGTGACATACCAACGTCTTGCCAAATCTGCGGCTCGCTGAATGTAACAAAGTCTCGTGTGGTAGCATACNNCTGAAGGTAAAGTTAGCAGAGTTCGGTGGATAAAACGCGCTTCGGTACTAAATTGACAAGCCAGCATGCACAGTCGAGTTCCACGTCGATGGAACAGCGTCTAGGACATTCTTCCATTGATGCGGCTTCGATATACATTCGGTACTTGTATTTGTACCTACACCTTACTTACATCATGCGGTGGTAAGTTGCTCCGACACGATCAACGTCCGTCGAGTTGTAGAGAGAAGATGCCCAAAAGACGACATAAGCACCAATGTCTTGATCGTAGTAAGCCTCAGGAGCCCAAGTATTTCCAGCTTCAGCAGGTGAGACCAAGACGTGGCGCTGTTCAGACCATGTCTTGAGGTCGTGAGACTCCCATACCTCGAGGTAACGGCTTCCAAACTTGACGGAGTCGCCCCAAGAAGTTCCGGACCCGATCGAAAGATCAGTCGCGATGAGGTAGAAGGTGTCGCCCTCGCGAGAGCGAATGATGAATGGATCGCGAAGTCCTTTCGTGCCGAAGGTCGACTTGAGAATCGGCTGTGCACCATTGAGCTCTGTCCACGACAGAGCGTCGTTGCCGTTACTGGCCGCGAAGTAGATGTTTTCGCCGGACAAAGAGTTGTTGGTGAAGTATGCAAATGCATAGCCCTCGAAAGCACCAATATTAGCTGCCTGGCGAACCGAAGCAGAGAACTGTCGGCTGGCTGGTGTTCCGTTGCAATCGATGGTGGCAGTCAACTGAACTTGTGTCGTGGTATTTTGTCTTTGGACGACGCCGCTGTTCGAGATGATAGACTCGTCGCTACTGTTCCATGTGACATCCGTGCCACTTGCGGTAGTAGCAACCAGGTTCAAATTGCCGCGAACATCGTCGACGTTCGTGACAGTCAAGGAATCGAGGTCTGTCGAACATGTATTGTCTTGAGCACTGGCTACGAAAGCCAACGCCGAGGTTGCTAAAAGATGTAGAGAACGCATGGTGCAGAGGATGAGGGGTAGCCGTGGAAGCATGGGGGGCAATGTATGGGCACTTTATAGTACAATCACTTACTTTAGATGAACACGAGCATTGCCATATCATCATGCATGGTTGCTGATCACCTGGAGAATTACGGTAGAAAGCACACCGAAGAGTTGACGCCAAGTCGAGTATCGTGGAGTGTTACATGGAGAAGTTGCGGAGGGGATGCTTGGCTTCGGGAGGCAGGTTAAATTGTCTGACCTGCGTCACTGTCGAGCAGGACTCTTCAGCCGGGCGCGTCCAAAACTTGTTCATCGCATGAAGATCTCTGCTGCACAGTCCTTGGCATGGCCGGCGGGCTCCTGAAGCATCAACGACAACGGGAGGAAGTCTCGAAGTGAAAAGGATAGGAGAGCCTACACACGGGGAAACCTCGGTAAATTGCGCGCGGACAGTTCTCCTTCGAGCCTTTCTGTTCGAATCTCCCAATATCAACTCAAACGTAAAGCAAAATTCTCACCCTGGAGCTCTGATGCAGCTGACCTGTTTTCAGTCGGACTCCAGTGCATCCGGAACAATGTCTGTCCCGAGACCTCTGACAACATCAATATGGCTCAACAGAGAGTGAAAGTATGATCGATCGAATTTGTGTTTGCCTATCTACGGATATACTCTCCAAAGGCCGTGAACATTCTTTGGATCTTTCTCGACCAGCGACCAAAGATCAGGTAAGCTTGCTGTTGACGAACTTGAGAGCGGCCTGGCCGTACTCTTGGCCGTAACCCTGGTGAACATTGGCATTGTTTCCGTTCGAGCAGTACGGGTCCGCAGAGTCACAGTAAGACTGGATTCTGCTTGCGTATGCAGAACAAGTGAAGCCTGAGGGTCTTGGATCGAANCTGGTACGGTCGTCATCAGTAAAAGAAATGGGCATCAATGACGATAAACTTACACCAGGGTTCTTTGCAGTACCGACAGAGTAGGGACCACCAGGAATGTTTCTTGGATCACCCATGAAGATGACCGCCTTGACTTTGTTTCCGACTGCGGACGAGATGGGAGCAGCAGTGTTGCTGATACCCTGGTTGGGATCACCACCTCCACAAAGCGCATCGTCACCAATCTGAGCACCCTGAGAGTATCCAACGTAAACAAGCTGGGTATTGGGGCACGAAGCAGCGAAAGAGTTGATCTGGTTGGTGACAGCCTGCACGCCAGCCTGTACGGAAGAGGCATAGCTGTTACCTCCAGCAGCTGGGTAGTTGATGACTTCGGCAGTGGAGCCGGGGTGTGCGTTGAGGATGAGGTTGACGACTGTGCCGGCTGAGCCATAGCCAGCAGGTGCGGTGGTCTCGCGAGCGCCGAAGATGTGAATGTTGGGACAGGCGCGCTTCTCAAGAGGAGCAGCCATGGAGGTCCCCATGAGGAGGAAGGGGATAGCAGCAATGGTGGACTTCATGTTGATGTTTTGGTAGGTTGAAGACGATATGAATCTGAGATGAATGAGAGCTCGGATGGATTGCGAATGCCATCGGCCTACTTATACCATGTTCACACCACAGCAGTACCCACATAGCCTGCTCGGTCAGGTGGATCTCTCGGACGTTGCGCTATGCTGACAAGCCCTAGATGTCACAGCTTTAGGCAAAATCAATCAAGTCCAGGCAGAACACACATGATCGACGTGGAGCCTACGCTTGACGAACTATGCTTATAGGTCGACAATGCTTAGCGAAGTTTCAGGTTCGTTTCACGCAGCGGCATCCTCCCGTCCGAAGCTTGTTCCATCACCCTATTACGACTGCACGCAACATTTCTCGTGTTTTCGCTTTGTCTGGGCTTAAATAGTGGCTCAAACGAATGCTTATGGCTGGTTGCGATAGATTAACTCATAAAGACCAAGTACAATGTATCTGCACGTAGACTCTACAGGCAGCAGGAGCTGTCTTATGGCTATCTTGTTCGAACCCGACAATATGAGGCCTAAGCTGGATTGAGTCTTGGGATACAAAACCTGGTAGTGCTAGCTCGCTCGCCAAACGATTAGAAAGCCACGGCTTGGACCTTTCACACATGGCTGTTCTTCTCACCAGCGAATCGGCTGGACGAGTCTAGATCAAAACTGTCTGCAATTGCATGTCACCCAGCGGGACCCGTGGGCAGATAGTCACCTGAGACTTGCTGTTCTCGCGGTATAATCTGAATTCTCTGGTACAAGGACCTCCGCATGCGAATCATAACAAGCTCAGGCCAGCAGTCGTTGCTATTTGTCGTTTCTGGCCACGACCATCAATGATAGCAAAATCTTTTGATTGTAGAGGTGACCAGACTTCGACAGTGGGAAAGAAGTAACGTCACGCAACCCTTCGCACAGAGGAATCTGTTGATAGGGAGCACATGCAGAGTCTGTCGGATGGTCGGATAGTACTGTCAACAAACACCAGATCTATCTGATTGACAGGAGGACTGGGGAGATTAGCCAGTTCAGTGGGCCGAACCCCTGATTATCATGAGTCGCCCCAATGAATACCATCGGGCTCTCTAGTCTCGGGCATTGGACTGAAGAGCGGATGCATTGATGAAAGAAGGGAAAGATGAGATCAAGAAGGGCACCAAAAGCCACGAATCGCTTATGTGACAAAATCTACAGCAAGGCAATCACTGCGTGAATCACACTCCCAGACCCTAAGAGAAGTCATGTGGTATACGCGAGGGAAGCATCATATGCACCATCTCAACGTCAAAACAGAAGATGGTGATGACTTGCAACCCAAGTTCAGGCTAAACACATTGGGCCCCACGGGGAACGGGTGTCGCTAGTTGGATGGTGCAAAATTATCGTAGATAGCCCTAACCGCGGGGTAATGGTATACAGGCACGGTGCAGGAACAGGAAATCTCGACAGGAGATCTGCATACTAAGAAACTCCGCGTCAAGTCTGAAGCTCTCCGGCTAAACCCGGCTATGGTGTGGTTGGAGGGTATTGAGACAGACTTGCGGCCGAGAGCCATGGTAAACAAGTTCTGGAAGAAGGTAACGGTGAACTCGATAACCCTAGGTCGAGCTCGTCACATCAGGAAAGAGCTATCCTGCAGAACGCAGCTCGGTGGATGGGAAGGTACGAGAACGCAAGGCAGGACTGAACAGGCAAGAGCGCGTGGGCATTATGTGAGGAGCTGGAATTGGGCACAGCAAGGTAAAGACAGAAAAGGGGGAGCAGAACCACTCGGACATCGAAGCGAATGAAGGGCAAAGTCGAAAAAATGTATTCGAGACTGTTTGTAGAAAAGATACAGTACATAGAAAACGAAACAGAAAAAAACATCGCTCGCCTGCTATAGGGTAATTTAGAACACAAACAAACACAAAGAAGACAACCCCCACTCATCAGGAAGCAATAAAAGGTGCGACTACAAAAGAAGGGCGAAGATTTTGATCCAGCCAAATAGATTGAGACATCGAAGAAGACCAGACAAAAGAGACGTCTAACAATCCTTACTGCTTAGTTGACAGCACGCATGTTGAAACGATGCTCAAGACCTTGAGTCGAATACTTTGCGTTGACAGGCTCTTCGTCTTCAGCAGCAGAGTTGGCGCCAAACTCGTCAACAACACCAGAGTCACCAGACTCTGCGCTCACAATCTTGGTGGGCAGCTCAGGGATGTCCCCTGTCAAAGTGCTGCGCCAGTGGCTTTGGACGCTTCCTCTGTCAGGTGTGGCAATTGTGGAAGATGAGATCATGCTCATGGATGTACTGCTGCGGTTCATCGTACCCATACTGTGGCTGTGAATAAGATCGGGTGTGGGTGGGATGCTGCTGCGGACCGTGTGGCTTCGTGCATCGTGCAGACTGTAGTTTGAGGCAGCGGAGCTTTCGGATCTATCGTCGTACTCGCGCTCGGAGGGGGCGTCGCTGAGCGAGGCGCGTGTCATGATACGACCTTTGCTACGGCGCTTCAGGTTGCCACCGTGCTCGGAAGATGCAAGACTGGCATCGTCATCGTTGCCATTGCGGCCGCTGGCAACAGACTCGGTGCGTTGAGCCATGTTGAGACCCTCGACGGCGGCGGCGCACTGCTCGCTGATGTTGCGGATGATGAAAGCGATAGCATCGGTCTTTTCGCGCAACTGGCGGTCTGCCACGTCGGTCATGCTGAGAGAACTCAAACGGCGACGGGCATCGGCGTTGCGACGGAGTGCCTCGGCTGCGGCATCCTCGCCACGAGCTGACAAGCGAGTGCTGCTACGTGATGATGCGCGCGAGGTACGGGCACTAGATGAATCTCCGGTGAGAGAAGTACCAGGGGCAGGCGATGCGGGAAGGGCAGTGGCAGCAGCCTCGTCCTCTTCATCGGGCAACTCGATGGTCCGCACAATGTGCTCCATGTGGTGAGCCTGACCGTCAATCAAAGCGCGCAGATGAAGAACAACACGCTGTGCCTCGTCGCGTTGGCGGAGCACAGCAGAGTTTGTCTGTTGCAAAGATACGATTTCTTGCTTGTTGCGCTTGCGTTCGCGTTCGAGTTCCTCGGCGATTTCTTGTTGCAAGACAAGAGCTTCCAGAGCATCGTCTCTTTGCTTTTCCGTACCGCTGAGTCTAGGTGTAAGACGGGCGATCTCGTCCTTGGCCTGATCGGCGATTTGGGCAATTCTTCTGTTCTCGCGCTTGTGACCCTCAATCTTGACCTTGAGTTCTTGAGTCTCCTTGGTTAGTGTCTCGGCGAAAGACTGGAACTTGAGGAATTGCTGCTTCCAGGAATCGAGCTCAGCGTCAAGGATGTTGTTACGCTTGGTGACCTTGACAACTTCAGTGTCCATGCGGCCCTTGAGGTTGATGAAATCTTGCCATGCCTCGTTCGCGTCGCGGGAGTATTGGTTACGTTCACGGATGATTTCGTTGAGATGACGCATTGACACCTTGGTCATCAGAGGCTTCTTTTGGGAACCGCCAAAGACAGCCTTCAATCCAGTGTTGCGACCCAGCTTCTCACAGACATGGTCCATAACAGACATGACTGTGTCTTGGTTCCACCAACCGGGGTCCTGGACGCTCTCGACTTCTCCACGCATAACAATAATCTGACCAGCGGGAATCAACTTTCCGCCTCCGTAAGCCGAACGAAGATGTTGAGGAACGCCTGAAGGAGCGACATCGCCGTTCAGAGCCTGGGTAAGACGGTTGACCATTTTTGTTCTTTGACCTCCAGTCAGAATATCCGGAGGGCTCGAGGTCAAGACAAAGTTACGATCCAGATCGACAACCAAGGCGTCGTTGGGAGCGGTGAAGAGAGTGCGGCATTCAGCGGTGATACCCATGATATACGGACCAGGTTCCTGAACAAGGTCTCTAGCATGGCGAGCGTGGACGATAGGGACATACAGGCCGCTCCATTCGTAGACGCGAACCAGGTAGCGGATAGTCTCGGCAGCCATGGTCAGCATAGCAGGATAGTGACTGACAAAGATGATTCTTCTGGTTGGCGAAATGGCGGCTTCGACAACGCCAACGATGTTAGGGATGGACAGACAAGAGAACAGAGGCCACATGGCGAAGTTTTGGAAGCCGGTGGGCGATGAGGGGAACTGATAACAAAGAGCGTAGTCCTTCATGTCGATGCGGACAAGGTCGTTGAGTCTGGGGGCAGGGAAGCTAAGAATGCGAGAAACTTCCTCGGCGTGGAAGAGGTTGGTGGCTTTGTTCCAGTGGATCCACATGCCACGGAGGTAGTCGCCGAGGAGATTGTAAAGAGGGTATCTAGAAAGGAAACTCAAGCAGTAGGGGATCCAGTATGTCTCGCCGGGGCTGTCGTAGTAGTCGGTCTCGGTACGCTTTCTCAATTCGCGAATCGTCTCGGCACGCTTCTCGTCTGCGCGAGACCAGACGCGAAGAGCGATACCGTAGAGGGTGTGGGAGGAGTCTTGCTGGAGGACGAATGCATGGTGGACACAGTGAGGCTGCATGGCGCCGGTGCAGATTTCGACGTCGTGAGGGAAACATGCCNNTGGACAGGGTTAGTGGGTTGTTTGGATGTGCATGGTTGGAGAGCGTACCCTCATGGCAGCATGAAGGGCGCGGGCAATATCGTTGTCCTGGTCCAACCTCGGACTGCTTCCAAGAATTTCTGGGAGCCAGAACTGGTTGACGGCGCCCTTCATGTGTCCGATCTTTCCCTGTGGAGGTGGTGGAGCCCTGCCCCATTGCGAGGGCTCACGGCCGACACCACATACCATGTAGGCATGGGTGAGGGTCTTTGGTGTACGCTGGCCATTGCGCGGCTGCGTTAGTTGCGATGCCAGGGGCTGTGTGATGCGTGAGTGGAGCGACGAGGTGCGGTCGGGGATAACGAGGTCGTCGTCGGCTCGACTGGCGGGGCGCGAGTCTGCGCGCGACGAGCGTGGGCGTGATGTGAAGCTTGGAGGCATATTGTCGTTGTCGTCGTTGAAGCTTATGGCTTAGGTACGACCCCACGTTGCAATCGCCGTGTTTCAGAGACGCTTTTCTGGCTCAACCGTCGGGTCCGCTAAGCTCAACTTCGCTGGCACGTCCGGCGTCCAGGCGTACAAGAGGCAAGAGCTGGTGGGATGGACGAGAGCGAGAGACAGGAAGCAGCAAGCAGGCTGGACAGTGCTGGGAAGGAGCGTCGGGCAGGAGGAAAAGAGGACGTGGTGCAAGGAGAAGATTCAAAGCGAAGATCAATTCATGGCCAGCCGAATGCCGTACACAACAGCGTCGACTCCGTGACCCGCTAACCTACAATCGCTCAGTCATGGCCTGTTGTAGCGCGCCACTTTGCCTGTAGCAGCGCAGTCCGATGGGGGGAGCGGGATCGACGGCGGTGCATAAACCACACTGGAGAAGTGCACGGTCGCCATCTCAACTTTACACGCCCTCGCCGAATCAGCGCCCTCCCTTTCTGCGCCTCGTCGAGATGCTGTGGACCTTTGAACTCGCCCTAACTCTGCAACCCCGGCCATGCACCACTCACCATTTTCCGTCCCTTCTCATCTCTCAAGGCTACACAAGAAGGCCTCCTATGACCACCAGATTCCTGCTTGTCCAATCTCCAGAGAACGCTGCACACCTTCGCTTGTGTTTCGTGACAATCAATTTTCATTCATTTGCCCGGGTGATGTTCATTACTGCTCCCAAATCAGCAAACCTCCATATCCCTGTTATATCGCCAAATAGCCTTGAACTGCCCTGTCTCGCACCTTCTAGAATTGCCGCAGCCGGCATCCCTGTCGGATTCAATAAAGGTTGCTTTCGCTGTCTCGCAGCAATCCTAGCACTCTCTCCTCTGTGCTGCGTCGAAACTCGGTCGTGAGCTCATCGAGCAGACGTGCAATCATCTATAATGAACTGTGCCATGCGTGCAACAGTGCGTGCATCTATCCGCTGCACCCTGCACGTTGTTGCCGTCTTCCCTCGATATTAAATACTGCAACTCAATTTGTTCTCTTCACGTCGAGATTCAAGCCCGTAAGCCATCGTGTTCCCAACAGCTGGACTCCAGTCGGCCTTGCCGAACGTCCGAGGTCGGCTGCCATCGCATCTGATAAGAAAAATCTGATAATCTCTGTCACCAAACAGCCGTCACCCGCAGCATCGCCAACATGTCGTTAAAGTCAAGACCTTTACAATACAAACACTTTAATGTGTCTTTTCCAGATGAGCGCATTGTCCAAGTCACACTGAACAGGCCTGACAAGCTCAACTGCGTCGATCAAGCCACGAGCAAAGAAATTGCCGAGATTTGGGAACTGTTTGATCAGGATGAGAGCTTATGGGTTGGTATTATCACAGGAAATGGTAGAGCGTTCTGCACTGGTGCAGACCTTGGAGGTAGGTCTGACAATGTCACTGCTCTGTCCTACCCACGGCTGATCTGGTATNCAGAATGGAACGAGATGAACAGACGCGGCATCATCAACGACATGTCAGCACCAGGTCTTGCTGGCCTGCCACGTAGAGCAGGAAAGAAACCGATCATCGCTGCTGTCAACGGAATCACGATGGGCGGAGGCTTTGAGATGGTCGCAAACTGCGATCTTGTAGTTGCCGTCTCCTCGGCCGTCTTCTCGCTGCCAGAAGTGAAAAGAGGCATCGTACCGGTCGCAGGTTGTTTGCCTCGCTTGACCCGAACTTTGGGTCTACAACGTACCACCGACCTTGTGCTCACAGGCAGAAACATAACAGCCAAAACGCTTTACGACTGGGGTCTTGTCACAGAATTGGTCGACTCTGCCGAGGAAGTCGTGCAAGCCGCCATCAAGACGGCCCAACTCATGTGCAGGAACAGTCCTGACGCGTTGGTAGTTGGTCGGTTGGGCATCAGACTGAGCTGGGAGGCTGGTAGTGTCGAGGATACTGTTACCACGCTTGCCAACGATTGGTATCCGCGTCTCGTGCAAGGTGAAAACTTCAAAGAGGGCATCAAGGCATTTGCAGAAAAGCGCTCACCAGTCTGGGTGAGCTCAAAGCTGTAGACGTGAGCCACGAGATTCGATGTAGATACAACTGGATCTGATATAGACACGGACGTGATGGAGAACCACGTTGGAAGAATACAAACGTCGAGAAGCATGTTGACAACATGTTTGCTGCATTCCAAGCTCTCTGCAGAATGGTGATGTGGTCAACCGGCTCTCCACCTTTTTGGCGTAGCTCAACTCGCTTCCTTCTCGGCTCTCGCCGATCTTGGTTCAACGCGAACTCGAGCCGCTTGTTTCGAGTCGTTCAGGCGTCAAACCTCGACCGAATTTTTGGACTTTTGATCAACACGCAAAGGACACAAAATGAGCCCTTCTATTTTCTCTGCTCCGCCGCACTAGCCAAATGATCACTCTCACGTGGCATTGCACGATAACCGAGATGCGATCTGACAAGGATGTTGGCTTCTGGAAGCACGAGCAAATATCGTTCATGTTGCACTGCACGGAGCTCATGGGCTACTGTGTCACGGCATGGTCGTATCTCTGGGTCAATTCGTGCAGTTCGACAAGACCAGACCTCATCGCAGTACATCATGAATACCTCACCACGTTCGCGTAACACAACTTGATGAACCGTATCAAAAATATTGCAGGTTCCATCGCTAACTCGAAGCCAAGGGTTGGCATTCTGTCAAGGGATTGGAAACTGTGCCGGCTATACAATGTCCTGCCCAACTCTGTCAACAACAGCAGCAGAATCCGCCATATGGCCGTCGGACCAGCATCGTCCTCTGCGTGTAATAAGGACCGCAACCTGGGTAACCTCCCCTACCATACCCACAACCACCTGCGCCATAACAGTATCCTCCTCCGTATCTTCGTTGCCGTCTACCTCCGGGAAAGTAAGCCTGCGGCGGTCGCTGAGGACCACCACATCCTCTACCGTATCCACAGTAGCCAACTCTCCTACACGGTCCGTAGTATGTTGGGTGACGATAGTCACAGCCTTGCTGACAATACTCGGACGACAATGCGTTCGGTCGACTGAGTGCTGTGTATTGCATCTGTGGTTCAGAGTCGTAATCAGAGTCTTGCAGATGGTCCTTCATGGCCACGTCGTTGATGATGTGTTCAGACTCGAAAGAATGGTTCAGTCTTGGTTTCGACCTTTCTGGCTTTGGCAGTCCGATAATCTGGATTGACCTCTGCATGTCGTCGAATGAAGTTGTTGATATGCAGTCGTCAGATATGTCGTCTTCGTGTTTGCGAGATGAAGTGCCTGGGATGACCAGCATCGTCTCCAGAAGCTTTGTGGGAAACAATGCAGAGAGCCTGGAGCCTTGAGTATCGGTCTTGTCAAGGTCTTGCTTGTCATCCAGCATCGCCAACAGATGAGCATCAGCCACACTATGTGTCGAACAGGTCGAATTTCGTACACTTGCCATTGTGCCTATTCAAAACACAAGCGACAAATGTTTTTGCAGCGGCGTCAGATGCTGGGTAATGGTATATCACTCGATCGCATTCAACATACCGTTCGTAAGCATATGCCGACAGAGTATATCGGTATCTTTGCAAGACGCGAAGCCTTGATGTTGTGCTCTCATCATTTGCTTGAGACTGCTGCATGCGGATGACTGGTTTTGCAACAATTCATATACACGCAAACCCACCAACTTGTAAGGCGTGGCTCAGACTGACAACATGCGCTTCCCTATACATGTAAATAGATTGCTGAAAGCATTTCTAGAGACGTCTCGGGATCTGGCTTTGGACCCATGGAAAGTGCGAATGACGTGGCAGATGCAAACTGTATGGGGTGATGGGAACGATGGTCCAGCGATTCCACAAAGGCAGCCACAAGACAAAGCAAAAGAAGCCCGAGGCATCAAGAACATCGTTACAAAGCCAGCACCTACTGCTCTAAGTCGTCCTCAAGCCATCCACACCACTGAGCACTAAAACCGTGACACAAAACAACATGACAATGCTCCATCATATGTTCCAAATCACAGCGTTCTTTTCCATGGCAGCAATTCTTGAGTGCCATGATCGATGCTGGCTCCTTCATGTTGCAAAGTCAAGGCGATGCCACCACGCTCGAACAGGACGAGGAGAGATTTGAGGGCGTCAAGAACGATCGTTGTTCACCGTCCACATCCGTCACCCACCATTAATCCCGTCTTTTTGCGTAGTATTGCCAAGCTCATGACTGAATGGTTTGGTTGAAGGCTTGAACTCTTTGTCGGGAGGTTAGAGAGGGGAAGGAAGAGAGTGTGCAACACGTGAATCACTGATCCGCGAGTTGCCGACGCTGGTGAAGATCGGTTTCTGATATAACCTTGAATTTTTTGTTGTTTTGTCGCAGTAACAATTCTGTATTCAGTGTGTCTATTTGACGCCAAGAGCACTGCTAAGTAAGCTATTGAATATTTTACTATGACTTACGTTTTAGGTCCGAGGCTTGCTCCCCGATTGTATAGTTGCTGCACACATTAAATGATGCAGTCGACAAAGCCCTCTTGGAATAATCATTGCAGTTGTCAGATCGATCGATGTGCTGAGTGACCCACGTCGACTACTGAATATAACAAGCCAGCCACGTCAGATCGGATTATACACAAACATGTGACCAATTCTCGCTGTCTCACCTGTGACTTCACCATATCAGAGAAGATTTTGTAGTGTCCTCCGTCCATCGACAGGGTCACACCGAAAACCGAATTTCGGAAGCGGACCATCTGGTGTGGCCAGAAGTCGTTCTCACATTTGCCGAGGCTCGCGAGACCCAAGCTTCGCACGTTTTCGCTTCGCATCCAGAGTAATTTGGAGCCCATGAATGACACCCGAGCTCCGACATATCCCATCGCATCGCGCAAATATTCGCATCCACCTGAGCAGATGTCTTTCATCTGCGGCAGTCTGTCGGATTCACCGTCGTATCTGCGACACAAAAACGAGGACTTCTGCGTTGAACCGTGGTTGTAAACGCTGTCTCATGACGTTCCTGCCGTTGACGTTCTGAGCTTCTTCCACAAATGTCTCAACAGTCGTTTTCGAGGGTCCATTCAGGATCGCGAGCCAAGAACATCCAGGTATCCATTCTCTTGCATTCTCGTACGGTTAAATGGAAAGTACTGCACATAGTATCAAGGTATCGGCCGATGGCAGAAGACAATACACCAAGCAAAACCAAGGCAAAAAGCAAAACTCATGGCTTGCCATACGAGGACTGGGCACGTTTTGACAGATGTAGCTCCGAATGGCGACCGCGGCGACAACGTGGGAGACTTTAGGATCAACCAAACTTCGAGGGCAGCAGACACAGCCCTCTCTCGATGGACAGAGTTCTACTAAGGTGGATGATCTTCAGGAACTTGATTGACGAATCAATTGGGTGCCTGCTGTACCTGTATGTCGAAGTCGTGGGAAATGGTTTACTAATCAATCCACAGGGCGTGGTCTGCAGGAACCACATTGATGGATACCATATGCCCTCTAGCAACACTCGTGAACTGGATTTCTAGATCCACAATCACGAACAATTCGACGTCATGGTCTAGTGGCTTTCTGCAAGAACGGGCTGCTCTCCAAGGACTTGAGCCAAGCAACAAAGTGCAGAGGGTTGCAAGCAACTCCAATTGGATACCAATAATGCTACACGTTCCTGCAATTGTAGTACTGTACCTTCCAATTCTCCACATACCACACGGCCCGTCGCTCGAACATCCTCCGCATCTACCAGATTTTCATCTCACCACCTGGAGTGGAACCCCGCGATTGGAAGCCGCCTAGAGCCGAGTCGTATTTCCAGATACCTAGCACTAACTAGACAGCGCCAATGACGAATCTAAGACATGCTTAAATCTTTCCATCCTGCAGGTGTGGAAGTCTTTGGCCAAAATTCTGCTTGCAACGGTCTAAAGATAGTGATTGTGGCATTTTATAGTTTGGCGTGGTCCCTCGGCTCGAGATCCATGCCGATCAACCTTAACCGCAACGGCCAAGTTCAAGAGACCATCGACATCTGGGGAGGCCGCCATGGAGTGTGTGGAAAGCCAAAGCATTCAAATGTTGACAAAAATAGTCTTGGGTTGCACAGAAAACCTCTCAGTTGATGTCATTCGATGGATGTGATGGATTTGATATGGGCAAAGAAGCTTTTTGTCATCCCACCTTCACGAATACGGGAATACCACAATCCATCTTCTCCGCTCTCTTGCATTGGATAGATGCACTTGCGGGTGGTTGAGTCTTGTCGATACGAACAAACCGGCCAAGAGCCCGAGAGTAACAGTGATATGCTTTCTTGGAAGAGGTGAAGTCTTCTTCAGAAGCGAGGCTCAGTGGTATATAAGAAGGCATCTCTCTTCCTGGTATATTTTTTCCCTTACTATCATCAGCATCTCCTTCTTCCACAGTCAATCACCTCATCCACTCGCTCAAGATGAACTCCATCAAGGCCGTTTCGGTCCTCTCGTTCTTCGCCACCTTCGCTGCCGCTTGGCCCATGAACACGACCACTACTTCATGGGAATCTACCAAGTCTTCTAGCTCTAGCTGGGAGTCTTCCAAGTCACCAAGCTCGACTTGGACGGCTTCCTCAAGCGCCAAGTGGACTCCTAGCTCGAGCTCTACCTGGACTCCTTCCTCAAGCGCCAAGTGGACTCCTAGCTCGAGCTCTACCTGGTCTTCGACCAGCTCGGCTGAGACCTATGCATGCAACCCAGCTCACAGCTATCCTGGAGGTGCTTCATGCATCAGCACTGCTGGATCTTTGACTCTTGTCACGCCTACTCAAAGCACCACGTACACGACCACATACACGACTGATTATGTTACCTACTGTCCTACTCCTACCGTTGTGACTATTAACAGCAAGACGATCACAGTCACTTCTGCGACAACTTTGACAGTTCCTTGCCCAACATGCGTCAAGACCTCTGTGGTCACCAAGCCAATCAACCAAGTCTCTACCACCAACGCACCTGCTCCCAGCTCATCTGCCATTGGCTGTGCCGCAAGCCTTTCCAAGTGCCAGACGAGTCCTTCTCCTTATGGCGGTTCCGCCAACGAGGCCTACTGTGCTTCTGAGAACGCAAAGTGCCAGGGTGCATGCTACGCATCCTACAACACCTGCAGAACCACTCGTGGACCCGATGGCCTTTCTGCCAACCAGGCCCAATGTGCTTCCGAGTATGCACAATGTCTTGGTGAAAATCCCTTCGCCTCGACCGGAGGATTGATCTCAACTTACATCCCTTACACTGCCACTGCAAGCTCGTCCGCCCCCGTCTCAAGCTCGACTGTCTGGGTGACCTCGACCACAGTTTACGTCACTGACTACGTTACATTCTGTCCTCAGCCCACTGTCATCACTGTCAACAAGCAGACGATCACTGTGACCAAACCGACCACCCTCACAGTACCTGTGCCCACCACCCAGGTCATCACCAAGTCCACAGTTGTTCCTGTTTCTTCAGCTCCTGCCAGCTCGAAGCCCGCCACTCAGCCCGCTTCTCAGCCCGCATCTCAGCCCGCATCTTCGCCCGTCGCCCCCGTCTCGACTGGACCTGTTGCTCCTGGAACTGTTTGTGTTCCCCAGACCGTGACTGTTACCCAATATGTCACCGTTTCCATGAATAAGGAAACTTCCATGGCTTCTCCTGCTCCTCCTGCTTCCACCAAGGCTTCGTCATCTGCTCCCGCTCCCAGCAGTCCTGTCTCGTCCGCTCCTGCCTCATCTGTTCCCGCTTCAAGCAAGCCTGCAACCTCAGCCCCTGCTCCCTCTGCAACCCCTGCTGGCAAGTGCCCTCTTGACCTGAAGGCTGGTTCCTACGAATACCCCCACGGCCTTCGCGTGAACGGTGTCAACGGATACAACATCACCGTCAACAAGGACACCAAGACCGATGTCTCGTTTGACATTCCCCAGGCTGATGCTGGCAAGACCTGCAGCACCTACTTCTCCCTCCCCAAGTCTTCTGACCTCAAGACCTCTGCCTACGGCTTGTCTGGCTCTGGCATGATCAATGTTTCCAAGGGCGGCAAGGTCATCAACAGCTTTGCTCCTGTTGCTGGCAATGCTTACCTCATCGAGAGCGGCAAGTGCGCTGCTGGCCAGTCCGTTGCTTACACCTTCAGCACCAGTGACTCGGTTTCTGTTAACCTGTTCAACGACTACAACCCTTGTGCTGTTGGTGCCTTTGTCACCGTTGCTTAAAGTGATGGCCACATTCTTGAGGATATGATATGGTTCGATAAGGAAGGAAAGCTTGAGTTTCGTAGGTTTCTTTCTATACCTGGAAAAAGGTTACACGGTCCTTTTCAATATGCTAATGTTAATTCAATCTCTCCTTTTGTATATAAAAATCGTATGTTTGCTTTCTACATTACTCATTCACTTTTGCAATGTGATATTGTTGTGAAGACTTGACTTGCTGATAGGCTAGCAAAATATGATGTGAAAACGAAAACCGATGCCCATCGGCCATGCTCTATGATCATGTCTGTCCTGGAAGTTGTCACTTCACATCAGAGAAGTGGTATTTTGCATGGAGCAGATTCTTGGAAAGAAGACCAACATATAACCGGGATCGACAACTAAGTACAATATATAAAGTGATTATTAGCAGGCAGCACAAGTCCACAAGAGACAGCCAAGCCCAAGGTTCTTTCCCAATCTTCTCATTGCTCACTACCACCCACTTGCTCCTCATCAGCCCCTACAGTCTTACCATGCCCCTGAACATCGCCATTTCTGTACACCGGATCGTCTTTTTGCGGGAAGTACGCACTCCAGGCCTGCCAGCTCTCGTAGGTACGACTGGGGTATCTCGTCTTCGTCACCTCGCCCAGCTCCTTGACACTCTTCTTTCCGCCTTCGAAGCTGGCTTCAAAGGGGAACACATGTGCGCCTTCGTCAGGTATACGTCGGTCTCGAACAGCCATGAGAACAGATATGGCATCGTATACCGCGCGAGGTTGAGGCAAGAACGAGATGATCTTGCCGAAAGGGGCGTAGAAGAGTGACTTCTGAGGGGAGTAAACATCACCAGATCCGGTGTTGTCGCGACCAGATTTGATCTGTGTTTCGAGTCTTACGATTTGTGTTTCAATATCTGGAATGGCAGTCTGGGTGGGCATTTCGTGATTGATTGCCTGAAGCATCCAACGTAGCACGACGTCGGCCAAGACACCGTTGGGCTCTAGAGTGCCGGAGAGGAGGTTTGGGATAGTGACGAGAAAACGCTCAAGAGGTTCGACTGCTCTGCTACGCAAAAACTTGAAGCGTTGACGACCGATATCGTAATGACAGCCCGGGAACCATGTCTCATGGATCGAAGGAGCCGTCTTGCCATTGTCGCGGTCGCGCTTCGTAAGGCACGGCTGAAAGAGTGATAGACGATCATGAATACAGCAAGCGTGGTAGACTTGCTCAACACTGCTTGAGACTACTTGGTCCCAAAGGGTGGGGTAGGATGGTCCGTTACCAGCGTCCAGGGAAGGAATGCCGATGCTACCGACAGTGTCCAGGAGACCCATGAACTTGATTGGTGTTGCGACGTCCCAGCTTGCCCTTGATCGAAACTCTTTACTTTGTGCAGATGATGGTTTGTCGGCGTCGTATGGGGACGAGTAGATGCGATAAACTTGATCGCAAAGGTCGCGGGAAGGATTCTTGACGATACCGCAGTTGTTGATCATGCCTACCACACATCGTACAGTGTAGGCACCTCTGCTCAACCCAAACACCCAGACTTCAGTTCCTTCGCGATAGTATTGTGCAATGTACTGGTAGATCTCTACGCAAGTGTCCCCTATGTCATTCGCGGTCGCACCATTGAAAAGATAGGCGAAGAAGGTGCTACCTAGACCAATGCCATTGAAGTATTTTGCCCGGAGCTTTCGTGCCGGGTCTTCGAGTTCTCTTGACCCTTTCGGATTGTTCATGTCGATGCCTGTCAACTCTGCTAAGATCTGAATGTTGGTTCGAGTATCAGTCTCCGGCCCGCACCAGGTTCCATCGCAGAAGACCAAAAGTCTCTGTGGCTCCGAAGCAGGACGCATTGTGAAGGACTACGCCGGGTACAGTAGGTACGTGGAGTAGTGATGGAATTATCGAATATGTAGAAGAGGCGGTTGTTCAATGGTATGAAACGAGTATGTACACAACGAGCACAAACGAAGATTGAAGAAGATAGAACCAGGCGACGTTGTTATATCTCCAGATCGACTCCACAAGAATCAGCACATGCGAAAATGCTTTTTTTGGTCTGTTCGCTGTGGCTTACCGCAGTCGTGCATATAGACAGTATGCCTCAGCCCCAGAAGCTTGCCTTGGCTTAGCACTCGACCTTTGACCGTTTTCGTACTTTCATGTGATACGCAGCCTGGGTAAGTCGGAGAGTCGGCCTTTGATGGTGACGCTGCGCTCGGCTGAGCGAAACCTGTAGATGGGGAAAGCTGCAGCGGCATGCTGTGTTTATGAAGAAACCGGTCAGGGGTCTATCGAGGAAGGAGCTGAGAAACAGGGGGCCGTGCAGTCAATCAGCAGGACACGCGCAGCTGATGAACCCAACCACGTTCCCATGCCAGTACTTTCTTTCGCTGAGCAGGACCTTGCTATATCGCCTTCAAGGCAATACCTCGACGTTCCCGACCAGAATGGTCGAACGATGTCTTGATCTGGAAGGGGGCGGGTCGACAAACTGCAGGGCGCACAGCTGCGTGCCAAAAGTCGCAGCCGGCATCACAACTGGCCCCTCGATTCGACTTTCGCACGAGTATGCTGCTGCAGTGGTTTCTGGACCACCGAAACCATTAGGTTTGTTGAGCTCTACTCGCTGAGTGTTACTCACGAACATCGAAATCAAGTCTTTATATTCGTCTTGCTATCGTTGCCAGTATCCTATGAAGTGTCCGACCCAAAGCAGCCACATGGGTACGACAAGAAAAGCGCCCGCGACAAGTCTTGTCATTCTTGCGATATAAGGATATGGACATATCAAGCAAGTTCATAGATCGCCGACTTCTTCTGACTCAAAAAAATGCCTCGACCTTCTTCAAACGTTTCGCGCTTCCTGCGAAGATGTCTTAGGTAGCGGACCCAGAGATAGCCACCACAGACCAGACACACAAGGATGATCTGGAGGTATGTAGAATATGACTCGTGCAACGAGAGCACGCTGCCAGGGACAAACTTGTGACAAGGTACCTTGGGCAGCGTAGATGTCTGAACAGATGAGTCTGTCGCTGGTGTGACAAGAGCGTGATTGACCTGTAGGACAGGTGTTGTAGGTCTATGTGTGGCAACTGTTGCTGAGACGTGTTGTGTCGAGACACCTCCGGGAGCAATCGTATATGGTATACCGATGGTTTCGATCTGCGAAGGCGAAGGTAGAGCGGTATTGACGACAAGTGCATAGGCTGTGTGGGGTCCGGGCGCGTTGAAATAGGTGGTGGTATATGTTGACGTTTCTTTGGAAGTATCGTCAAGGTTCCAGACAAATTCATACACCACCGGGGCAATCAAATATGGCAGGGAGAACGACATTCTGCTCTTCGAAACAATGACCGCAAAGTCCCAGAAAGATAACAATAGTGGTCGAGCAAGGACAGCGTAACAAAATGGCAGAAAACCGGAGCACTGATCAAAATTGCAGAGGAAACAAACTGAGGCCTCAGCGCTGAAATATCATTCGGACAGACAACACCTTATCATATCTCTGCCATCGCTTCAACCCGATAATATAGCCGGGTTTTTCGATTGCACATTCCTGGACCCAATTTTAGCAAGGACGTACCCGAGGCTCTGGGTCGAAACAATAACGAGTGTGTCACTTTGGCGCGCGCTTGCCTACATTAATTATCAGCCATCTCAAATACTGTTCACTCGGCCAAATCAGGCCGAAGACACATGACAAGGCCAACACATGCACACTATCGTGCCGAGAAATCGCGCAGCTACAGTATGTCCGCATTGAATAGTCTTGGACGGATGGCCATACCAAGAAAAAATGCCGCGACCTGCAGACTGCGTCGCTTCCTGTGCTGCTGTACCACATCGTCTGGCGCTTAGAATGCGACAGGATTGGCTGTGTGCCTTGACACCTTCCAGAGTGCATGCAGATTCGGCAAGTGATTGATGGCTGGAAAGAATCAGCATACTTACAAAAGCACCACCACTGATCGATCTCGGTCGTTGTCAGCAAGTCACTCTCTTTGCGACTCTTCCTATCATACCTTTGTCAAGTCATGTTCACGGCTGCGGTGACAGCCTTCGGGGCTCAAGTCACTCTACTGGCCTCTCCCTCGCCTTCATTGCCAGCTATCGCGCAAACAACCCTGGTTCACGCAGTACGCCGAGATTACNCCCCTGAAATCTTGACAAACGCTCAAACTTGTGGTTACACAAGTGGAGCGTGGTCCTCTGCGGTGACTTGCTCACCGCAGCATTCTTGCACGTATTACTCGAGCCCTTATTCAGCTCCGAACTTTGGTTGCTGTGACTCCAATGGCCAGGGTTGCGGGTATGTATCAACTTGTCTGGACTACAGAGCAAAAGGAAACTACAACACATTTAATGGAGTGGCAATAGCAAGCGAAAGCTTTCTCTGGTGAGTCACATTCAATATAGAAACCAAAATGTACAGTCTCTGATTGTGATCTATAATCTNNAGTGGCTCAGCTCTTCCATACTGCTCAACGCTTCTGCTCTATGGCACAACGTGGGCGCCTGGATCCACCTACTCTTTCTACTACTATAGCTGTCAAGCCACAAGTGCTCCAGCGGTCATTGCATACCAGACAACCTTCAACGCAAGAGATGAGACCTCCAGCTCGATAATTACCTCGTCATCATCAACAGCAACAACAAGTTCTTCATCCACATCTACCACTTCCTCGAGCATATCGAGTACGTCGAGCACTGTGAGCAGTGCACAAACTTTATCTGCAAGCTCTTCGCAATCAACTCAGATGATGCCACCGAATGCATCGCCTTCGACCAAAGCAGATGTCATATCGTCCTCGCCTCACAGTGCGTCTTCGAGTACTGCCAGCTCACCGACAACCTCAACCAACCAAGCGTCCACCAACAGCCTTTCTCAAACTTCCCAAATCGGCATTGCAGTCGGTGTGAGCATTGGCGTTTGTATGCTCCTTGCCTCCTTCGCGTTCTGGTTCATGCGTCACCGCAAAGCGAGAGCAGACAAACAATGGCTTGATCAACCTTCTCAAACCTTTGCTACGTATCTTCATCATGAGGGTAGTACTAAAGCAGTACATCCATTTGACTATAGATCTGGCTCTTTCCGTACCGAACTATCAGGGAAATCGGCCAGTGAGGGCGAAGCACCTTACGAGCTGGCTTCTACAGGCAGGTCGCACGAGCTTGCCGCTGGCAACCACTGAATTAGAAGTATCGTGAGAAGAGGGTTAGATATTGCTACCCTCGAGTTTTTCTCTTATACGTCACGCAATATTACTTGAGTTAAAATTCAGACTACCAATTGTACACATTATATTCCTCTCAAAAGTATCTGTGCAGGCTCAAGGTGTACCATACAAATCGTAGACCAGTGCAAACATTGTCACCGAGGCATTCTCTACGGCATACGTGGAGTACCATCCTTATGTGTACCCATCATTTTGAAGATGCAAGTCTCAGATTGCCAGAACTTGGCCATGAAACTTTCTATGAAATGGCATAGTTTTCTCATGCAACGACTCCAACAGATCTTGATCTTAATCCGCCTTGACAGGATGCAATACCAGCGAGTAGGTACAACTCCCGTTGGTATACGCCCACCACAGCCTCGGCGCGTCACCCGCCCAATAGAAATAACTGGCATTCAACCATCTCTGCTCTGGCAGCCCTACATCAGGACACCACAACAATCCCGCATGCTCACCGCCAGCAGAATTCCAAGCTGGTCCTTTGTGAATCATATGGTCCAGCTCCCTTCCTTGTTCTTCTGGCGTTTCGGTGTTGGTATCGAGATTGAAAGCTACCAGATGAGGTACGTAGACTGCTTTCAGGCCATGCAATAGAGACCAAGTCTCGGGCGTTGATTCACTGACAACCCAGGAGCCCGACTTCCGTTGTTCGTAGGAGATCAGGCGAAGAAGGCGGCGAGATGTGCGCGTCATGCTCACGATGGCCATACGACGGGGCAGGTTTAGTGCAGGTTCGAATCCGTGAATGGTGGATTCGTATGTCCATTTTGTGTTGACAGGATCAATGAGTGGTGACAGGGTGATTAGTTCAGCTTCTTCTCCTACGCCCCAGACATCGTCTCTTCTAGTGGGTGGTTGGGGACCTTGCGGATCGAGGTAGAATTGGGCGTACGGATGAGGACCCCAAATACCCTGGTCGCCAAATTCTTCGTCTACATGCGCAGAAAACGAAGCATAGTCTTTCCACAAAGCTGGGATGAACCAACGGCCGTTTCGCTCCCAGAGGTTCTTTCGTGGTTGACGTTTAGCCCAACTACCAGCGTTCGTGAGCATCTTTGCGACATGGCTTGTGAACCTTGCATCCATCTCTAATTGCCACACAAAATCGAATTCCGGGAACGAGTGGCTGAATATCTGCAAAGCCTGGTACATCTGGTCTTGGGCTCCGTATTCACCAACCTTAGGATACCACTCACGAAGAATTGCTTCATTGTACAGGAAAGCCACGTCGCGGAACTCCTCAGGCACACTCTTCTCCAAGAGCTGCGTATAAGTGCGGTTGTCAAATAGATCGAGCGAGTTGTCTTTGACATTTACGAGCATAAAGACTTGGAATCGACCGCCGGTATCCAGAGAAAGTTCCGTTATCATTGCTCGCATCCAAGCGAGCTGGTTGTCTGAATACTGGTACGCGTCCCAAGTGCGTACCACTATAGCAGTCCGGCCTGTTGAGCGGTCTTCTGGCGTCGACCACTGACCTTCGTCATCGGCTTGACCAGAGAATCGCGCCAGTTTCCGATACGGTATAGCTGGATCGGCGCTCTTCAAGCCATAATTTTTGTTCGCGCAATCGCTTTGGAGTAGACCCCATCGCACTGTCCGCCACGGTGGACGACTGAGTTGGCTATCACCGCTTGAGTGGCCGAATAACCCAAGACGCTCCTTCGCAGGTGTGCAGCCTAAATCTGGATCTTCAGACATGACCTCAGCAGTACCTAGGCGTAGCGAGGACAATGCTGAATCGTCAGCCTGGATATTGTCTGGTGTAGCAGTGCGCCAGCCTGGCCATATCTCGCATGCTGAGCTTGTTGGCGTTATCGAAGGTTGTAGGTCAAGTGCACTTTTGTGCTGAATTGCTGAGAGATAGGATTGGTAGGCTGCGAAGAGAAAGAGAACACTACTGGTGGAGAGTATCAAGGCCAACTTTGGCTTCCGGATAGGTGCTCGTTCGAGGCCAAAGCAGGTGTTGTATCTGATATTGAATGCCATAATTTTGTTCAGCATCTCAGGTTGTACTTGGAGAAAGCATTTCCAGTGGTTTTGAACGATGTCGCTCTTCGTTCTCGTGCCGATTTTGCATGCCTTGTTTGGTCACCATCCGATTAATTAACACTATAGGGCTGGCGCCTATTTCTCTGCGGCACAGCAGCGTTAAGGAAGGATTCGGGGACGTACCATGCATCATGAATCACGTCTTCACCATCATCTTGATCCTGGCGCTTATTGTAACAGAAAGAGATATCTGCTGCTTGGAGCTCTTTTCACAAATTGCCTAATTAGAGTGAAGTTGCATGAGCCTGGTCGCAGGACAGCACATCCAATCTTGAGATACTGTATTAGTAAGAAGTGTTTGCAGTTTCATGACTCGGCATGACAGTGTCGCGTCTTTGACATGACTGCGAACACAACCTGAGCCTCCGCTAAAACAATGCAAGTGTTCAAGCATCCATTAGTGAAGAGAGATATTGGGTGACCAACTCACGAGAAGACCGACAAACAAGTGCGAAGGGCTCTTACCGCTGACCTTGTGAGTCGCGCCCCTTACGATTTATCAGCCTTTTATCCCCGGGCCTGCTTATATCCGGCTCGAACAGCCATCCTCGATCTCGAGCATTGTTACAGCTACGTCGAAGACCACAGCGAAGAGGTTCAATAATCGATTTCCTCTGTTTCTGCTTCGTTCACCATGATGCCTACGTTTGCACAACAGCATGGGCTGTTGCAAGATATTCATGGCTGGATTCTCCAAGACGGTGACGCTATCTCCTACGCGGGCCGAGACTTCCGGCAAAACTCAATGATCGCCCGCCCTTGGGTGACGACGCAATCAAGGACCCCATGGGGCCTACGAAACGACATATCTTCTCCTGGTCAACGACTTTACCCTGTGGACGGCACTTGCATCATGGCTGGCGACGTTGCTTTGCTGGACATATCGATTCTGAAGTCTGGAACATACGTTCGTCAGGTGTCGTCGCCTGCCATTCGTGTTATAACAATAACACTCACGCTGAATTATCGCATCAATGGTCTGAATCAGCGATAGATACTCGCTCATCAACTGGTAGATATCGGGAAGCAGCAGGGTTGTCTGAAGTTTTCGGCATGATTGCATACGAATGCTTCGCCCGCGAGCCTTCCTGGAAATAGACTGGTTGGTTGTTGTCGTCCAGTCGTCGTAAGCATATCTCATCGGATAGCCGGCAGCCTCCTCCCACCCGTCGTCATTGTCTCAACGGCACCAAACAAGAAACACTCAATTGCTTGACAGTGCTTAGCATGGAAGATCACACTACTCTTTTCCATACCCTATCGACTTGCAGCAGAACATCCATTCTCACTGATTTTGGTACCCATGGCGTTTCCGGAGTTCTCGAAATATGGAGTCTTTTGCTTCAGTACCATCTTGTTCGCAAGCCTTTCCAATGCCGTGACTCTTGACACTACAGACGCAGGTACGGACGGTCTTTGCAAACCCCTGAAGTGCCATACACGATCTAACCTTGGTCAGATTCAATACGCAATGCATCAAAAACTGTTGCCAATGGCATGATGGCGTGGTACGCAGGCAACGACACTGGTGGTACGCCTGGTATATTGCCTGGCCCATACTATTGGTGGGAGGCTGGAGGCATGTTCGGTAAGTTGAGCCGAGGGTACTGATACCACGGCTAGCATTGGCATCTTGTGTCAGTCTGTATGCAAGGTCTGGATGGCGTGTTGAACAAAACACCGTCTGGGACCGTATCCGCCAGAGTTCAGCATAGGCACACCCAGCAAAGCCGTGGTGCCATTGTCATTAACTTAGTGAGATCATGCTAATTGTACCCCTGCTCCAGGTCACATGATAAATTATTGGTACTATACTGGCGACGACTACTACAACTCGATCGTATCTACAGCGATCCAATTTCAAGTCGGAACAGGCGATGACTTTCTACCGGCAAACCAAACAAAAGACGAAGGAAACGACGACCAGGTCTTTTGGGCATTCACCGCTATGGACGCCGCCGAACTGAACTTCCCTGAGTCGACCAGTGCGAACGCGCCTTCTTGGCTTTCCCTGGCACAAGCGGTCTTCAACGAGATGGCTGGAAGATGGGATACTAGCACATGTGGTGGTGGTCTTCGATGGCAGATCTACACCTTCAACGCAGGTTACAACTACAAGAACTCGATATCGAATCTCGGACTCTTCCAGTTAGCTGCTCGACTGGCTCGCTACACCAATAATGCTACATACACGGATTGGGCTGAGAAGACATGGCAGTGGTATTCTGACGCCTCGCTTTGGGATGGCACGACGTTTGAGATCTACGATGGCACAACGACAGACAGCAACTGCAGTTCAGTAGACCACTTTCAATGGACGTACAACTATGCAGCTGCAATCAGCGGCGCAGCTTACATGTACAATTACGTATGTCAGGCCGTCCAGTTGTACGACAGAACTCCCTGCTAACATATACACTTTAGANCATCAGACCAGAGTTGGCTCAACATCGTCGAAGGCCTTCTCAATACCACATTCACCACATTCTTCCCAACTACCATGGGCAACAAGATCATGGTCGAGATAACATGCCAACCCCTCGGCAATTGCGACACCGATCAACTGTCCTTCCGCTCATATCTCGCGCGGTCGTTGGCAGTCACCACACAACTTATCCCCTCTCTACACGATACTATATACCCCTATCTCCGTGCTTCCGCACAAGGAGCAGCTGGCCAATGCGACGGAGGCGCCACAGGCGCAATATGTGGCATGGAATGGAACACGACGGTTTGGGATGGCACATACGGTGTGGGTCAGGAGATGTCAGCACTCGCTGTGATACAGTCATTGATGCTCGATGTCAATGTTGGGGACGCAAACTTGGCTGCTCCATTGACGTCGTCTACCGGTGGCAACAGTACGAGCAACCCTAGTGCTGGCACAGGGAGCACTGGTGCTAAGTTTCAGCCTTCCATCTATACTAGGAAAATCACCACTGGTGATAAGGCGGGAGCTGCGATATTGACTATAGCAATCTTGGTGTTCTTTGTGGGCGGCTCTGTGTGGCTGGTCCTGTTTGACTGAGAGGGTTACAACGGGAGATAATTAATGATGTAACAGAGACTAATCACGAAACAACGCTTTCCAATCTAATACTACAAAACCGAATCTTCTGTCATGTGAGGAAAAGCCTCATCGGTCCAAAGCAATCGCAGATGAGTCGTACTGATTCATAATGCAATATTTGCAGATTTGTAAGTGACGTTTATGCTCCTGTTCTAAACTTGACTATCCGGGTGATCTCGACCCTCGTCTACACAACTAACTACGTCTTTTTTGCTCTGCTTCCGCTACTGTCATGATCTAGAGGTAGGAAGTCATATTGACAAAACCTATTGACTTTAAGCTCCTTGTTGCTATACCTTGACTTGTCATTACATTCGTAGTACTCCTTTTGGTCTGATCTACCCTTACATTTTATATCAAGAGACAGTATAGGACCACATCTAGTGGTTTTCTTCTTGTAGCATCTTAGCGAGCTCAACTTGGTCGCTTGGTACTATAGAGAAACATGATGCTCAAGGAATCGAAGTGATAGCAAACCAGAATATATTTCCAAAGACTCACGTCAATATATAGCAGGTTTGGGAGCACAAGATAAACAGCATAGTCTGCAAGCTTCCCACAAGGTATTTCGTAGTGATAGCTTGTCATTCATGTCACGTTTGACATCCGCGAGGCCTGTTTATTGCAAGTTCTTGGCTCACAGACACATGCTGCCCCTTTCTCGATCAGTTTACTCAAGGCAATCATCGCACATGGCTAGGATAACAGCATTGGTGGTCACAAGAGACATGACGATTCATGTCTTTGTCGTTGGATCCAGGCACCGGGAACAAAGAATGCCGGAATGACTTGGCTGTCGGGTATCCGCGGCGTAAAGCGGCTGACATCGGTTAACCGCGGAGAAACAGACAAAGCAAAACAGATGGATCATGGATCGGGGGTTTGTTTTTGTCATCTGAGCAAGGAGATAATTTTGATCATAATGAATAGGCATGAAAAGGTTATGAAGTGGTCGCGTGAGCACAAGTAGAATTGGACCAGAGAGTATGTGAAGTTATATAGTTTTTGAATTTTTGGTTGTAGTATGCTCTGAAGGGGTATTTGCTATCGCTGAAGAAACTGCCACTGCCCTTGAGGGTAAAAAGAAGCATCTATGATGGTGAAAAAGGAAACGCCATATCCCATCCAGGGAGTTGAACGCCAGTACATCGCTATAACACCGTGGAAATGCTTGTTGTAAAAAAGAACTCATCATCGCTGGCTCGCTGGCCGGTTCGCAAAAGACGCCTCATTTTGCCAACATCGTTATCATCATCGGAGGTAGAGAAAAAGGTAGAGAGGAAGAAAGGGAGAGAGAATGCTTAGGCAAGACCGAAAGTGGCCTTCATGCGGCGCCAGATCTCACCACGCATAGCATCCCTGCTCTCGACAGTGCGAGTGGCGGCGTCCTTGTTCTCAGCGGCGCGACGGAGAAGGTAGTTCAGGCAGTCGGTCATGGAACCCCAGGCAGTCAACTTGTAAGCACGGGGAATGTCGACCATCTCCTCCGGTTTGGCTTGAGTGGCGCTGATCAGTTCGCAGCTAACCTCGTCGGCCATGCCCTGAAGCTGAGCGTAGGCGCAGGGGACTCTCTCCTCACCGGAACGAAGTTGGTTGGTGCGGATTGCTTGAGCCTTGCGGACAGAGTCGGCATTGTGAGTTGCGAGAACGAGACCAACGTTGCGAGGGAAGACACCATCGTCGGAAGAGATGGGCTTGACAACGTCGTTGAAAGTGCGGGTAAGAACTGCTTCGGCCATGCCGTCGTAGGCACGGTGGGTGTCCTGGATGGTGTCCCAGATCTTCTCGCGAGGCTCAGAGTGCAGATAGGCGCCACGAACGAGCTTGACACCCAGAGTGAAACCTTCGGTCTTGGCCTGGTGGAGGTGGTTGGAGAGAGAAGCGGGTGCGCCCTTGAGGTAGCATTGGTAAGTGTTGTAGAGGACGATGTTATCGGGCTTGTTGTAAATCTTCTGCAAGTTCAAGGTCCAGGCGTCAATCATTGGGTTGGTGGTGGTTTCTTCGGCAGAGGGAACGAGAGCGATACGCTTGGCCGAAGCGGCGTCACAGATCTCCTTCATAGCTTTGTCCATGATATCGATGGGCTGCTTGCCCTGCTTGAGCAGCTGCATTGCGTAGCCGCCCATACCGGACCACTTCAGACCGATGATGTCGCCGGGCTGGGCAGCCTCGACAGTCTCCATAAGACCCTTTCTCCACATGTCGACATCGCCAGCAGTGTCGTCGGAAGGAACGTCGGAGAGAATTTCACGAGCGTACTCGAAAATGACACCAGAGTAGCCCAGACTTTGCAATTGAGCGCGGGTAGCACGGACTTCGGCCTTTGTCTCACCGCCGCAGAATTGCTTGTAGAAAGTCTCTCTGAGCACCATCTTGAGCAGAGGGTTGCGCTCGACGTTGAAGATGGGGCCCTTGGCGTGGATCATGGCGGTAAGAGCCTTGAAGCAGACGGACAAAAGTGCAGGCTTGCAAGAAATCGAGGTAATCATGTAGGTTCTCAGGACGGTGGAGAGAGGGAGAACGGCAAGAGCCGGAGTCTTGTTGGTCTTAGTGACCTTTGATCCAGGGACATGCTTGGGGATGGTAGCCACCTGAGGAGCAGTCATAGCGTGTTGCTCAGCCGGGGTGCTGTGCATGTGTCTGACAGACATCGAGAAGGGAGTTGCGACGCGGCCATTCAGGCGGCGTACCATGTTGGAGCGCAGCTTGAGCGAAGACATGTTGTCGTCCTGTGTGCGATATCTTCCTGAGGGCTGCAAAAAGGTCGATAAGTTCACTTGAGTCTCCCCCAGCAGAAGGCCATCTGCCTTTAATACTGAGTCCCATGACCCTTATGCCGCCGTTCTCCTTGTTCACTTGCCTCGCGGCTACCCTCGGTCTTGCGTGTTGACGTTGATAAGAGAAAGTTGGCGGTCTTTGTTCTCCCGCTGGCGCGATACTCGATCGGGCCTGTTCCCCAGCTTACGCTAGCCACATCAGGCTTCGCTCGGCTACAGTTTGCTGTCGCACCACGAGTCCACATCGATTGCAGAATCTCTCCACCAATTCTCGACACAATTTTGTCGCCTTGGTAATCAGACACCTTCGGCTTTCCTGACTGTCATCTCGGTCTTGTTGAACGGCCTGTGTCGGTCTTGGATGGGATGCTCCCTCTTTACTTCATCTCCGCACCTCGCTCCTTCTCCATTTCTTCGCTGCGAGTTCGGAGAAAGCTGATCACGATGATTCGAAACTGCTGAGTATCCACCTCGCCCATACACTCCTCTACCGTCGATATCCGAGCATCACTTGTGCCTTCTGTCTTCGTGCATGATGTAAGGCAGCCTTGAAGCTGTTGACGCTTGCTCGCGGCGTATGCCTTGCCATCGTCCGACGGCTCTCGTGACTTTGCATCACCAACCGTCACATCACCTCGACATCGCCCAAGCCTGCTTGCTGTCGTGCTGTCGCATGCATACCCAATTAAGCAGCGAATCTGCATATGCATACGAACAACAGCAGCCTGAAGGCTGTCGTGGCAGCTAAAAGATCCGTTTGGCGCATGGTCCTTGGTCGTTTGCTCAGAACTTTGCATCGGTCCGGGGAAAACTCTTCGACCACTTCTACGCTCCGGACGGTCATCAGCTCTCGACAACATCGCCATGAAAGTTCAACAAATTTCATGGCGCAAAACGACAGTGATGGTGTCTTTTGTTCAAGGCTCTCGATGACGCGCAAGCTGTGATCTCTGCGCCCTCAACCATTATCGACGCGTTCGCCTATCTTTGCAATCCCAGCAATTCAGACAGCTCTCGAAAGCACATCAGAAAATTTGTTCTTTCCGACATTTTGTCGCCTGACATGCGTCGTTCTTAGAGTTGTAAGCAGTGATGGTACTCTGTCGGTACCACAAACTAGGACCTCGATCTGACAGTATCCGGTAGCGTATCTTGACTGCCTCTGCTTGAGTGACGCCAAAACAACTCCCTGGATACTACCGTGTTTGTCAGCACTAACAACTGACATTGACAAAGCTGGGTCCGGCCATCGCAGAAGCTCACAAACCGTAGATGCACAAGCTCAGCCGACGCCTTGTGGAATATTTTTACCAGATGCGTGGTGTCCGCTCGTCAAAAGTGTCCCAAACGGAAGTGCCAGATGCAGACGCCGAAAGCGTATCGATCTCAGATTCGACGTCAGAAGGATTCTCATGCTCGGTTATCTACTCTTTGGCATATCCCTCACTGTTATGTCGCAATCGCAACAGTAAGCCTTGTGCTTGAGCTCGATACACGAAGGCTGTTCTTCATTGCTGTTGTTCTTGGAGCGCGACAGAGTGATGGCTATTGTGGTTCTCCAGCTGCATCGAGGCAATCACGTACACACAGTGCTGATCAACTCAACGCCTGTGCTTCTTTGCTCGTCCGGAGATGCCTCTGTGGTGAGATCCAGCATCGCTCTACCCTGCGGCTTCCTTCTCAACACAGGCCAAACGTCGTCATCAACGATCTAGTTCATCGCAGAGACGAGCTCAGGCTAGACCTTGTCTGAGTTGTCAAGGCCCGATTCGACTTGCAGATCGTCGCCATGGCTCCTTCGCGGATCGTTTCTGCGACATTCTCACCTGCTGCATATCACAATCAGCTCCCGTTCAAGAGTTACATGCCAGGAAGATTTCAATCTCTGAAAGGTGTTCAGACCAGGGCTGTGTCTACCGTGAAGCCATGCCCTCAAGGACCAGGGAGCTAAGGGCATACACAGCTAGGCAGTAAGGAAGAGTGTCGTCATGCGCCATCTTGGAGTCGACAAAAATAGAAGTCTCACCTGCCACAAAGAGTCTGCCCATATGCCGGTACGTTTAGGTACGAGTTGTACTGTTTTTGTCGTGAACAACGGACAAGCGCAACGATACAAATCGCCTCTTCCTGAGCCTCATGATGTCAGCGTAAGCTCATCAGATATCATCAAACTCTTGCCGC